CCAAGCCAGTAAGCGTAAGTTGCCAGGTTGCGTTTTATTCTCCGCAACCAAATGTTGGGGGAACTGCCCGGAAGGCAAAGTCACAGCGATGGCCATGCCCTGGAAAAAAGGGCGAAGCACGGGACAGTTGCGACGGCCCCGAAGCAACACATGTTAACTTTAATCCGTTCTAGCTATTGCCCGAAAGTAAGATTAGAGGTAGATTTACAAAAGTCCGCACTCGTCCAAACCATGTGAGGCGAAGGCACCTCATACCAAGGGCGCTCAATCAACCGCTATTAACGACTATTTGCAAGCTCTATTCGATGCCGTGCTCACCTCAGTTTGGACGTTCGGACGGCGATGACTTGCGTGTGCGATGGCACTTCGCCCTGAGGAACAAGGACAAGCAGCCCATAGGTCAATGGATAACAATATATGTACTGAGAAACTATAATAGGCGGTCACAATGTACGCTCTTCGCAACGTTTGCAGCTACAATGGCTGGCGACTGCCAACGCTTTCCGCCGGCACGCACCACACTGGATGCACAGGCCATTGCCAGTTACTTACCAAGCGCTATAAAGCGCCCTTTTCGAATCCACGCTGTCAAATGTTATGCCTCAAGCTGTTGCGTTCGGTTCAATCATGCACTTCAGTTACCCGTTTTTCTATTTGTGATTAGGATGTGTGTACGCTGAGTGAACGAATACTTCTCAATAATCCTACTATCGTCTAATTAGCCCTAAAACAGACTTTTTACAGGCCTGACATGACCTAACGGGCACTTGACGACGACGGGCGGGCAAAGTAAATAAGGCCCATCTAAAAAGTGTATACACGTCCCCATCCATGGATGAATGCCGCAGTATCTACGTACCTCTGTTTGTCGAAAATGATGAACACTATCGCTCGTAATAACGCGTTGCTGTCCTATGCGAGGCCGTCCGTCATGCATGCAAGCTCAGCTGGATGTATGGGTTGGCAAGATTAAACAGTATGGTTGTTATAGAAGTATGGGTTGTCCCCCCCCCCCGAGGGTGTTGTCATTTTTTGGCATCCAGTATTCGACTGCTCAACACGCGCCAGTGAGGGAAAGGAAACCACCGGTTGCCTTCATGCCGTGTCCTGAATACTTTGGCGCGATGATGTAGTTATGCTGGGCCCCAGCGGCTCCAAACGCGTTCGCCGCTTAATGGGCGGTTCGCCTCAGGTGCAAAAACGTACATGGCCCGCCCCCCCGCCCTTACACTGAGCATAAGCCTATTGAGTGGCGCTAGCTTTGCGATGCCTGCTTGCACTTTGGCAAATGGGTCCCTAACATGGTCGCCAACATTGCAGCCCCCAAGCCAACAGTTCCTTCAAAAGAGTATTTCTGTAGGCAAAGCCTTTAAGGTTATTGTACTGCACGTGATTTCGTGACCCAGAAATATTGTCGTCGCGAGTTTCAGCGCAATGTGAACTGCCCTTGCATGCTGCGATGCGCCTACCTAAGGACAGATTCAACACAGCTTTATTAGTCGGCATAAGTAAGCGCAGGGAAAGCATGCATACTTGAAAAGCGAACCAAGTTTGTTGTTCGTTAGTGTCTGGGAAAAGTATTGCAGACATACGCGGACACGAAGGCATTTTTATAGAATGCTTTTCAATATAGGACCGTAATCAGTATACAACAACGTGTTCAAGAGGTGAGGCGCGCTAACATGCGTGCGACCCAACCTAGAGTTGCTAACATTGAACCCTGTTGCAACCCCTGCTCCTTTCACTGCCATACCTGACCAGCCTCTATTTACATTCTTCAAAGCATTGCTTTCCTTACGCAAGCTAGTTACCTGACTTGCAACGGAGAACGCAGCAGCAATAGTTGCACATGTGCAATGCGTGTGTTCTTGGCGCACATGGGCCGAGGAGCGATTACCGCAATGTGCGGCTACCGTGGGAGACCTCGCCACTTGTAAACGTGCACGCTTGATGGATGGCCACCCGCTGCTCCTGCCCATCAAAAAGAAAACAACATTGATTGCGCATGCACAATGGCTGTTCTTGATGCACATGAGCCGATTAGCAATAATCGCAACGTGCGCTACCGTGGGAGACCTCGTGTAGATGTGCACGGTTGACGGATGGCCACCCGTTGCTGCTGTCCATCAAAAGAGAACAGCATCGATTGCGCATGCACAATGTTGCTGTTCTTGCTGCACATACACCACTCGAGAGGCGTATGCTCAGTGTAAGGGCGGGGGGGCGGGCCATGTACGTTTCTTGCACGTGAGGTGAACCGCCCATTGAGCGGCGAACGCGTTTGGAGCCGCTGGGGCCCGACATAACTACGCCACACGGTGTAAAGGCAACCGGTGGATTTCCGAGGAACAGCAGCGCTTGCCTTTCTTACTACTGCTGTTCTTTGCCCTAAGCATAGACGTGTAGAAACAAGCATCATTAACAACTGGCCAGCGTGCGGATGCCCAGCACTTCGTCAGGGGGGGAAGAATTCACCGCCCCCGCTGACACACCCAGGATTAGTCGAGGGAGGGGGTTCGTAATAAGTCCCACGTCATTTCGGCCCCGTGGTTGACGCTCAGCGTTGTCCGTCTTGCAGATGCGAACCCTGCCTTAGAACACCTGCAGGTAATTTCCAGTGGGGTCAGGCTTGGCCAGGTGACGAACACTGCATCATTACAGGAAACCTGCTGATCCCTAAATAATTCAGGCACCCATTACAACGTCTGTTCCGCCATGCCACCCACGCTTGATTCCAAACAATTATTTTACAAGTGCTAGTCGCGCACATCACATCACGGACCAACATGCCCAGCCTTATACTTGCATGCGGCGACTATCTGGTTCGTGTACGGTGCTACCTTCGTCCCGAGCCCATAGTTCCATGCCAAAGCTTGTTTGACCGGGTTCCCTGGTGCATGCCCGGTCCAATCCGCACATTCGGCCTTGCCGCGCATGCATGCAACGCGACACCGTCCCCAACTCTAAGCCACCTCATGGCCTATGTATGGGGAGTCTGTAGATGTGACGGCGGCGTGAAACAGTTGCCGGATGGCCTCCCAGCCCCCCAATACAGCACGTTTGACTGGGTTCCCTGGTGCATGCCCGGTGGTCTATATCTACACGCACTTGTCAGCTCCCTTGCGAGGCCCTGTGAGGGCTGATCACGCTGATCATGATCAACACCGGTGGACCGGTGCAGGCCGTGATCAGGCCCATTGCCTGGGCTTTTAGCACCTTTCTTCCTGTCCTATAGGCTGTCGCACTGCATACATGTGGTGTATCTATGCTTGTATGAAGATTCTTGCTCTGATCACGCCGGATCACGCTGATCACGGTAGGTGCCGGTGGACGGAGGGTTAGCTTGATCATGATCAGGACCGGTCAGCCGGTGCACTTATTAGCTCCAAATAACCATTCCAATTTTGCGGCCCAGGAGTGCAGTCGCTTTGGCGTGCCAGTGCAGTTCAATGCCTCTCCCAGCCCATCCTTGCATCGGTACCGCGTAATCCACTACAGGGGCAACAATGCCACCCAGGGGACCGCATGGTGCTATACCGGTATAAGCCCTTGCCTTGGGCTAGCGATTCCCAAGCCACTACACTACCGCATTCTGAATACAATAGCTTTGACTGCTTTTAGTTTCATACAAGCTATCCTCAGGTCGACAGCTTTAGTTAACCGCTTTGGGCCCAACACAAGCATCCGTGTGCATGCTCCAGCAGTCTTCATACTGATTTAATTGCCTGGTTAGCTGGAGGCGTATATTAACATATTAATAAACAAAGGCAAGCAACGCAAATGCAACCTAACCATACATTGAGCCCCTTCAGGTGGTCCTTCGCCTTTGTTGTAAGAAAGTAAGCAAGTAAGTAGACTCAGACAAAACCAATAGCAATATTAATGTCATGGCGTTCAGCCGCGACGCCTCAACAGTGAACTCACCATGTCGGCAACCATTCGTCACCGTACGGCATGCGTATGCAGACATAACACATAAGCGAATAATTCAGGAACATTTATATGTAAGCACCTAGCTGCACGTAGATACAAATAGCTAATCAGTCAGTGGTCCCTCGTGAACAGAGCTTTATAGCTTGCTTTCACCCGACGCTTCGACCCCCGTAGATCTGTAGCCATGTGCTTCCAAACTACTTGCCAAATGTGCCAGAAGCCCACGTGGGCCGGCTGCGGCAAGCACATCGACTCGGTACGCGAGGTGTCAAGCCATGTTGAGTACCGTATGCCCTGCATAAACTTCGCATTATGCTGTTTACAGGCACTCGCTTCTGTGCCCTACGCTGATCGCTGCGCTTGCAAAGCTCGCACGCAACAGGAGCAGGGCCGCTAACAGCAGCGGAGCTCTTCCGAAGGTACACTGCTGGCAAACCAACGCGATTAAACCAACGCGATTCCCTGCCTCTCCTTGCACAAAGCTGCACTCACTATGTTGGCCAGTTCCATCCTTCATACGTGGAACTACGTACGCAATCTTATGGCACGTTTTTTCCTACTTGTGGATCAACCGTCGCTTTTTGTCCCAATGCCCCTGCTGCAGGTTAAGAAAGATGTCATCTACGCAAAACCATGCATCAAGCATTCGCTATTCATCAGGTTGAAAATGCGTAAGGGCGCTGGGCCAGGACAGGGCCACGCCCCTTGCTGGAGATACAGCAGCAGCAGGATAAGCGCTGCGAAGTTGTTCATGCCAGTTGCTATGTAACAGTTGACTGCAACTACGTTTCCGCAGGTTCGACTGTGTCACATGCTGCCACAGCATACCACAGCATCCTTAGCGAACTTCTAACTTCAGTAGAATTCCAGGCAGCGGCAATGCCTAGGACCGCCTGAGCCACATTCCACATTCCAAAGACACACGCAAGTGCTGTTCCCGATAAGAAGCAGGACGTTTCATGTGTATGAGCCTACAGGCGATTATCAACTCGCACCCACCTCCTTGCATGCATACATGCACGGCATATGGGATATGGAAAAGCCGACTGCGCACCTGCGCCGTCATCCCCAAAGCCAACCAACATACCTCAGCACCCCCATCCGCTGCCATAGCAGGGTGGATGCGTACTCCCTGCCATGGCACTGTCTCCCTGCGACTGTTAAAGCAACACCAGCGCAAGATACGGTGCTGGCCACGCCCAAAGGGTTACGCATTTAGCCACGTACACACTCTCTTTTTCAGCGCAAAAGGACTGCCGCCGCTGCACAACTCGGCCTGTTTAGGAATCTGACATCAACATCAATTCATAAAATGGAACCACCGCGACAGAGCCCAACCGACGTTGCATCCTGTTCAGGCGCCAAGCCGTGGTGGAACGCAAGAGGGCCTGTGGGAGCGGGAAACACACAGTGGGATTGGGACACTTTCAGCCACCAGGGATCCTTCAAGTGTTTTTCGCACATGCAAAGCCCACATCATAGCAAGCCAACCGGCGCTCTCTTCTATTTCTTTCTTGCCTGTCATCGACCACCCGTGTTGCCAAGCAAGCAACCGCTACCATAATTCCATAACAGCTATTGGGCCATGCGGGCCGTACCGGTATTGCAGTACCGGTACACACATACTTTTCTTACCACACACAGTTTTATTCACACAAGGGCTCACCTGCAAGGTTGGTGGCGTGTGAAGTAGCGACTCGCGAGGCCCTGCAGCGGACTGCAGCCACCCTGCAAACGCCAGCAACCTGCGCCGCTCTGCACCTGCTGCGGATCCGTCCTGAGGCTGCGGGGCTGGGGCTGCGGCTGCGGGCCTGCGGCTGGCGATGCACCCCGGCGTGTCATCACCACCTAGCAAGGAAGCGTTGGGTGTGCAGGCAACATCAGGACACGGGTGCTGGCGCCATTGCTGCCCCCGCAGAGACGCATGCTTGGTTCGCTGAAGATGCTGGTAGCGCTTGTAGTCGAAATCCCAGGGCGACAACACGTACACACAGAGCGAGTCGGACAAGCTCCTCTCGCATGCAGCGCTTGCTACAGCCGCATTCGGCGCGGGGACACCGGAACCAGCAGCAGGAGGCAGCGCCTCGGACACATGGCCACGTTGGCCGCCATCCCCGCCATCATACACACCAACCCTACGGTCTGCGGCCGAAGACCGCTCTGACGCATGGACAGTGGCAGCTAGCAGCATGCGGACGCTTAGGCCCGCGCCAGCGCTCGGCGGAAGAGGGCATTCCGCAAGGCTCATCAGCCTCTCGGCAAGTGCCTCCACAGCAGCAGCAGCAGCATGCTGATAGGCACCTGGCGGCTGCTGCTGACCCTGCTGTGGTGGCTGCTGCTGCGGCTGCTGTGCGCAGCGCCCAGCGGGCATCACAAGGTCGGCCATCAGCCCCTGCTGTTCGTCCACCCTAATGCATGTACGATAAGCCAAGCCGCGCCGACGCAAGGCACTGGCGAGGTCCGTGCAAAAGGGCCCCGCTGAACGCGCATGCAGGAGGTCGTGCGGGTGTAGCGGTGCCAGACTCGGCAACCACGGCGGCTCTAATGACGCCGGCGACACGCAGGCCAGCTCCTGCCGAGCTGGAGAACAGCCTCGCTTCGCCCTCGTGCCCATGTCGGCTTCTAACCCCGTCAAGCCGTGCACCTCCACCGCCGCCGCCATGAGCTGTTGCTGCTGCTCCGCCTGCTGCTGCTGCTGCCGCTGCTCCCTCCGCTGGCGCTGGTAGCTGCGGACTTTCCCCCACGGCACCATCGCAGGGTCCCTACGCATGCGGGTGACCTGGACGTTACGTAACGCCTGCAGGAGGGGCGGTGCACGCCCGGCGCCAAGTTTGCCTTCACCAGCGCTCCTTAGGACGCAGCCACTGTCACTACTGCTGCTGCCACCCTCAGCTCCCAAGGCCGCAGCCTCGGACACGCGGCCCTCCCAGACTCCAGCACTGCCCCGACCCATGCCGACCAGCAACGGCCGCAGGGCCTCGTCGTAAGAACCCTTCTCGCAGGCTCGTACAATACCCTCAATACTGCCGTACTTGAGCAACAGCTTACGTGCGGCGCGGGAACTCAGGCCCACGCCGGGCACGCCCGCCTCTGCCTTCCCCACCAACGCGAGGTAGTCCGGATACGCAGCGGCGGGCAGCAACGATGCCCCAGGCGCTGTGGTCACCGACGCCAACGGCCGCAACGGAACACGGTTCCCACTCTTCGCATGCGTTTCAGCTGCAGCGGTGGCATGTGGTGCGTTTAGAGTCATCGGGGCTGCTATCACGGCCTCATGTAACTGCATGAGCATGCTGGGTATGCCCGGCAGGGGCCGCGATCGTACTGATAAGGGTGGGGGTTCTTGGGCGCTTGCAGAGCGGCTAAGGTGCCGCAGCTCCAGCCAGGCACATCCCGAGTGGGAGAGGAGCTGCAGCATGTCAGCATCGGCGCTGGCAATCACCACACGACCCACTGGTCTGTGGTGCGAGACCCGATGGCTTGCGTGGTGGGGAGCCGTACATGCCTTCGCATGGGTGGCCGCGGTTGCCGGGGTAGGAATGAAGAATGAGGATGCGGAGGTGGTGGTGGGGAATGGGCTACTGCAGTTGAGGGAGGAGGAGGCAGGGGGCTCCAAGGGTGTGGGCTGATGCTGTGGATCTCCGTGCTATGGGGCAAGGATGGAAACGGGGGCAGGGAAGGGGAACAGGGAACGATTGGACTTGGACTGGAAAATTAACAAAAGAAACCACAACGGAAGATGCAACGAAAGGAACAATTGTAATACAAATGATATACAGTAAAAATCCCTAGTCCACATGATAGGTGCGCAACTCTTGCCACCAACCGTAACCCATTCCAGCCGGACGACAACAGCAGCAGCAGCAGCAGCATGTGCTCACCAGCAGTCCCTCAACAAGTGAGCCGATGACGTCGTCCGCTTCCAGCCCAGGCATGCCGTACAGAGTTAGTCCACCGAGTTGCCGTACCGTGTCAGCAAAGGGCGCAAAGTACGGCGGCGGCGGTGGTGACTCATCTGCATCAGGCTCAGATGCCCTGGGAACCTTCCGCTGCTCTGGATGTTGCCGGCTGACGTTTAGCCGCGGCTGTGGCTGCTTCTGCTGCCGTGGATCGTCCCCTGTGGGCATGAAGGCGCACGCCCGGAGGCACGGTTTGGAAGGGCGAAGCAGGTGCCAGGATGCGCCATCAAGCATAATCGTACATGCATGGTTGTAGGATAGCAAGCGAAGACAGGACACAAGTAAGGTGCGCGGGTCCCTGTAATCCTACCTGCCTTTTAGCGCCAGCGGGCTGCCCGTGCTGCCACGGCACTGTTTGGCGCGCCGCTTAGCCAGGTATGTGGGCACAAATGCCTGTCGCGATTCTGAAAGGCGTGAGCCACGGCTGCCGCTCCCCTTGTTGTCCACAACCACATACAGCTGCTTGCATGCTGTGAGCTGCATGAGCGCAGTAAGCCATCCATGGAATGCATCGACATGGCTTGCATCCCAGGAAGTGTCCTCGCGGGAAAACATAACCAGGTTTGTCCCATCGACGACAAGCGCGTCCGCAGGCGTTTCGGTGCGGAGCTTAACGGCATGCCCAATAAGGCCATCACCGCCCTGGCACGTTAGCGCTTTAGAACCGCACTTGGCATTTAGCTTTGATGCATTGCCGTTGACAAATGTTGCGTGCGGGTGGTGCAAGCGCCAGCGACGATTACATGCGGTAAGAGCTTCCCACTGATTACTGAACGCAAGCTTGCTTACAATCGTAGGTAAATTTGAGTAAGGTAACTTGACATGCACTCTGCTTATGGCGCGCCCTGTGCATGGATATACGGCTCCAAGGGATCCTCCACGAAAGGATGCGACCGGCCACAGGTCGCTCATCAGCACGATAGGGGTCCATATGTGCATGCTGTCCGTTCCCTGTTGCCAAAAAATGGGAGACATGGAGGGTACGACGTGCACGGCGCTACAGAAACCAAATCCCTCACGCCTTCAACTTGGTCAGCATTTAGCATGAACCCATTATGTCAAAACTAGGCTGTATTACGTTTCTATTGCATTCCCCTTACAATACGTTCTGGTTTGTCGGGCAAAGCAAACTCCTTGTCTGACATACGGTCTATTACTCCTCACGGAAACTTCTTTTAGAGGTATTAGTGTCACCAAGGTTTGGGAAGCCGTTAAAGCAGGATGACAGCCCTAAATGGTCAACGGTGCCTAGCCTCGACGTCGCGGCAGCTCATCCTGAGCGTCGCAGTTGCACTTGGGCTATTATGCCGTCACTCCGTTGCATTATCTTTAAGCAATGCTGGTCAAGACGTCTGGGGAGGCGATAAGCTGTTCAACCGGTGGCGAGAGGTGTTGTCAGCGAGGGTAGGCAAGGGCGAGCCCGCTCCTTCAGTGTTCGAGCAAGCCTTCACGGCTACGTATACCAGCAATGATCCTGGCGAAGTTCAGCGAACTTTGGAACAATATGCCCTCCTCGTGCGCTGGTTGGAGTCCACGCCCCATCCCAACGCTACACATTTAGCACTGGTGCCAGAGTTTGGAGATGCGAACGCATTGGCAATTGCTAGCGCAGCCGTCAGTTTGTCAAAGCAAAGCAGCAAGGACGCAGCAGGTATGGTTCAGGCGCTATCAAGCATCAGCGACAAGCTAAGTGCCGCAACACCATGGCGCGGCTATGCAGCCACCCGCCGCGCGCTTGTCGGCGCTCTGCTCAAGCGCCGGATAGACTTTGGCGGGCGCTTTCCCGCTGAGGTCCAATCAGCAGTCGACGGCATTATGCTCAAGCTCTTCCAGCTGCACAAAAACTCATCCGCCAATCGTGGCGCAGTTCAATTCTTTCATGTCTCCAAATCGGGCGGAACCAACCTCTGCCAAGCAGCCGAAGCCAACGGCTGCGCAACGCAGGGCTTTGACACGCGCACCAACTGCCTCATCCGTGACTTTATCGACCAGCCACGCTGGGTCACCTACAACGCCCACAAGTACGTGCAGTATCGCATGTCCTCCCGCCAGGCGCTACCCTGGTTTGTCAATTTCCACACCTTCCGCCCTGTCATCTCCTGCGAACAACGCCGCGCATACCTGCTCCAAAACAACTTCACCTTTTACGCCAACGAGTACACCAACCCGCCGGGCGCTAACGTCTCCAGCGAAATGTGCGAGGACTTTGTCAACCTTATCATGTTCCGCCATCCTTACGAACGCTTGCGCTCCCAAATCGGTTGGGTTCAGAAGCTCTATAAGGAGTTCTATCTCGACGTTGACACCCAGCGCGCCTTCATCAACCGCACCACGGGCTTTTGGGAGCGCCTGATGCCTGCTGGCGTGAACAACTACTACATCCGCAGCCTGCTGGGTCAACGCTTCTTTGAATTCCCGGTCATGCAAGTCGCTCCGGAGCACATTGGCCTAGCACAGCTGGCATCGCTGCAACACGACATCCTGCTGATCCTAGAATCCAAGACGCGTAACGAGCTGGCGATGCGTGTGGGCTTGGGGTGGTCGCAGGCGTTACGGGACGGTGCGGTTCGCAGCTCAACTGAACTAGGCGACGCGGTGGCGCTGCCTTTGGATTACGACACCATGCTGGAGCGCAACCTGCCTGATGTCGAGGTGTACGCCTTTGCTCGGGAGATGCAAGCGCTCGATACACTGCTTTGGAACTTTGTGGTGATTGCGGATGAGCAACTAGGGTTTGATAACCTGTCTTCAGAGCAATGCGGGTACGTCTCGATGGGCTCGGCAAAGGCAGTGGAGGAGCGGGCGGAGCGGTTGAGTGGGGTGACGGTTCCTGTGATGGCGCTGAGGCCGAATGCAGCAGCGGCAGCAGCAGCCGCGGCGGCGGCAGGCGAGGTGCCTCCAAGCAGCATCAGCGGCACTGAAGTCGTGGATGAGGAAGAGGAGGATGAGGGTGAGAGCAAGGGCGAGAAGGGGGCGGACGGGAACACGGGGGGTGAGTCGGCTGCTGGAAAGAGCTCGAGCATGGGTGTGCTTCGGGGCGGAGTTGTTAGTAAGGGTGGGCGAGGCAGTTCCATCATTTCGATCAGCAGGCATCGGAGAAGCCGGCGTGTCTTGGCTTGGCGGTAAGGCAAGGGGAACTTGGAACGGAGGAAAGTAGCGGAGGGCCTGCTTAACAGCGATAAGGGAGGACTTGGGTGTTAGATGAGATACTTTAGTAGGACGGATGATCCGGTAGTGATTCTAGACATCGTGTGCCATTTGGCGATGATTGCTCGCCAGTTAGGTTTGACATGTGCGTCTCTCATGAAACTGCATCCTAGAGTCATGTTATTTATCGCACTGCAAGCCATATGTGGCTCAATGCTGTATTTACTTAAGAAGAGCGCCAAGGCGTGGCATCCCTTTGGATTGGCGCACTTGCCTGTTTAGGACGTGTGCCTGTTATGTGGTTAGGACGCGTTGTACAAGACTTGTACTGCAGTGGCAGTCAGACGCAAATTGAAAGCGTTGCAAGTGCGCATGATGTATGCACGGTCGGAGACTCCGGATCATACTAGGTTATCCAACTTGGCTTGCCTTTTGCGGTCGAAAGGTCTGCGTTTTGGGCTGTTAGGTGCCAACATATATGCGTGTCGCCACAGGTTTTGCATGCGCATACGTTCGGAAAACGGATTAACGGCCACGCGATGTATTGAAGGGATTAGAAACAACGAATGGAGCACGGCTAGGACTGAACTGTATGGCGCACGGCTGGGAAGCCAGTACAGCGGTATGTGCACACCGTTGTTTAATGGTAGGCTGGGGGGGGGTGTATGGCGGCGCAAGCTGCAGGTTAAGACGCCTGTTGGTATGCGGGTTATTGCGGCGGATGACCGCGCGCCTTAGTATGTGTAGGGAAGTGTCCGCGCGGTGAGATGTATTGCCGTAGTGTGTCCGTACAATTGAATGGACGGCGCCGGGCGGGCTGTTGTACGGCAACGCCTATATGGCGATGGCCCACATTTGGAGGCTAAGGTGTCCTTTGTTATGGTACTGGTAATGTCACATGTCCACACTTGCGGTCTTGCCGTTTCATCCAGGCTTGACTGATGTTCATTGCCTCAAGTTCCTGTTTACGTCTTTTTGACCGCAAACACGTCAGTGCGGTTTCGGAGAAAGCACCGGTACACAGCCTGCTTGTCAAACACCACCTATTGGCCCTCTCGTACATAACGCACCCATGTCCCACTCCAAAGCACAAACCGGCAGCGCACCTCTCCCGCCACTTGTAATGCGACCAACGCTGATTCCGACCCTAGAACCTGGCCCCATGCTTCTCTCGTGTCTCACGAACCCATCCTGCATTCCTACGAATCTGCACGACCCGCGGGTCTCCCTCTTTCTGACTCTTCATCTCACGCACCCTCAGTGCCGCCTGTGTACCACGCCCACCCAGATGTCATAAACCCATGCTGCCACATGAAGTCATGTTGTCATGCATCAGCCGGTTCCCGCCTGCCGCGCACGCAGCTGTTTGATAGCATCCACCGTCACCTGCAGGGACCGGCAGCGGGACGGGGGACGGCAAAGCGAGGAAGCTAGGACGACGAAGAAGGAATTCCAAATGTCCCTCACCGTTACCACCACCAGCAATCGCGACCCCCCGTCCAGTCTGCTGCTACCGGACACACAAGTGACACCACCGCTAGTGTGGGTTGTGTTTTGTGTGTTCCCCTCTCACCCCGGAACCCCACACTAGCACAGTCCTTACCTGGACCTTCTGCTACCGCTATGCTGCGGTCACAGTCAGTCAATGCTTTTCGCCTAGGGATGCACGTTGGTTTCTTTCATCAAGGCGCACTCACGGCTCAATCTGCCTAATGTTCTGGTGCTAAAGCAGGGTGCTAACCACCTTATATCAGCCTCCCAGTTGCTTCACTTCCCATTCATGTTCCCCCACCTGGAATTGCTTGGCGCTGAGTCCCTGCAGCGCCGCCAGCAGCTGCTGCGTGTCCCGCAGCTGCCCGCGCTGCGCCTCCAGCTCGCCGGCCAGGCGGGCAAGCAGCGCGGAGTGCTCGGAGGAGGCGGACTGGAGCTGAGGGGTGGCGGAAAAGAGAAGGGTAAAGAAGAAGGAAGAGAGGAGTAAGGGAGTGTAACAGGGGTTAGGTGGTGCGGGGCCATCGATGCGCGCCTGTTTCTCTCCCCAGCACTCACCTGCGCGATTGGACGCCGGAGGTCGCCGCTTGCCAAACGAGTGCGGACCTGCAAGCAAGCAAGCAAGCGCAAGACAACATATGATAGGGAGTGTCAGGCGCCTTCCGCTGTAACAGACACACACTTCATCTTCCGACAATATCAGTACGTTCCTACTCGCGGCCAGTTTTCTTAACACACACACAGACACAACCGCAAGCACACATAGTACAGCAACGCCGGAGTGGTCAAGGAGCTTCCCTTACCCTCCTCCCGTAGAACAGGAGGTTAGAAGAGGAGCCCATGCCGGCCACGATGTACGTCACGTGTCTCACGCCTAACACCCCAGAGCCCCCTCAGTGACGCGCACAAAACAGTAGCAGCGTGCAGCAGCAACGCGACACCAGCTGCGTCACTTTATCCACACATCACCTGCAGCTTGTCTATTTGTCGTACAGCTGCCCCAAACTCAGCCAGCTGCTTCTCCGTGAGCGCCTCCAGTCGGGCCAGTCGGGCGGCGGCCTCCAGTGCGACACCCCCGCCCCCGCCAGCACCCGGCTGCACTGCTGCCATGCGACTGTGGGAGGGTGAGGAGGAGGTGTGAGGGGCAGGTGTGCAGGCAGCTTGCGGGGTGCGGGTGGGGTATGCGGGCGACGGGATGGGACGGGGGCCGGAGCATGGACAGCGGCGACCGAAAGACGTTGGTGTGCTAGGGCAATGGGTTCCGCGGCATCACTCCATGTCTACAATTTGTCTTCCCGCCAGTTCGTGCCTGTTGCTCGGTAGCTTGTATGCCAGGTTGCTGAGAGCTGTTAGCAAAGTGCAAGCGGCAACGAGCTCGCCAGGAAGAGCCGAGGAAGGGACTGCCGACGGGAATGCGATTGATGCCTGATTGGGTAACAACTGCTGCTGCTGGTGTTGCGGCGCAGAGGATGGCTGGCATCGGAGTGATCTTTGCCTTGCTTCTCTGAGCCTCCGGGATGCTGACGCCGCAAGGATAACGATGCAACAAGCGGCACACGCAGCATCTAGCACCGCCGTGGGGTGGGCTGCTATTAAAGGGCTGGCTGGGGGCACATGCCCTTTGCTCGACGATATTTTTGTCCCAAATCTCGCATCTGGTATCATGCGCAGCCGCTTACATCCCCGCAATACTGGGGTCGGCGGACGTGCTGATGCTAGCATGGAAACGTCGGGACGGAAGCTATACTGCCCTTTGATTCTACTAATATGTTTGGTCCTACGGATCGAAGCAAGCCAAGGCAGCAAACAAAGCTTATGCGTTTGGTATAGGATCACCGATTCGTCCGCTTGGTCATCACAAGCGACGCATGGCACATAAGGACTGAAGGTATTTAACAAAGCAAAACAAAGTTATATAAACACATAACGTGCATAGTGTATAGCTGTATGTGACGTCGAGATGGGGCCGTTTCAGTTGGTTTCCTTGGTTCCAAAGAAAGCATAGGCTCGTTCTCAGGCGGTTCTTACGTGTTGCAGACCTGACCACGCCCGTCGCTGATTACCGTAGTAAGCTTCGAGAGATAAGACTGTTACCACTTAACGCATAACGTGATTTTCCTAGCAGCCAAGGTTCCGCTTTGCAATTTTTATTACGCTGTTCGGTGGCCCCTCAAAAGGCCTCCCAGCAATTAACATGACCTCTTGGATGCCGTGGTCGAGGTGTTGACTTATTGCACCCGCGTGAATGGAGTCCAACGGGGGACCAAGGGTGGCTTACGTAGTCGTGACCAAAGGCCTTGACTACCCAACTGCCGAGGATCGCCGTCCCTCCGGTGCCCGGTATACTCGCGATGCTATACGTGGAATGCTCCAGTTCATGGGTTGCAAGCCGCGCCATTCCTACAAAGCGGCGCAGCTTGTCTTCCAGAAACTTGAACGCTTTGCGTCGGAGGGCAGCAAATTCAGCTATGGTAGCCGGCAGCTTTGGGACGTCGGTCCTCATGACGAGGGGTCCGTTTACGTAGCCATGCCGCGTTCAGAATTCTACGAACTTATATGCAGCACGCTGACGGAGTACAATTACAAGTATGTCCCGTCATCGGACGAGATTAAGGCAGCGTGCAGGTGCGGAATAGATACCTGGGTTGCTGTGGGCTTCTAGGAGTCATGTCTCTACCCGAAGCTGGAACTCCTCAGATCATCGACTGCCCACCCGTTCTTACGTCGCACAGCCTTTAAGCTTCTTACGACTCTACACTCCTTGAACACGTCGCATCACAATAATGCATCACATTGGTTGTAACCTGCTTGCCCATCTAACCCTCTACTTGCCCATCTAACCCTCTACTTGCCCATCTAACCCCAAATCGCTCCTCTTACCCGTACAGCTTGCGAGAGCGCCGTCGCCATGTCATCGTGCTTCTGTGCGGTACCAGCGGCAGCGGCAAATCCACGCTGGCGTCTATCCTGGTAGGCGCGACCTTTTGACTTACCTGTTGACGCTTGACCTTACTCGCAACAGCGCACGTAGCTGCCGGTCGCCGCGCAGTCGGCTTCGGGCACATATATACCCCATGCACTCACATGTCTCCACCTGTAATACGCAACATGCAGGCCAGCAGACTGGGCATCAGCACTGTCCTCTCTACTGACAGCGTACGGCACATGATGCGCAGCTTCACGTCTGCAGCGGAGACGCCGCTGCTCTTCGCGTCGACCTACGAGGCTGGGGAGGCGCTTCGAAAGCAGCAAGCCCTCGACGAGGCACGGCGGCAGCAGCAACAGCAATTGCTGCATCAGCACGGTTCTCCGGCTCATCAGGCTCAGCAACCACCGCCAGCCCAAGGCGGGGCTGCTGCCTCCGCTGCCCCAGATGCCAGCGGTAGCCGACTCGAGAACCAGCCGTCCAGTAATCCTGCCCCTGTGCCCGCGTGCGCCACTTCGGCAGCCCATGTCGCAGCCGGACACGCCTCTTCGGTGCCCTCGACAGCAGCAACGGCAGCGGCGCCTGCTCCCAGTGCGCATGACCAGGCGATCCGCGGCTACAAGGCCCAGTGCGAGCTGGTTTCGGAGCAGCTTGAGCAGCTGATCTGTGGTTTCGAGGCTCGGCGGCAGAGCCTGGTGGTGGAGGGGGTGCACCTGCATGTGGGGCTGGTGATGCGGCTGCTGCAACGGCATCCGGGGGTGGTGCCCTTCCTGGTCTACATCAAAAGCGAGGGTGAGAGGGTTGTGAGCAGCGGTTATTGGTTGCGTTGTTATAACCCCGGTTGGCGTTGGGGTTTAGCCGTAGGATCTTGGTTTGAAACGTGTGCCCCAGCATGGTTGCAAGTATAGTGTACAAAGAAAGACACACTTCACCTGCAGCGCTGCAGCGGCTTGAATGCAGCGCGGCCCACATGACGTCACATGGCTCCAACCCACATCGGCCCCGCAGGCAAGCACACTGAGCGCATGGCGGTGCGTGCCAAGTACATGACGCTGGATCCCAACAAGAACAAGTACGTCAAAAACATGAGGAACATCCGCTGGATCCAGGTGGGGACGTCGTACTGCTCGTACTGCACGCGTTGCTGATACCGTCGAAGATTGGCAGGGGCCGACACGGGGCGAGGGGTCATATACGGTGCCGGCAACCAAAGGCATACCTCCATGTGCACAATTTGCAAGGTTACAAAGTTGCAAGACCAGTTCAGGCTGCGATGTGTGCTGCTCTCATACACCGGGGTAGCTAACCGATTTGCCTGGCGTCCGCTGGGTCCCCCAGGATTACTTGTTGCGGAAGGCGGAGAAGCACGCCATCCCGTGCGTGGAGAACTCCAACATCGACCGCTCGGTGGGGCTCATCCACCTGACGCTACTGGGGTAAGTGATTAGAGAAGCGGCGCCTGAAAACCGTTTTTCCCCTCATTCTAGAGGGGCTTTCTCAGCGCCTTGGTGTCCGCGGCCGTTCAACGCCGGCAGCCATGGGGGTTGCCGGGGGTAGCTGCGCAGTTGCATAAGCCGCGTGCTTGTCACGCTCCATATGCGTCTCTTCCCCGCCCCTTCCGCAGCTGTCTGAAGCGCATGATGAAGGGCGAGCAGATCCTGGACGGCGGCTCATCCTCCGTCCGCATGTTACACAATGAGTTCTCGACTGTGGTGGAGTCGCTAGCTGGGACGACACTTGCAGCTGGTCCCACCGCCCCTGCAGCTGTGGCCGCGGCCGTTGCTGGCGGGCAGCAGGTGCCTCGAGGTACGTCAGCACTATGACATGGCTGGACGACATATGCTCACATCCCCCATTCGCTGCGTTCAGCTCAGCGCTGCTATCGTATAGTTCGTATTAGGCCATTCGTGTAACCGCATGTCCTGCTGCATGCGCTTCCTAAGGCTGAATCCCATCTTGCCATGGCTCACGTCCTGTTCTTCCTGCTGTGCAGCTGAGAGCTTCAACAGCAGCTCACAACAACAGCAGCAGCGCATGCAGCTGGGGTCGCCGCGCTCCTTCAAGCGCGAGTCCGCGCCCATGGCCTCTCGAGGTCCGTCGGGCGACGATGCGGGCGTGGAAGTGGACGCGGTTAGTGCGGCGCGTGTCAACAGTAGCTCGCAGGTCGACGCGCTACTGCAGCAGCTGCAGGAGATGGGGCAGATCGGTGTCACCCTGCCGCTATCGTCATCGCCTCAGCAGCAAGCGGGGTCGGCGCCGGCGCAGCAAAGTCAGGTAAAGGTCGTTTGCAAAAGCGAACAAGCTATTGTAAAGCTGTGCCTGGTGCGATGCAAGGTTTTCCCGTGTGCCTGTGAACCTGGCAATCGTTCAAGTGTTCAAGTCTAGCTGCAACCCCTACCTGACCCACATCAACCCTTGCGCCTTACCTTGCACGTCGTTTGCATGGTCGTGTCGAGTCATACGTACGCTCCCCGTCACGTGTTCCTGCAGGGTAAGACCTGCAATGTGAGCTGCGGCAGCAGTCCTAGTGAGCCAATGCCCTGGGGGCCAGCCTCTTCGTCGCCGGAACAACGCCTGGTTGGTGCACGCGGCGACAACGGTCATAAAGTGGGCTTGTCGCGGCCACCCGATGCGGTGTTGTTTGGCTTCGCCACTAGCCAGGCAACAGGGCCAGGTGCCGCTTCATCCGCGCTGCTTCCGGGCGAAGGAGCAGCATCGGCTACGCGAGCCGCTGGGTTCTTCGGACCGGGCGCGGAAGGAAAGGAGTTGAGCTTCACTAGCGCCGCAGCCGCCGGGCCGTTTGTGCTGCTGTCACCGCCGCTGTCGCCCCACCGTGATGCACACGCCGCGATACATGCCAGCGCCAAGACTGTAGGATCCCACCTGCCTCAGCAGCAGCAGCAGCAGCAGGAGAATGGCAGCGGCAGCGGAAGTAACAGCAGCATGGCGCCCCGGACGGCTAGCTTTTGCGGCGGCGCGTCTCCCTCGCGCGGTCCCATGCTGCTATCCAGCCTGCTGCGACTCGCATGTCAGCAGCAGCCACCGCAGCAACAGCAGCAACTGCTTGCGCCGCATGGTTCCTCTCCACCGCGGGACTCACAGGACGAAACTCATAGTTGCGGTCAGCGGCAAACGCACGGGCAGCAGCCTGTGCAGGCAGGGGAGCAGCAGGAGGCAAGTCCGCCCTTCGTTCCGTTCGTGGGAATGTCGCCTCAGAGGCCAGCTAACTCATTCGAGCGCCGCGTCAGCGGCCAGGACGGTGTCCTGCAGGTGGCCCCATGCAGCCCAGTGTACGGCGCTCCCTTGTATGACAGTAGTTTGGCTTCTGGCACGGACAAAGACAGGAGCAGCAAGGCCATTGAATGCGGTGGGACTGCAGGACTAAAAGGGAGCGCTGGAGGCAGCGCCGGCGTCGCTACCGAGGGCAGTAGTCGAGGCAATGGTGAGCGGTTGGCTGCGGTCAGTGGTACGGCGCTAGCTGTGCGGGATGCTGGCGATCCTTTGATTCATCGCGCAGCTTCTTCTGCAGCAATTGCAGTAGGCTCACCGCTCTCACGCAGCCGCAATGCGAATTGCCTGTCAGCCGAGCAGCAGCAGCACTTGGACGCAGTACTGCCGGCATGGGTACGGCAGCTAGAGCCCCGCATAGGCTCCCCGGCGAAATCTGGTAGCGGAGGCGGTGGAGGTGGAGTCGGCATGGGAGTCCTCCCTCCGCTACCGGTTTGTCCACCATCCGTGCCCGTGTCGGGCGAAAGTGAACGGTGCTTGCATGGCTGCCAAGCTGTTTTGAAGGGACATGGCGTAGGTGGCGTTGGTGGCTTCACCGACGCAGTTGGCGGCAGCGCTGCGGCAGCGGGTTCGGGCCAAGATGCCCCTGTTGACGCTCTGGAAACCAACGGCGTTGACGGTCGTGTAGGTCCGCCAGCTGTACTCCTGGATGCGCCCACGGCAGCAGCCGCTGCTGCCGCCACTGCCAGTGCGCTTTCGCGGTTTGGCAACGACTGCTCCGACGAGGTTTTGGCGGCGGCCGTGGCGTCAGCGATCCTGGATGAACAGATGGACGGCGTGACGGAGCCGGACATGTCGAATGCCCGGCAGCAGGGGCAGCACAGCCAACAGGGATCGCGCAGGTCCACAGCAACTGGGTCAGGTCATGTCAGCGGCGGCCCAAGCCGCAAATGTACGAGCGGCAATGGCGCGCCGTACTCGACGGACAGTGGCAGTATGGCTTCCGGTAGCGCCCTGCCACTTAAGCCGCCTGGCGGCGAGGCGCAATCGCAAAGCCCGGACTCGCACCCATGTACCGAAGTGGCAATGTCAGCATGTGCCGCTTGCGGAGGAGACCCGCTGTATCATATGCAGACTCCTGCAGAAACTGCATGCATTCCGGGATCTCCCGCAGTGTCGGGTTTCACATCAACTGCTGCTGCCTCAGTGCAACCGGCATCATCGGGGCCGCCGCCGCAAATGCCACATGCAACACCCAACGGGGTCGGCTCATCCATGAGCGGCATGGGCGCGTTCGCGGTGGCTCCCTCTTGGGCCGCCGCCGCGGCCGTCGGCTCGCCGAGTTTCCTGCGCTCCGGGAGCCGTTGCTTGGGGGAGTCCTCGTCGCCGAGCCGCAGCGGCTACTCCAGCGATGAAGGCGACGGCGCGAACGATGACTCCACCGCGGCGGGGAGCGGCGCCTGGCCGGCACGGCGACGGTCACATGTAGGAGCGCTGGGTCGCGACGTGGAGGCTGACAGCGATGATGACCCTGACGACGAGGCATACGGCGGGGCTAGTCCTCTGCAGGTAGGAGGGCTGCGGCACATGCATGAGCACGTGGGTGACAATGTGTAGTTAATTGCGTTTTGGCATTGCTGAGTTGGCAGTGTTATGGTGTTATAGGTTAATCCGTTAGTTATATAGTACCCTGTGCACGTTACCTTCTTTGCACCTCTTGACGGCACACAACAACCTCATCGTTCGTTTTCCCTGCATGCCAAACGTTTATGTGCGCAGGAGTACGGCAGCGTGTACGAGAGCGCAACGCATGATGACATGGACGAGCACGGCGACGAGGAGGAGGCGCTGCCGCTGGAGCAGGGCCGCTCCAATACCATCATCAAGCATCTTGCAAGCGCACTGGAACGAAGCCGCATGCGCGCCTCGGCCTCGGCAGCCGCAGGCCGCTTGCCCGGGGGCCACCGGTCTCCGTGCCCGCCGCCTGCGGCGTCCTCCGGCGCGGCTTCACGCGGCGGCATCGGCCGTCGTAGGTCGGGGAGGGTAAGCCAACGCGGGCTGCTTGCGAGCTCAACTGCAGGGTGTGGTGGTGGTGACGCAGGCGCGGGGGGCAGCAACAGCCCCGGCATGCAGCTGATGCGGCAGATGCTGCGCGGCGGCGCGATGGCGCGCTTGGTCACACCGGCTGCGGCGGCTGACACTGCCGCAGCGGCGCCCAGCCAACAATGTATGCCCAGTCAAGAACGTGCAGTGGGTCAGAGCGGTGCATCAGCAAGTGCCGAATGCAATGTGTCGTCTGGTGTGGCAGGAGTGACGGAGAGCAGTGATACGGGCGCAGGTCGTATGCACGGTGTGGCTGGTAGCGTAGGGAATGTAGATGCAGGTGTAGATACAGAGGGGCGGAAGGCAGGGGTAACCAATGCTGATGAAAAGCAAATTGGGGCACGCTTGCTTACCCCGTTCGCGTCGCCAATCTGATTGTAGTATATGTAATTTGTAGATAGGCAAGTTTTATGGTTTAAAGAGAGGAAAACAGAGTGTCCAGACTAGATGTGTAGGTTCGCAGGTGATAAACCAAGGCCAGGCAGGCAGGTCAGGTGTAATGGCTGGCATGAAACTGTATGCAACAGTGCACGGTAGTTTCTGCATGTCCCGAAATAATGTGTTTGCTGTGATGTTCGCCTTTCAATGAGTATGCTTCATGTGCGCTGCCCCGAACGTGTGGTAATGCGTCGTCATGTAACGAGTCATTCAGGAGAAATACTTCTTGATAACATGCAGACATCTTCGGACGGGTCAGCAACTTAGCAATATCAGCAGCGACACGGAGCAGGCCTGCATCACTCGACGCATGAGCCGCATAGTTCGCGTACGACAGCAACGCACACCTAACACGGTACATACTACGGTTTCCAGCCGTTGGGCCCGGCAACACTAGGCAAAATCGTGGGTCACGCGCCATGTTACCAGGCGCTGCCTCTTGTGTCAGAAGCCGCAGGGAATTAAGTACTCTGCGGTACGACACTTTGTGTGAGGGCAAACACGTCTCACGCCTACAAGAAATGGCCGTCCCTGCAGGGCATAGACCCGCGGAAAACCCCTTCCCTGCACAATCCGAACCCATCTAACACACACGCGCCCACATCAATGCGCGTCAAGTTGCCATGAAGCCCGACCAGCTCGCTAGCGAGGAAGGTAGGTTGGCAGCTTGACTGCACACCAAACTGCTTTTCATCGCCTTGCTGCTGTTGCTGCCGGTAACCACTGCTGAAGTGCTGCTGCTCAGTCCCATCACTGCTGCTCAGATCCGCGCTTGGAGACGCTGCTTCTGCTGCTGCCAGTTGCTGTGCCGGCGGCAAAGCCCTCGCCGCTCAACGACTGCCGTACGACAGCGCACCGACAGAGCTGTTACAGCCGCTGCTTACGACAGAGCCGGGAAGTGGCTCTCGTCCATAGCGGGGGCAGCACCACGGCCGGCGCCACGGCCACCGGCACCGCGGCCAGCACCGCTGCCGCGGCCGCCGCGGGCGCTCTGGGGGCGGTCGCCGCTGCGCTCGCCGCGCTCGCCGCCGCGGCCACCACGGCCGCCACGGCCACCGCGTCCGCCGCGCTCGCCACGGCCAGCCTCGCCGCTCGCGTAGCTGAAGCCAGTCTCAAGCACCACCTGTAGAATAAGGAGGGAACAGAAGGAACACGGGAGGGCGACGTGATTAATATTTGATGACGTGATTTGGAAGAGAAGGCCGGGGTACCGGTAGCAGGTGTCGCAACAAGATGTAAGGGCAGCAGCATCAGCTTGCGCACCTTGGTCTTGGCAGCAGACTCCTTGGCCGCCTTCTCGGCCTCGGCCCTCTTCTTCTCAACAGCAGCCAGATCCAGACCCTGCGTGTGCGTACAACCGAACGGGTCCGAGTGGTGAACTGAATGTCATGAGGGGGCATCATGGAGGCACATGCAACACCCAGTTCATGATCATGCAGGCATGCATAGCACACGCATGCCAAGACGGTCTTCGTAAGCTTGCCTCCAAAACAGGCCATCTGCCTTCTGCCTCCCAGGCACCCAGCCTTCCCCTCCATTCGCCGCCACCCCACCTGCGCCTCGGTCGACTGCTTGGTGAAGACCTTCAGGCCCTTCAGCTCGGCGTTGGGGTCCACGTTCTTGGACTCGGCCGCCTTGTTGAGCGCCTTCTTCTTCTCCAGCAGCAGAGCCTCGTACTCCTCCAGGCTCATCTCCTACAAGAGGAGAAGAGGAAGAAAAGAGGGATTAAGAGTTGATATTCTGCAGGGTTAAGGGGGGAGGGGCGGGGGGCGTCGCGCGAGTGTCGTCTCCTGCCCGGTATCAAGGGTAAGCAGCCCCAGCCTCGAGGGGCGGCAATCCAGCATTGCTCCTTTACCCTGGGTGGTTTTAAGTAGTGCGGGCCCTTACCTTCTCCTCCTCCTTGGGGGGCTCCTCAGCGGCCGGCTCGGCGGGGGCGGCCTCCTCAGCGGGGGCAGCCTCCTCAGTCGGCTTCACCTCCTCGCCCTCGGGAGCCCTGTGACAACGAGATAGGACAAGCGGCCCTTGTGAGCGACCGAGCAAGGTTCAGCGACCAAGGTCCCGCGGTTCGCAAATGTAGGGGGAAAAAGGGTACATCCCGGCACGCCGGCCTGGCCTTGCCGCAATACAATACGCAATCCAGCCAATGACCTTAGCAACACAAGCAAATGCTTTTTCAGGCCCGATGTCGCCTACATTGCGCGGAATAAGAGGGATTGCCATACGCCCTAATCCCGTTACCAATTCCCATTTCCTTTCAACTACACCATTGCTGCGTTTGTAGGTTCAACTTACTCCTTGACCTCGTCGCCCTCCTTGCCCCAGTTGCCGCGACCGGCGCCCTGGCGCTTCTCGGTCTCGTGACTGCAGTTCACAATATAGTTCCCAATATTAGCTCTATATGTGTCAAGAATAATTGTGAATTGAGCAGCTTGTGCAAAGTGACGGCATCTCGGCTCCACCATTCCGCAACAATCGTTCATAGGCACACTCTCACCCGCGGCCAGTACCGTCGTGGCGCTCATACTCGCGCCTGGGGTTGCGACCCTCGCCAGAGAAGCGGCCACCGCGACCCCGGCCAGGCCTTGGACCGCGACCACGGCCGGCCTCGCCCTCAGCGCGCTCCATAACGGGAGCCTCGCCCTCAGCAGGGGCAGCATTGCGATCCACAAAGGGACGAGGGCCACGGCCACCGCGTCCACGGCCCTCACCCCGACCCCGGCCGCCCTCTCCGCGCCCGCGGCCGCCGCGGCCGCCGTTCTCGGCGCGCTGAGCCTCCTGCTTAGCAACAGGAGCCTTGGCTGCAAGGAATAAAGTTCAGGACCAAGGCATAGTGAAGTCTTAGGCAGGACTAGGCCAAGGCAGCCATGCGCCGCAATGCCGGAGATAAACTTACCCGGCTTAACCTCCTCCTTGGGGGCCTCCTTCTTCACCGGCTTGGGGGCCTTAGCCGCCAGAACCTGGGGGTCCTCATTCTCGTCGTCTCCGAGCAGAGCAAACACGTTCTGGTCCGCCATTGTTGCACCTGGGTTCTTCGACTGGGTGCTACCCGACAAACTAGTGTTGCATGCTTCGCGAGACGCGAGTGGACAATCTACGTGTAACCAAAGTTTGGTAGAATTGGTTTAAGAGGAAGAAAGCTTAGTTGCCAGAGAGTTTGGATGCGTCTCCAGGTGCTCCAGGAGGGCCTGACACAATAAATACGCGGAGCAGCCCATCGCCTCCTGAAGTAATTCCCGTTTATTCATGTTTCAGCTTTAGCTATACGATGGAAGCCATACATCTCAAAGAGGCCTAAGGGCAACGAGGCCCTGGGGAAGCATTCTCTGCCAAGAAACACATTTAGCTTATTCCCATTTCTAGGCATACGAAGTTAACGCGATCTAGAATTTCTGCAATGTTCCTCTGCAAATTGCTGTGGCTTCGGTGGCAGGTGTTGCACTCGTGACCAAGCAGCAGTTACGTTCCCATCCAACACGCCCGACTCATAAAACTGAGATCATTCTCTTCTGTTTTAATACCAAGATTGCGGCCTTACTTAGTACATTCGAGCCATCGTTCAAGCCTTTGGTCTCAAATAGGTCGCAGCTTGCATGCCCTGCAAGGGCGTATTTCACAACGGGTTTGCTTGTAGTGTGTTTGGATAGAGACGTTTCCATTTGGTCCGAAGACCCCATGCAGTCTAGGAACACATGACGAAATGTTTAATCGTCGCGACAACAGGCACTTTAATGTCCTGCGCTTAACATGGTACACGTACCTCATCCTTGGTTGTTGGAGCCTTGGCCATGTCCATGCGTCTGGTTCCAAGGCACGCAAGCTGCAAGGGGCAGGAGTGCCACGAGGTGGGCCCAGGGGGAACAAGCAAGGCGAATCTGCTTGGCTCGAAGGGCTACAGTAAGCTTTCAGTCTGCCAAGCGTATGGAATGGGTTAAGTGTTGTGCACATACCACGGGAAGCAGCTTTTACATGGGTACATCGGCGCATATCAGTGGGAAAGCATGCATGGGCTGCATTGCAGGAGCCATGCGCGACACACCTGGCCTGTACACGCCCGGCACTCGTTGCACGCCCATCCCCCTGGACGCAGAACCCTTCAGTGCCATTATGATGCCTAAAAGAAAACAGAAGCGCAAACCGGTACCCTACACCGGAACACCTGTTCTTCGTCCATCCTGCGTTCCTACCCTGCCCAACCCTCCCTGCCCGGGGACCGGGGATCATCCTTTCAGCCTTTTCCAGTTTCGAGGAAGCTGAACCCCCTTGTCATTTCCCCCTCACTCGCCCTGCATCCACGGGTTTACTTCCTTGTTCTTTTTCGCGTTGTGCTGAGTGGCGAGTCGGCGCCGCGTGGCAAGCTGGCAACGCACCCCACCCCCTTTCCATGTTGCTGCCCATGTGCCTACCATGTTTGCACCCCCAGGTGAAGCCTTGTTCCCAGCTTGTCATGCAGATCTTCAATGTCCTCCTCACGAGCCCCGTGTTGCTGCCCGTTATCCCGTTCCATCCCCACGCTGCTGCCCCAGGCTGGGAGCTGCGGGAGGCTCTAGAGAAGTTGGATAGGGACTTGTACGACAACGCACCGGGCCCCGAGCGGCCGTACATTTCCCAGCTGAAAAACCCCTGTTGGGCTACCGACGTCGATGGCCGCGGGCCTTACGGTGGTGCCGTACGATGTCTGCCGTACGCGCTACTGCTGGGTGGCTTCCAATGCGGCGCCGCTAGCTTGTTTGCGGCGCTCAGCAAGCATCCGTTAGTGGCCAAGGTCCGTTAGCTGGTTGGTTGGTTCGTTGGGTGGGGGTCCCTTGGCAATTGACCGTTGGAGCGTTGGGTTGTAGGGTTCCTTCCGAAGCCCCGTCTTAACCGCACGCATGCTTCCTCTGCCACCGCTTGCACTCCCTTGCCTCACACCTCCCGCCGTGAAATGGATCAGCATTAAAGAAACCGCAACCCCTGCAAACCCCTAACCGTCATAACTAACCGCAACCATGTCGTACTCCTCTGCACACCTGTACTGCAGACCCGTGTAAGTCGTTGGCACTTCTGGGCCGAGTCCGATAAGACCATGAGCGGCTACCTTGAAGGTCTTGCGGAGGGCGCCGCACGGGTGGTGACGTGGCCGGAGCAGCTGGCGGCGGCGGCAGCGGCGTTGGGAGCAGGGGCCGGGGCCGGAGCCGGGAGCAACGGCACGGGCGCTGCTGGCGGTGTTGTGGATGGCGCTGGCGCTGGCAGCATTGCGTGGCTGCAGCGACAGGAGAAGGTGATCTTGGACGGCAGCAGCAGCACCTTTGCGTTCTACTGGAGCCCGGGTGGGTGGGTGGGTGGGTGGGTGGGTGGGTGGGTGGGTGGGTGGGTGGGTGGGTGGGTGGGTGGGTGGGTGGGTGGTACCGGCAGTGAGGGGCACGCTGGTTAAGAAACAGAAGGCTTAGGACCCTGGGTTCTGTTGAGTGTGTGTTGTAGTGCACCCATATATAGAGGGGCCGACATCTGTGTCGGCTGCGATCTAGAGTGCCATGTGGGTACAGCAGCTGAGGGGTTACCGGTGCTGGGCCAGGCTGGGCTGAGACCCTGGGGGCCTTGTTGGATAGGCAGCTACGAGGGAAGGGACGAGGGACGTTTGTGCGTGTACGTACCCTCCTTCCCCGCCATGGACGGCCCTCCTTACTTGGCTCCGGCCCTGCCGACCCCGCATGTGCCCTGTCCTTTCCTGCCCTGTCCTGTCCTGCCCTGTCCTGCCCTGCAGGCGTGCGGGCGCACCGTGCCTTCGTAGCCGCCATGTCCCCCTGCTGGCAGGGCTGCCAACGGGGGCACCGGGAGGGGCCGGGCCGGGAGGAGTGCCTGGAGGGGTGCTACCCGGGGGCGCGGCAGGCGGACCGGAAGGTGGGGTGGGCGTGGGGTTAGGGGGTGAGGTTGGGCCGTTGGGGGTGTTGCCTACTGGGGTTGTGTGTGTTTCGTAAACCCTCCCTGGATTGGACCGGATTGAATGTTACTAATCCGTAATCCCGTTCCTCCTCGCCGACTGACATCTCCCTACCCCTCCCTCGCTAGGTAGCGTCCAGTCTGGGCCTGCCGTACAACGACGTCTCCCTGCCGCTCCTCATCTCAGCGGTGTACGGCAAGCGCCCTCCCAAGATGGTAGTCCTTCTCCGAAACCCAGTGGACAGGTGGGGGGATATGGGATACACACGCGCGCGCGTGTACGGCAGTTAAGAGCTTCTTTGGATCCGATCTTCCGCAGGGGTTGACCTTCCTCTCCGCCCCGCAGGTTGTACAGCGCCTTTTGGAAATACGGCCACTACCAAGACAAGTACGGGGCATCACCGGAGGGCTTTGCCAAGTACGTGCGTGAACAGGTACAGCTCCCTATCCGTAGCTACCCGTGTGTTGTTTTACCCGCACATTTGTGGATTGGTTTTTTCAAACAAAAACCTTGTGCGCGTTTTCCACTTAAGCGATCCCCTTTTGTAACTCCTGGCTTACGCTGACGGCATTGCGGGTTACGGTGGTTCCACTAGCCCTTGGGCCCGCTTCAAGTACCGATGTAACCACCGTTTCCAAACCCCGCCCAAACCTCCTTGCCCGCGCATTGCCTGCTCAGCTGTCCACCCTGCGCTCCTGCACCTCCCGAGGCCCAGCCCAAGTCACCAGGGGGGCAGATGACGCGGAGCTGAGCTGCTTGCTGCACCTCGAGACGTGGGGCCTGCGGGAGGAGCGGCTGTTCTTCCACGCCGACCAAGTGGGGGCCAGGGGTGGAGGGGGAGGAAAGTAGAGCGCGCCGATTGGAAACGGGAAAAGGGTGCCCAGGGTGCGACACTATGATTGTAACACATGGTTGGCGTCTGATCTTCCTGCCGTACGTTGTATGCCGTACGTTCCGCAGATCCTACGTGGCGTGTACAGCATTTACCTGGAGACCTGGCTCAAGTTCTTCGACCGGCGAGGGCTGCTGGTGTTGCGGAGTGAGGACTACTTTGCTAGGCCGTTGGAAACCTTCATGCGCGTGCTGCGGTTCCTGGATCTGGATCCCGCAGCCATCAACCACCACCGGCGGATTGAGCTGCTGACGTCAGCGATGTCGTCAGCATCGTCGTCGTCTTCCAGCATGCGGACCGGCGGTCGCGGCAGCGGTGGTGGTGATGATGGGGAGGGCGAGGGCACGGCTGGGGTTGCGGATGTGAAGAGGATTCAGAAGGCCTTTGCACAGCAGTCGACGGCTGGAGATGAAAAGTGAGGAGGGGGGAGGGGCGGGATGCGAAAGCGTGGGATGGAAGGGGGAAGAGACAGGGTAACGGGGGATATGCGGGATTCGTCCTAGAGGTTTGGATTCGCTGGCAATCTTCCCACACGCCTGCCTCCCCTGCATCGCTGCATGCAGGCTATGGTCTGAGATCCGCAACGTGCTAACGGCGGACAGGGAGGGGCGCTACCGCCTCAACCGCGCAGCGGCGCTACGGCGGGGCGGAGGAGGAGGAAGTGGAACAGAGGAAGCTGCTGCTGATGCGGTGGTTGGTGCAGATACACGACCGGCCATGCCAGCGGATGTACGGCAGGAGCTGCAGTCCTTTTACGCGCCGTGAGTTGGCTATTTTAGCGAGTTGACGGCAGACGGCAGCGTGTGTTTTGGAGAGTGCTGGGATGGGATGAAGCTCTGGTGGGAGGTGGTCTTCTGTGAGCAGGCAGCAATGCGGATGGGCGGGCGGGCTGACTACGTAAGGCTTGTGTACGGTTGGCACTTTTGTGTACGGTCGGCACCTTTGGCAACGCCGTACCACGCGTGCGTCTTTCCATGTGGTGCTCTCTCTCTCCCCTACCGTCCACTCCCAGTCGGGGCACGGGGTTGGGACGGGTTGGCATTGGGATGCTTCACTTCTACATTTGTTATCCCCCTCCCTCCCGGGTAATTGGCTCTGCATTAACCCTCTCCCTCCCCAATGCATGGTCTCCTCCCTTTTCCCTTTCCCTCCTTCAGGTACAACCGGCGGCTTGCTGAGCTTCTTGGGGAGCCGGACTTCATTCGGGGCTGGGATCAGTAGAGCCCTTGGGACGTCGGGAGGAGTAATGAGCTTGCGCGATTTGCCCTAGCTGCGTCGTGCGTGTGTGTTTCGCGGCATCGTGCGGCCTTAATGCCGTACACGGAGTTTTCCTTAAGTGGCGAATGAATATTTAAGCGTTTTACGTACTACGACGAGGCACTTCAGAGGGTCGAGTTGACTCTGGCCATAGCTCGCCAATAGGACGACGTACGGCAGCCGTGTGATCGTACGGCCTCCATGCGGACGTGCTTGGTGTTCATGCGGTGACGCAGCGTCAGTCATGTGTTTCGGTTGTGTTTGCGTTCGTTGGTGTCTGGGCCCAAAACGACGTGGCATGCGGGACCTCAATGCTTTTAGTCGGGAGCATTTCGACCTACTCCCGCCGTGTACCCTGACCTGTGTTACGAGCTGCCATGCCAGCTGCGTTGACAGAGCCTTACATCAGCCGTGGCCTGACCTACTCGCACTGCAGATCATGCCAAAGGGCCGTGCAAGCTCACGTTTCCACTCATACGACAACACGCGCGCAAACCGTAACAGCCGTCACCTAACCCCGGGCGCTATGGTGCTTTCCAAGTCCAAAGCTCCGACCATGCCCCGACTAAGGCACTACTCCCACCACCTACTCAGGTTTGGTAAACCCAGTCTCTCATGTTGCCAAGCTAATACCACCAGACGCCACTGCCCCAGCGCCACTGCCCCCAAGGCAGGCCGCTGCAAGCTATCACCCCCTAAGCCTCATTCCGGCTAACAAGCCCGCCCGCCACCACCCCGCCTCTTACCCCTCGCACTCTGCTGCTAAACATGACCTACACAGCGCACTGTGGCCAGCCGGCGAACGTCTGTGTGCGCACACGCTTCTTGGCAGAGGCTGGAAGAAGCCGGCTAGGGATGGCTGCTTGCCCGGCTAGCGGCGGCGGCCCATCCCTCAGCACAACACCTCCTCCTCCTCCCCTACAGGCCCTCTCCTGCCCGCACCTCCTGCCGCGCCGCTTAGGCCTGCTGGTTGGGGGTCCAAGCCTCGTACTTCTTCCAGTTGCGCTTCTGGGGGTTGAACCAAGAGCCCTTGGGGTTGTAGCACTCCTCGGTGCCGGTCTTGGTGATGGACGACTGGACCTGTGGAGGGCACCAACAAGAGCGAGGGCGGAGGGTGCAGGGGGAACGGTAAAGGCACGTCCTGAGTATACTGTCGGTATTCAGCCCTCTCCATATCTCTAAACGAGCCAGACCCAGGCCTCCCCGAACCCACTCTCCTCCCCTCTTGCTCTACCTTCCTCCATCCGTCCCTTCTCCTCCTCACCCCTTCACCTCTACTTTCTCAAAGTCACCCTGCCCACCTCCTCCTCCTCCCCAACATCTTAGTCAACTCACGTGGAAGATGGGCTTCTTGAAGTCGTACTCGGTGGGCTTGTAGTCGTTGATGTAGTTCAGCCAGCCGTGCCACTCGGGCGGCACGCTGGTGATGTTGTAGTCGAACTTGTCGTCAAACACAACCCAGCGCCGGCGGGCTGGGTGGGAGGGAAGCGGGGGAGGGGCGGGAGGCGACAGTGCTGCTTAGTGCGTGGGGGCAGGGGAGAGGTGGGGAATGGGTGGCTGGGTGAGGAGCGGGCGAGGCGACCTCGGAAATATTGAAGGGGTAGATGGCACCACATTGCGGAGGGAGAAGCACGCGATGGCCCGGATAAGGAAAGATCGCAGAGCTCTGGGTTTGATGAATAGGTAGTTGGAACGAGGCAACATCGAAAGTGTGTCCGTCCTGTTCTACATCAGCATGGGGCATGGGACAACCCACGGCAATCACCGGGGTGCACGGTGTCTGCAGGGCCCTGTGTTACTGATGCTGCTAGGGGCAGTGCACAACGGGAGGGCCGAATCGATGCAACAATGTGCAAGGCTGCAATGTGGTTTGGTCAGCATGGGTGCTGCAACGTGTATGAAGCCCAAGCTGTGACGCCATTACGCCTGTGGCTGGAAGGCACCTTCCCTGAACACCGCATGTGCCGTAACTACGACCCTGCTAAGCTCCGCGTCGCCCTCTTCCCCGCCCCATCGCCCAATCCCTAACGTACAATAGACGTGGGTGTCGTTCTCGTAGTACTTGTTGTTGTAGTGGTCGGTGCCCACCAGGTTGCCAGACGGACCACGGAAAAGGACGTTGTGCCTGCGGACGCGCAGCAAACCGGGTATCCAGCGAGGTAAGACAGGACCATGCCCAAGTGCACAACAACACATGCGGGTCCCAGCAGAGAGCCAGTGGTCCCAACAACGTTATTATACTCTTGTACTGCCGTTATTACGTTGCAGCTAGAGGCTCGATAGCAAGAATTAGCATCTGTCCCGCTGAGCTACTCGTTCAGCTGCGGGTGGCACTTACGCGAGGTTACCATCAACAATCATCTTCGCCGTCTCCCAAGACGCGAGGAATCCGAAGATATCCTTCTTGTTCGTGACTTTCAGCAGCCGACCGAGATAGCCAGAGAGAGCCATCTTTAATGACTTTTTCCTACAGGAATGCTACTAAAGATGAGAAGTGAAAGTAGACACGTCTGCGGTCCTACTCGCTAAGCACGGACGCTAACAGCAGCCGCCCTTGCGAACAAAGGTATGAGGACGGGCTTGGGAAATATAGGGCCTCAAGCAAACAGCGACATGCCGTTGCGCAGTGTTCATGCTCCGCAGGCGCAAACCTGCCGGACGATGCCGTACAGTCTCTTTACCGCTTGCACCTTGGCTGCAGAAGCATAAAGGCCTTGTGATACTCTTTGCTTGGCAGCTGAACCATTAAGCCTTTGATGCGGCACATGGCGTATCTCGCCTTACCGAGCGGTCCCATCCATCATCTTGCGCGCAAGTAGTTGCACCAGGCATGACTTACTAGCCTGTGCAAACCCATAGCGCGGGAAGAGCTGACGTTACTGTCTCTCACTTTTAAAGCACGCTTTGCGCTAAGAACCTAAGGCGAATGCATGTTTGACATCATCCGGCTGGTCCAGCATGTCAGCTGACGAGAAGCTCACCAAGGAGTCTGCGCTCACGGATGAAGAAGAAGACAAATCACAGGAGGTAGAAGCTACGGACCTGCCCGGCAGTTCCTCCCATCCCCCATGCAGCATCCATGTACACACCTCCGGCGGCGTCCTAGCGATGGACGTGGGTCCGCTGCTGGCCTGGCAGAGCGACGATGAGGTCACCGACTTTCTAAAAGGTGCGTGTCTGCACGGCCGTGCACATCGCACCTTGCTATGCTTCGGCGTAGAGGAGCAGCTGCTCCGTACGTCCGGCCTACAGAAGCAACCGTAGGCCTCCATATGCATGCCATGCCGTACGCCCCTTCGCATCTTGTCATCTTCCCCGCAAGTTTCGCCCCCGCACCCACCACATCGTCCTCTCCCGCCTCCTCCTCCTCGTCCTTCTCCTCGTGTTCCTGCTTCAGAGCTGGAGGCGGCAGGGGGAGGTCCGGCGGTGGGCGCCTTCCGCAAGTTACTTGGGGCCGTGCAGGTGAGGCAGATGGGCGTGGGATGGCGCAAATTAACGTGTTCTCCCCCACATGCCTACTACCGTACATGCTGTACCTGTCGTAACACCTCCTATGTTGTACGGCGGTATGTTGTACGGCAGGCGCTGCTGCAGCCGCTCCAGGAAGCACGGCATGCTGCTGGAGTTACTCCTCCTGCCGCCGCTGCCGCCGCGTGTGAGGGGTGTCGTGCGGGCGAGGGCGGGAGCCTTGAGGAGCAGCAGGGGGCTCGGAAGGAGGTGCAGGAAGGAGGCCGGGAGGGCGAGGAGACGGGCGCCGCTGCTGGCGCTGCTTGCTGCTCCGCGGCTGCTGTGCTGGATCTGTGTTGGGAGCAGCTGCACCTGGGGTACTGGAAGGACGTGCCGCTGGTGGGGAGAGGGGGCGGGCGGGGAGGGAGGGCGGGCGGATGCGGGAGTAGGAGGCGAGGAGGGCTCTGAGAGTACAATTGCCAGAGGATTGTTTTTGTTGAGGGCTGTGATCCGCTAGGTGCTTCCCCATGGCGACCCACGGGTCATCCTGCTGCGGGTTACGTCCTACACACCCTGTACCCGCCCGCCCGCAGGCCTGGCGTAACGGCTACATCCTCGCCTGCTACCTCGATGTGACGCTGCGGTTGCTGTGCTGCGAGACGCCGGGGCGAGGGCAGCTGCGGGTGCGGGCGCGGGCGCGGGCCGAGGACATCGCCCCCCTGGAGTCTTCTGGTGCTCCTGCGGCTGCTGCGGCTGCTGCTGTTGCTAACGTAGGAAACGTGGGGGAGCGCGAGAAGCAGGATCAGCACCAGCAGCCGCAAGGGGTGTTGCCTCCGTGTGCGTCTCCACCCCCGCCTCCGCCCCTGTCGGCTGCGCTGCTGCGGCGGTGTGTACGGCAGTTAGATCTGGGGCTGATGATGGGCGGGCCGCTGTGGAGGGGCCGGCTGCATGGCGCGGTGGACTCCTTGCATGGGGCGTTACTGGCGGCGGAGGGGGCGGAGGCGGCAGGGGAGGGTACGGGAGTGGCGGAGGGAGCGGCCCAAAAGTCGGAGATGAGGGCAGTTGGTGAAGGAGGAGGAAAGCAGCACGAGGGCGAGGTATTGAAGCACCGGCCTGTCAAGCGCCTTCGAACCGAACAAGCGGAGGGGGAGCAGGAGGACTCGGGACTCCTCCCTGAGGCTCCCAGTCCTGTACGGGACGGCAGAGGAGCTGAGGAGCAGGGAAGAGCTGGCTGCCCAGTTCATGAAGGGGCAGCAGGAGGCGTTGCTGCTGCCATAGGGAGAGCCGCAGCTGCTGCTGCTCCTGCTGCTGCTGCTCCTGCTCCTGCTCCTGCTCCTGCTCCTGCTCCTGCTCCTGCTCCTGCTCGTGCTACGGATGTTAGCAGGGGTAACGACTCCGTACGGCTGCCACGTGGCTCGCTGGGCGGTCCCCCGGGCAGCCGCGTGCCGGTTTCGGAGCAACCCGACTTGGAGGAGTTCCTGTTGTCGTACATGGTTCCGGAGGTGCCGGTGGTCATCACAGGTGCGTGTTATAGAGGTAATCTGGCCTGGGCAGCAAGCGTGTCGAGCTTAATGATATAGCGGTTATAGGAGGGGCAAAGGAGGTTGAACCAGTCGCCTCTCCAAGACGCCACCCCTTCACCAAACCCCGTGTGTGTTTTCCACCCAACTCAACCCCGGCCACCCCCGCTCCCGCACCCAGGCGCCATGGAGCACTGGCCTGCTCTCAGCCGCTGGGCCGATTTGTCGTACCTTGTACGAGCAGCAGGAGCCCGTACGGTACCCGTCGAGGTACGAGTGTACGATACATAGCACACGCGTTGTACTTAAGTGTAAAGCCCTTCCACCTTACCCGTGCCCTAATACCCGTGCCTTAACGGCTTGACCCCTCCCTCCCACACGCATGCGGCCAGTTTTGGTAGCATAAGCGCATGCGTCCCTCCCGCCCCCTGTGCCGCCGCAGGTGGGCCAGCACTACCTCGCAGAGGGCTGGGGGCAGCAGCTCATGACGCTGCGGGAGTTCCTGACCCGCCACATCCTCACCAGCAACACAGGCACCGGCGCCGGCACTGCCATGTACGACAACAGCAGCACGACAACAACCACCACCACGGCACCAACCGCCTCAACCACCACAACCACCGCGACACCGCAGCCTCCTCCTCCCCCGCCGCCGCCCCCGCTCGGCTACCTGGCTCAGCACCCGCTGTTCGAGCAGATCCCGGCGCTGCGGTCTGACATCGTGGAGCCCGACTACTGCTGCCTGGGTGAGGGGGAGGTGCAGGCGGTGAATGCGTGGCTGGGCCCCGCAGGCACCACCACACCCCTGCACACGGACCCGCACCACAACCTGCTGGCTCAGGTGGGTGGGTGAGTTGTGCTGGCATTGCAGCCGCACGTGGTTGCTGGTTTGCTTGCAGGGTGGCTTGCAGGGTGGCTAGGAGAAAACAATCAACCATCTGACAATCCTCTGCCTGCCCATGTGTTGCTGTTTCCCTGTCAGGTGGTGGGTCGCAAGTACGTGCGGCTGTACGCGCCGTCCCTCACGCCGGCGCTGCATCCCTTCCCGGCGGGCACCATGAACCACAACAGCAGCCAGGTGGATCTAGACGTGGATCTGGATCTCGAGTTTGAATCTCGTCATGATGGATCCGAAGCACCCCCGCCATCCGACAAGAACGCTGCCAGCAAAAGCACAAGCGGCGCTTCTAACGGCGCTGATGTCGGTAACGGTGATCAGCATGATGGAGACGCTGACGGTGGCAACAGCGTGAAGAAGACAACTCGTTGTTGTCGGTTTCCAGGGGTGGCTGATTTGCCGTACCAAGATGTGGTTTTGGATCCAGGTCATATGCTGTACATTCCGCCGGGTTGGTGGCACTACGTTCGGTCGCTGAGCACCAGCTTCTCGGTGAGCTTTTGGTGGCGGTGAAGGCGTGCGGGGTTGGCGGTGGTGGTGGTGTTGAGGACGGTGCGAGTCGTGTGTGTGTGCTTGAGGGGTGCAGCGGTGTGTCGGGATGCGTTCTGTTCGGCAGATACCGTACAGCAGCATACAATGATGGATATATGGTTATCCTTGAACGCAGAACCCATTACAATAACGAGCACGGGAGGGGAGCGGTGGCGGACAAAGTGTAACTGTTGGGGACTGAGGATCATGCCGCTCAGTTGGCTGTGTGTTTAGTGTGGAGGTAGACGTGAGTGAGTGCGGCACGGCACGGTAACCATGTATGGTTTGTTACAACAACCGTACTACCGGTAACTGAAGGGCTTTGCCCACAACAAGACAGCAACAGCAACTGCTGCAAACCCCCTGCAACCGATGTTACTCACAAGAACTCCCCGGCATGCGCCTGTGATGTGTTGCCACGCAGGCAAGCTGAGTGAGTAGGAGTGAGTAGGCGCGTCCAGTAGCATCTCAGCTACGTTTCGCCGGAGCACACGTCCAAGACACATGCACCTCCATCCTACAGCCTACAGCCTACAGCAACACACATGCGCAATACGCTGCTACCACATCCTCCATCGAACAACAACATGCGAACGGGTTTGATGCAGCACCACAAAGGAACATGTGGCCAAGGATTACACCAGGGGCACTGGACAGACAGGCCGACCTGCCAGGGCGGCCATTGTTCTCCAACATGCGAGCAGCTAATGCATCCTATCCTAGCTACGCATGCTTGAAACCAAAGCGACATTTGCAGCAAATGCTCATCCTGCTACTACTGCTACCTTCCAATTGCTACCTTGTCCCTCTTCAACACATGCTTCATTTCAACTAAGCCAAGTTTCATGGCTTTTGCCACCAGATGCCAAACAGATGTGCGCTGTTGCACTTCCGTTGGCATGCCGGATGTGTACATCAAGGTACCTGGATAGTCAGCTAATCAGGCGTTTGTGGACAGTACCGGAAACCAAACACAAACCCATCTCAGGGTCATAAAAGAGGCCACACGGCACACAACTCTCGGGGGCATACAGCTGTATCGAACACTCTCAAAACTCTCGGCGTCTGTCCTCTCTGCGACTCTTCAAAGACACGCCCCAACCTACCAAAGCTACACACGCACCCACGGCCATCCTGCAGCACAGCTAAGGCGGTGAGCTGGTAAGCATCACACCAAACAAATTCGAATTTGCAGTGCGCAACGGGTCATACAAACCCCATCCACGGCAAAAGCTACGTTCCCGGCACGGCTCGGGTATGTTTCGAAGGACGACGGGACATGGGTGCGACTCGCCGCCCCCCCAAACCACACCAAATGCATTCGCGGCAAGGCGCGGAGCGACTAACGCAAACTCCACCAAACGCCTCGACAGGTCCGTGGCACTCCTGCCGCTGCGATAGTAACCCACCCAACCCTCCCCCATGTCGCTGGGGAGGACAGTTGTTACGCAGAAGGATACATCCTCAAGGATTTGCTCAGTTAGCCTTGCCTGCAACAAAAAAACGGCTCGAAGCACACACCTGAACACACACACACACACACACACACACGGCCAGTTTTCTTAACACACGCGGCCAGTTGTTTTAACACACACAGTTTACTCTGTCTGCTCTGTTTGAGTAGTGCTGTGGAGAAGGATCAGCAGCAACGTCGTCAGGGGCTTCTCCAACCTCGGCCAGCCTCAAAGACCATGCATGTCGCTTTCCGACCCCCATGGGTCACACACGTGCACCGCATTGTAGTGACTTCTGGACATCACAGGACGTTCCAACTCGCGGCAAGTCTTCCCAGCCTACGCGGGAGGTGCCTCCTTCTCCGAGCACCCCACCACACGCATAGCCCAAAGCGGCCACACACCCTCCCTCGTCTTCAGCCCGCCACCGCCCCTCGCAGCCGCCCCGTCACTGCCGCTGCCGCTGCCGCTGCCCCCTGACACTCCTCCTCCGCCATCGGCACCCCCGCCCCCACCAGCCGGCTCCACAGCCACACGGCAGGCCACCCCCGGTGACACTACCCACATCACCCTGCGTTCCTTCAAGGTCGGCCCGCGCCTAGCTGGAGTGAGATTCTGCCGGACAGCGACAGTCCCAGCCCCAGACCCGGCATCCTGGGTACGCTCCAGGAAGCCGCCGCCCTCCTCCGCAGACTCCGGGTTGCCCCTCCTGACGACCCATGTGTCATTACTGTTCGCGCAGCGCACACGCTTGGTGCTAGGCTCGGCGGCGCCTGCCGTCGTCGCCTCCGCGGCAAAATCTCCGCCATTGGCAGTAGCACCATTGGCGACTGGGACGGCGGCGGCGGCGGCGCCGTCAGCAGAGCCAGCGGCGGCGGCGGCGGCGCGGGCTGCCCTCTCCGCCACCACGAGGTCTGTGCAGTACAGCAGTCGCGACAGCCGAGCCGCCGCCCGCAGGTACTCGGGCCGCACCAGCCTACCCGACACCCCGGCAGCACCGGCAATAATGCTTCCGGGAGCACTCACGGCCGCGACGTCGGCGAGGGCTGTTTCCACCACCGCCGCCGTCACGTCGTTAATATTGTTGTTGCTGGTGCTGCGACCGGCAACCTCGGCAGCGTTCGCCGCAGTGCCGCCGCTGCCGCTGCTGCCGCCGCCGCCGTCGCCGCCAGCCCCGTCGGTACCTCCGTCAGCGTCGACGTACGAGTACAACATCTGAACCGCCTCCGCCGGGACCGATCGTACGCCCGCGTCGTCATCACCATCCTCGCTCGTACAAGCTGCCGCCGCCGCCGCCGCCGCCCGCGCTTCGAGTAGGTCAGTATAGGTGTCATCCGGTGCCGCGATCTGCATCTCCAAGCGCTCTGGCGCGGCTTTCACCAGCAGCCCCAGCCGCAGTGCCGATAGCACCAGCACATGAAGCTGCTTGATGACGTCCCTGACCTCCCCGTCCAGGTCAGCAACAGCAGCGGCAGCGTCAGGATCTTCATCTGTGGCTGCTGTGGCGGTGGCGGCGGCGACGACGGCTTCCGTGGGCATCGACATCGCTACATCAGTTGAGGTTCCCGTCGGACCCCTGCCACCGGTGTTTGCAGGGAATCCCTCGCCGCCCTCGCATCCTCTGGCGCCGCCGGTGATATAAAGCTTTGCCGCAGCTGGCGGAGCTCCCCCTGCAGCTGCAGCAGCCGCTGACGTCGTTCCCAGGGGCTGCGGTAGCGGCGATGACGGCAGCCCCGCTACAGCCGCCGCCGCCGCATCCCCTGCCGCTGGGAGCTGCGGCGGGGCCGGCGTGAACCCAAGAAGCAGCGTGGACAACTCCATCGCCACGTCATGTGCCGTATACTCGAGGTGCTGAATCAGATCTGGAGTGATGAATGGATCACTGAGCTGAGGCCCAACGGCGTCGGTCGCGACGGAAGAGGTAGCGGCGGCGGCGGTTAAAGCACCAGGCTGCGCGGCATTGGCGGCGCCGCCGGCGCCCGACGCGTCAATGGCACTGGTGCTGCTGCTGGCGTCGGGCGACGCCGACCCATGGGCCATTGCCGCCGCCACTGCCTTCGCCATGTCTTCTGAGATCTTCCGCTGCGATACGGCCCACAGCAGCTGTGAGGGGGGCAAGAGGAGAGGGGTTCCCATACCGCGTTATGGGGGCATTTGGAATGTTTAAATGGAAGGATAGGGAATCGCTAGACCGCTGAGACCTCCATTCCAGAGTCGAATTAGGACTTCAGAGTCATTAACCGCTAATCAGGTGGACGGATGGCGTCCCAGCGCTTTGCAAAGCTCACCTTTTGCTCCGGCGACAACGAGGGCGGCCCCTCTCCGTCAAACCCCAGTTGGGCCGCCCGGGGGCCGAAGATGAGCGCCAGCGGGCGTGACCACACTCGGCCCTGAGGGAGGACAGCGGCGGCGGGAAAGACCGCGGCGGGAGTTAGAGAGAAACCCGAACCACTGAAGGGAGGCCGAGGCATTGTGTAGGTGAGGGGATGACAGGGTGCACAAAAGAAGGGGCGGCTTGGCGCTCTGCGACACCCTGGCATGCGGTTAATGAGTAGGTTGCGTTGAATTGTCGGTAGTGACGACCCTGTGATGGAAGCTCCTGGGACGAATGGGTGGTGCAAGTGAGGGAACAAGGGAGGAAGTGGGGAAAGAACAGCAGCAGAAACAGCAAAGAGAGCCTCAACCCACCTGTAATCTCCGGATCACAAAATCCGCCAGGAAATGCGCCTGCATTGAATGGGGTCGATTGGGGAGCGATTGTGTCAGCATGGGGTTTGCCGTTGCGGTTGGGTCAGCGGGGAGAGGGGACAGCAGCAGGGTCGGGGCTGGGGTCCGCACCGCACGAGGATGTACTGCAGCAGGGCTGCGTATACAGCCACACAGATACAGGACACGTGCGATGAAACCACCGGAACAGCAACAACAGCAGCAGCAGCGGCGGCGATACGTGCTCCCTTCGCCACCCCGCCTCCGTAAGCGCTTGTAAGCGCCATGCAGCCCAGGACTCGCATGCAGCTCCCCCGTAGCCCCCACATGGCACCCATCAGACCGCAATCCTAACCCCGCACTCCAATCTTTCTCATACCGGGAGCTGTTGCCGGTAGTAGCGCCTGTTCATCCCACTCTACACGGTATTCCTCTTCACCCAACCCGGAGCTACCCGCCTCACCCTCAGCCCAGCATTCCCCCCGCACAGCTTGTCGTACATGAACCGTACAACCGACTCCCAGGAGGCTCCAAGAGCACCCCCGGGCGGCTGCGGCGCCTCTTCGGGGCGCATCTGACCCGCAACAGCACCAGCAGCGGCGCCGCCAAGCGGGTTCGCGCCGGGAAAGGGGTTTAGGAGCTGCTGCTGACCCGTGGGTCCGCCCAGCAGCCCCACGCTGTGCTGGCTCTCCAGATCTACCAGCGACTGTACGGCAACACAGGAGCGGGCGAGTGGGGTAACGTCGCCGAACAAGAAGAAGAAGAAGAAGAAGCATCAATGTAAGCATCGGCAGCGGTGTAGGCGCAACTGCGCAAGACATCAGAAGTAGTGAAAGGAGAAGCAGCAGCAGCACAGGTCATAGCGCAAACAGCGCATTATTGGCACAAAACCGGATCAACCGGATCGAGCCCCAGGCACACGAATCTCCAAGCAATGCCCCGCCACAGCCTTCACCCACCCGGCACGTGCTCCCCAGCAGCTCACGGAACCGAAATAAAGCGGTCTGCAGCTCCAAATAGTCCCACGGGTCAGTCGGCGCCGCCACAGTCGCCGCCGCCGTCGCAGAACCCTCAGCCTGGCCACAGACCGGACCCTCAGCACCCGACAATGGGCCGTGCGACGGCGCTTGCTGCACCTCGACTTCCATCACCGCCGATGCGTCTGCGTTTCCAGCAGCCACAGCAGCAGCAGCAGTAGCAGTGGCAGCAGCGGCAACCACACGTGCGCTTGTGTCCAGAGCGGGTGGAGGAGTCCCCAGGCAGATCTCCCCCTCCTCCACCGCCACCGCCACATCCATCGCTGGCGCGGCTGCGCTCCGCGTGAATCGCCGGCCTGCCGGTGGCGACGCCGGTAATCGTGGCGTTGCAACCCTCCTGCCACCCACCGCCGTCGCCTTGATAGCCGCCCCGTCCCTGCCTCTAAACGGAGCGCCGGAACGGGTCGTGTTGGAGGCCGTTTCTATGCCCGACGGCGACGCCGTTTCCGGCAAACCCGGCTTTGGTGCGTTCCCGGGCGCTGCAGATTGGACCTGCCGGGAGCGCTTAGGTGCCGGACCAGCAGCAGCGGCACCAGCAGCCGTAGCAGCAACAGATGGACCCGAAGGCATTGCTGCTAGTGCTGTGCCGCTTGGGGCCTTTCGCTTGGCTTGCTGCTGTTTCTTCCCGTCAGCAGCGGCAACCGCAGCTCCTGCGGCAGCGGCTGCCGTACCTGTGCCGCCGCCAGCACCGCCGCCGCCGCCGCCATCGTCCTCCGCCACCACCTTCCGGCCGTACTTCTTGTGCTGCCTAAAGTAGGCGTAGCACGAGCTGCAGACACGCAGCTTGGAGTCTAGCATGTGCGTCCGCCAACCGTGTGAGGTACGGGTGCTTCGGCACTCGGCACAGCGCCTTGTCGTGCCCCCGGTTGCAGCAACAGCGGCGGCGTTGGCCGTTGGCGGGGTAACCTCAGCGGCGGCGGCAGCAGTTGCCGTACGAACGGCGGCGGCGTTAGCAGCGTCGCCGCCGCCGCCAGCGGCATGGCTTGCGCTTCGGTCACCCCCCTTGTCGTACGTCTTGTGCTGCACGAAGTACGACGCGCACGCAGCACACGTCCACAGCCGTACATCTACCTTGTGCCGCCGCCAACGACCCCCATTCGCAGTTCCGCACACGGAGCATATCCGTGCGGTGTCAGCGGCGTCAGCGACGGCAGTTTGCTGGGCACCAGCGCTGACGTGTGCTGACGACGCTCCAGCAGGCGTCACCGCCGGCGCCGAAGCCACGGCCGTGCGCTGTTGTTCGCTGCCGCCGTCGCCACCATCGTCGCCACCACCGCCGCCGCCGTCCCTTTCGTCGTCATCGCTTTCACCAAAAAGGTCGCTGCCGCCGGACGCTGGGGCAGCGGCGGCGTTAGCAGTAGTGATTGCTGGGGCAGCGGCGGCGTTAGCAGTAGTGGTTGCTGGGGCAGCGGCGGCGTCAGCAGTAGTGGTTGCTGGGGCAGCGGCGGCGTTAGCAGCAGCGGTTGCTGGGGTGGCGGCGGCGGTGGTAGGTGCAGCAGCCGCATTGGGTCTGGGAGCTGGAGCGACGTTGGCAGCCTGCCCCGCCGCCTCAGCGACGGCGTCCGCTGCCGTACCGTCGGCGGCATCCCCGTGATCGTCGCTGCCGCCGCTGCCGCCGTCCGCGCCGCCGTTGGTTCGCTTGCCGCTGCGACCTGTCCGCCTGTCGTACGTACCGTAGCGGTAGAAGCTGTTATAACATGTAGTGCAGGTTTTTAGGCTTGGATCCTGCTTATGCTTCAACCAGCCCTTTGCGGGCCGTTTCGCACTGCCGCACACCGAGCACTGCATTGTCGTACCGGCGGCGGCGGCCCCCGCTGCAGCTGTGTCCCTCACGCCGCTGCGGTCGCCCCGGCCGTCGTACGACTTATGCTTGTAGAAGTAGGTGCTACAGGCAGTACACGTCTTGAGGCTTGGGTCCAGCTTGTGTGTTGCCCAATGGCCTCTCAGCGTTGTCGTACTTTTGCAAACAGCGCATCTCATTGCCGTACTGACGGCGGCAGCGGCGGCAGCGCGGACAGCAGTATCGGTCCCTGTGGCACCTGCCATCGCCGCCGCTGCCGCCGCCCCTGTGCGTCCGACGCCCTCATCAACGCCAGGACCGCCGCAGCCCTCGGCCGCCGCCGCAGCGGCACCTCTTGGCGCTACCTCCGGCGGCGGCGGCGGCGGAACCGTCCGAGCAGCAGGCATTCTGTGGTCGCTTTCCGTGGCGGCCAGACTTGCGATCGCGCGGGCTGCCTTTGCCGCCGCTGCTCTTTTCGGCAGGGGCGGCTGCATGGCTGCTGCGGATAGCTCCGCCGCCGTCGGTGGCGGTGGAGGCGGCAAAGCGGCAGAAGCAGCTTTGTTGCCACGCGTCCTGTGGTCGCTTTCCGTGGCGGCCTGACTTGCGATCGCGCGGGCTGCCTTTGCCGCCGCTGCTCTCTTCGGCAGGGGCGGCTGCATGGCCGCTGCGGAGAGCTCCGCCGCCGTCGGTGGCGGTGGAGGCGGCAAAGCGGCAGAAGCAGCTTTGTTGCCACGCGTCCTGTGGTCGCTTTCCGTGGCGGCCTGACTTGCGATCGCGCGGGCTGCCTTTGCCGCCGCTGCTCTCTTCGGCAGGGGCGGCTGCATGGCCGCTGCGGAGAGCTCCGCCGCCGTCGGTGGCGGTGGAGGCGGCAAAGCGGCAGAAGCAGCTTTGTCGCCACGCGTCCTGTGGTCGCTTTCCGTGGCGGCCTGACTTGCGATCGCGCGGGCTGCCTTTGCCGCCGCTGCTCTCTTCGGCAGGGGCGGCGGCGGCGGCGAAGCCGCATGTTCGAGCCGATCCGACCTGGCAGGGGCTGTTGCCTCTTTCACTGCCGCCGCCGTCGCCGCGGCAACGCCGCCAGCCGTCTGAGCCCCCACCGCATGCAGGCCGTCACTCGGCTTTGACGTACGAGGTCGCTTTGCGCAGGGTAGCTCTCCGGAAGCTTGCTTAAGCCTAGATATCGGTACCCGCATCACCTCCTCATCCTCATCCTCGTCCTCCGTTTCCGAGCCTGCCTGGTCATCCGTCTCCCCCTCTGCCTCCTTCGCTACATCCTCCTGCTCCCCGCGTTCCCGCTTATCCCCAACCATCCCCCGCCGCGACCTCCTAATGCCTGCTGCTGCCGGAGGGGCCGCCAGTGCTGCTGCTGCCGCCGCCCCCGCCGTCGCTGGCGTGTTGCTAGCAGCGGCACGTCGGGCTGGCGGCGCCGCTTCCTCTTCCTCCGCCGCTGCCTCAGCTGCTGGCACGTCTTCTGCCTTCCGCACCCTCTTCTTGCCGCTCTTGGGCTTGCCGTTAGCGGCCTCTTCTCTCCGCCTCCTCGCCTCCAGCTCCTCCGCACCCGGGTAGCTACCGTGCCTGCGTTGCCAATGGTAGCACCGGCTGCATGTCAGCTCCACGCGCTTGCTGGGCTGGGCGCCGTGTGACTGGGGCCGGGGGGCGACTCGGGGCTTTGCGTCCCCCTTCCCAGGTTTGTAGCCGCACCATCTGTTTGCATGGGTTGCCGCGCAGATGACGCAGCAACGTCCCGTGTCAGGAGTTGCTGCGTGTGCTGGGATCGTGGGTGCCGCTGCAGGTGCGGGTGCCGCGGCAGGAGTGCGTGCCGTGGGGGCGGTGCGGCGGGCGGGAGACAGCGCATGTGTCGCATCTTGGGGAGCTCCGGAGGGCTGGGCGGTAGCTGCTGTCGATGCGGTCGTTGCAGCCGCCGCTGCTGCTGGCGCGGTTGCATGGGTCCTGGTAACAGGTGGGGTTCGCAAGATGGGGGCAACCGGTGCAACCGCCGCTACTCCAGGGATAGCGTCGACGCGGTGGGCGTGACCCCTCCTGGACAAACTAGCGCTTGGGTGCTGCTGCTGCTGCGGTTGCTCATCATCCCTCTCATGCCTCCCATGCCTTTCCTCCTCTCCCTGCGCCTCCTGCCCCTCCTGCTGCTCCGCCTCCGCCCGCACCTCGAGCTGTCCCACTAGCGGTGGGCGCAGCTGCGGGTACTGAGTTACCGTCGGGTTGACCTCTGGTGGTGGTGGCGGCGGCGGCGGTGGCGGCGAGCACGATGGCGACTCTGCAGAAGGCGGAGCCGCCGCGGCCTCCTCCTCACCCTGAGGCTCCGGCGCTGCCGCCGTTACCAGTGACGGCGGTAGCGGCTGCTGCTGCTGCTGCATTGGTGATCCCAGCGGGCATGCATGCGGGTGCCGCAGCACCGCCGCCGCCTCCGTCGGCAGGTCGCGCGACGCAGCCGTCAGCGGCGGCGGCGGCGGCACCCCAGGAGGTGTGGAGGTGTCCTCCAGGGGAAGCAGGAGCTGCATGCGGGGGGGGTCCGGCGGTGGCTCGGCGCTAGGGCGGAAGGTCTCAGGGACTGGCGAGGGCTGCCGCGGGTGTGGCACGTCCTCCCCCTCGTGTACCGCATGCTCCGCTTGCTGCTCCTGCGCCACCTGCTTCTCCTCCTCACTCCCCTCCGCCACCTGCAGCTCCTCCTCACTCCACACCTCCTCCGCCTGCTGCTGCTGCTGGTGTAACTCCTCCAGATCCAGTCGGAGCGGGGGAACGGACGCCTGCGCATCGACCTGCAGTGGGGGATACGCGGGGTATGGGGGGGGGACGATGGGTCACCGAACGTTTCAGCGGGGCTCCAGGCGGTGTGTTTTACTCAAGGCGGTCCAGATTTGCTCGGGGAGATGTGTCCGGAGCATGGTGCAGGACGCAGGGCGTTGGGGGATGGCGAGGCTGCAGGGGCCCGTCGCGCGAGGGCGCGGAGCGGAAACCACTATCGGGTCTAGGTTGCATGCAGCAAGCATCCAACAAGACACGACACGACGCGCGCTAAGCACCGACTACAGTAATGCCTGCGCACCTCGCAGCACCCCCGAAACACCGCCCCCCCTCCTCAAGCAACACGTCGCCGACTTTGTGAGAGGTGTCAGCACCACCTGCAGCGAACCACCTCACACCCGCTGGCTCCCCAACAGTGGACCCTTCAACTCCTAAATGAGCTTCAATCCGCTCACCGAGTCTGATGTCATGAAATCAGCCACCGGGTCCCAAGAATCCATGTCCCCAGTCTCCTCAGCCGCTGCTGTTGCGTTCGCTGCTGTCGGCCCTTCCGCAGCCTCGACAGCGGCGTAAGCGTCTTGATGGTAGGCTTGGATGGCGTTGTTGTATTGGTGAGCGATGGTGAGGGTTGGGTCTGGGGCTGTGCTGGGATGTGTGGTTTGAGCGGCAGGCTGCTGGGGATGTGGCGCCAATGTGTGCGGCAGGGAGATCCATGGCTGAACCGCTGGGTGACGGTATGACGAAGCGGCAGGTGGGCTTTGTGGTGAGAAGTAGTGAGGACGCTGGGAAGCATTGCTTGAGAATGGAGGTTCTGCAAACATCGCCAATGCATTTTGTCCACTTCGCGGGCTTTTGCTGTTTGGCCCGTCTACTGCAGCCGATGGCAAATTTTGTCGCTGTTGAACAGCTTCAGTAGATAGGTGGAATGGGCTGGTGAGCATTGTATGCTCCTGGCCATTCTCAAGTTGTCTACCGGTGACGTCGCCTTGGTGATTCATTGTCTCCGCAATAACGTCACAAAATTGTAAGGGGCTCCATACAGAGCCTCCTTAACAAAAATGCGTTGGTTAAAAACAGCTGAAGCCCTAGTCGTTTGCAACTAGCAGGTGCGGACACTAACCATAACTCCTAGAGCCTAGCGGTACCATATCTCGCTATGCGGACGCACGAGAAAGTCTCAATGCATACTCCTTTAGCCGCGCTGCTGCTTAGAAAGTTGGGTGTAGCCTTCAGCTTGCTAGCCTCGCACGGAACCAGAAGGGCCGTGCTCAAATTATTTGCGAGTGCAAAATCTAAAGGGTTCAAGAAGGCAACCAAAAGGCAAATCTTAACGGAGTCCTTGGAGCTGGAATGCTAAGCTGACGGCGGGCAGTACGGGAAATTGCAAGTCACTCGGCGTCTGCGTCACTCGGCAAAGCTCCCATTGTCTCGTCCTCCTTACGCAGTCAATCCTTACAACCTCTGGTCGTCAAGTGAGTAGCGGCAACATGGGGATGTCTGGCCCGGTCATGAACCATGGGTCAGGAGAATGACCATCCCTCAAGCCGACTCATGCACGCTCTCACGGAAGGGCCACTCAGCTGCTGCAAGCGTGCGTTAAGACCCTTCTCATCTATATTTGAAGGACCTGCAATACACAACGTGCCGTCAGACTTCGACTCTTCGGGATAGCAGTGCAGGATTTATGAAAGCTAGCCCATACTTGGATACGATGCTTTTGTTTACAAGATTGCGTAACGCTGGGGGTATACCATGCTTTCCGCATCACACAACGCTTACAAGACAAAATATACACAGGAGCAACGCCACGCAACCGCAGGGAAGGGAAGGGAGACGTTTACTGCAGCCTAGACTGGCCCCCAAGCCGCTTCAATAACAAAAGGAAGCAACGGCAAAACTTATATAACGACCCAGTTCACCGCATGCCACCCGCCACCCCGTTGCAGATGCACAATATGCACTCACATGCATGCTGCAACAGCTGAAACATGTAACGCAACGTTTTTGGGTCGTGGCTTCCTTCCCTGCGGAAATGGGAATGCGACAACAGGGATCGTTGCGAAGAGCGGGCATCCCAGCCGCCAACACCCACACAGAGGCGTCCAAAGGCGACTCGTAAACCCTTCCCCTCCGCTTTATTAGCCTTCCCTCCTCTTTTGCTCTCGGCAGCCTGTGGGCACCTCGGCGGCATCAAGCAACAACTCCCAAACACACTGCGCGTTGCGGGAGCACCCCATTCTTCGTGCTACAAGACACCACACAGCCCCGCCTCCTCCACTTCTGTACATGCGCAAAAGCAACATTCTCATATCTTCTCTTCTTCTCCTTCTTCGGCACTCTTCTGTTGATACAAAAAGCCACATGCCCCGCCACAACGCCGCCGCAGCCCCACAACCCACGTCTCAACCCAAGCCATCAACAGCAGTGACACGCCTTCTCACATCCTTCACCAACTCCTCCACTTTCAAATGCAACCCAACCCAATCCAAACCCCTTACTTCTCATCCAGCGCCGCCACACCCGGCAGCACCTTGCCCTCCAGCAGCTCCAGGGAGGCGCCACCGCCCGTGCTGATGTGGCTCATCTTGTCCGCCACACCCGCCTGCTCCACAGCCGCCACGGAATCGCCGCCACCGATGATGGTAATGGCGCCCTTGGGGCCCAGCCCGGCCAGCGTGTTGGCGATGGCCTGTGGGAGGGGGAGGATGTGGGGTGTGTTTGCGGGTGAGGGGTTTCGAGCAAGGTGGGCGAAGGATGAGGGGCCACGAGGGTGGTGGTGGGGGGTACGTGTTGTGCTAATGAGGGTGGCAAGTCGTGTGTGGGGGGGGCGTTGGGCGGGTGGGGTTGGGGGGGGCCCACCCAGTAAAACTCCAAACCTGGGCACAATACACACACCAGTGTGCTTAACACACGCTCGTCACCGGTTGGCGTTTTCGTGGCGACATCAACTTCCCACCCCCCAGCACGTTCCAACTCGCGGCCAGTTTCCTTTTCCCACCTCTACCCGCACCGGCACCCCCTGCCACCCCCCCCAGCCACCCACCACAGTGCCGGTGGCGAACTTGGGGAACTCGAACACGCCCATGGGGCCGTTCCACACCACCGTCTGGGCGTCCTGCAGCGCCGCCTGGAACGCCTTGATGGAGTCGGGGCCGATGTCCAGCCCCATCCAGCCGTCGGGGATGGCGGTGACGGGCGCCACCTGCGTGTTGGCGTTGGCGTCGAACTTGTCCGCCAGCACCACATCGGTGGGCAGCAGCAGCTGCACGCCCTTGGCCTGCGGGGGGGGGGGAAAGAGGAAGGCGGGGGAGGGGAGGGGGAATGAGGAGGAGGGGGCGAAGTGAGATAGGGGAAGGGGGGTTTTGGTTTCTTTCTGTTGGTGCTGCTGCTGCTGCAGCTCATCATGACGTAATCCCACGCTGAGCCCAAGCGGGGTCCCCTTGGCTTTCCTTCCCCTGCTGCATCAGCAGCTGCTGCTGCCGCTCCTCCCCTGCAGTGGTCACCCCCCAGCCCCCCCAGCCTTGTCCGGGGGTTAAATATTGCCTCAAGCCTCCTCCATTCGCACCCTCCCCCTCCCCGGCCCCCTCCCGGCTGGCTCACATGTTGCAACCCATGTTGACGCCTTATCCCTCAGTCAGTTAGTTGTTTCCTCTTTACCCTCCCGCCACCCCCCACCTTGGCCACCTCCTCCAGCTTCTTAGCCAGCTCCAACTTGTCCTCCTCCACCAGGCTGGAGCCCACTGGCAGGCCGCGAGCCTTGTAGAAGGTGAAGATCATGCCGCCACTGGGGGGGGGGTGAGTGTGGGGAGGTGCGGGTGGGTGTTAGGGGTGGCGGGGGGGAGGCGTTAGGGCTACAAGCCGTCGGCTACGGTATTATGCTGTCAGCTGTTGGCGGCCTGCGACACCGGGACCCCTCCCTTCCCTCCTCTTCCTCTCTCCTTCCTCACCTTCCCTACCCCTCCTCTCCCTCCCTCCCTCCTGCCACCCAACCTCCCTAACGACTCACCCGATGATGATCTTGTCGCACTTCTCCATCAGCTTCTCAATGACGGTGATCTTGGAGCTCACCTTGGAACCGCCCACGATGGCCACGAAGGGGCGCTTGGGGGCGGACACGGCGCCATCAAGGTAGTCCTGAGGGGGGGGGGGCGGAGGGGGGGAGGGACAGGAGTGTGCAATGAAGCCAGGAGGATAACGAGATGTGCCATCTCCTCCCTTCCGTTGCCCCCTCACTCACCCGCTCCTTCTGCACTAGCCCCGCCCCCAACTGCGATTGTGTTTTCCCCCCTTCTCCAGCCCCACCCCCCCTCACACCCTTCATCCAGTTCGTCAGCTTCCCTTATTTTCCCACCCCTCACCAGCTCCTTCTGCCCGCCCCCCTCCCCCCTCCTCCCCCCTCACCAGCTCCTTCTGCAGCAGGAAGCCGGCCACGGAGGGCCGCAGGAACTTGGTGACGCCCTCGGTGGAGGCATGCGCGCGGTGGGCGGTGCCGAACGCGTCGTTGACGTACAGGTCGGCGTTGGCGGCCAGCTGCGGGGGGGTGGAGGAGGGAGGGGGAGAGAGGGGGGGAGAGAGCGGGGGGGAAGGGGGAGGGGAGGCGGCAAGTCAGAGGAGATGTTGAGAAGGGTACGTGAAAGATCTGTGAGGGCGGAAAGGGTTCCGTCCGTGCAGCGGCTTGACGACGTGTGTTGTGGGAACGCTCTAGGCGATTCATACAGGTCCCCGTAGGTGATCGGCTTGTCGTACGCTGCTCTCCCGTAACAACTGCAGTAACTGGCTTACCAACTACCGACCAACCAACCAACCGCCAACCGACCTTCTTGGCGAACTCCGGCTCGTTCTTCTCCTCCTCCTTGTAGAACCGCACGTTCTCAAGCAGCAGCAGCTGGGGGGGAGGGTGGAAGAGGAGGTGGAGGTGGGCAGGTTTGAAACGTTTGCTAAGATGGAGGTGGGGGGCGGGTGTGGCAACGTGGGGTTGATCGCAGCAGGCGGGGCGCTACTCCAGCCAGCCAGCCAGCAATGAATCCAGTCATCCATCCATCCAGCCCGAGCCAGCCAGCCCCAGATTTACTTCCAGTGCATCCAATGTGGAATGTTACAGCTGGACAGTCATCCAGCCGCCAGCCAGCCCTAGCTCAAGCAACGAATGTACGAATCCCAGCCAGCCCCCGTCAACCGGCCCGCAGCCGCCCCGCACCTCGCCGTTCTTCAGCTCCTTCACCGCCGACTCCACCACGGGGCCGATGCAGTCGTCAACCTTCTTAACCTGCGTGCGTGTGTGGGCGGGGAGGTGTGCTAAGAAAACTGGCCGCGTGTGTGGGCGGGGAGGTGTGTGTGCGGGAGAAGCGGGTGGGAGGTGTGTGTGGGGGGGTGTTTGGGGCATGGTGGGCAGCTTGTTGGCGCATGCTGGGAACGTTTTTGTGCGCTTGTGCTTATGTGCGCCTGTCCGAAGGTGCGCTGCTCGCAGTACAATATCGCGGCTGTACGATACGGTACGGTACGGCACAGCAGGGCTGTACGGGGGCGACGTACCGGCTTGCCCAGCAGCTCGCTGAGGCGGGCCACCACGGGGGTCAGGCGGTACTTGTCCTCGGGGCCGCCCTTGGGACGACCCTACACGGCACGAGGGGAATTCCAAGGCACACATGCGCGTCGGGAGTAGTCGAAACGGGAGACAAGAGGGGAATGGGGTGTTGGGGGCTCCAGTTACCGATGTTGACGTGGTTGATGCTGCGAAGAAACATACGCTTTTTGCATTTTCAAGATCAAAACCATTAGTAACATGAATGAATTGTAGGGAATAGCATAGGAGATTCCCAATCGAAAGGGAAGACCATTCCGACGCACTCCGATCGCACCAGGTGGGAGGTCAGGAGGACCTTGGCACCGTTGTCGAGCAGGTACTTCAGGGTGGGGACGGCAGCGCGGATGCGGGTGTCATCAGTGATGGCCAGGGTCGCCTTGTCAAGGGGCACGTTCAGGTCGGCGCGGACAAAGACGCGCTTGCCTGGATGATGCAAGGGAAGAAGGTCGCATTATTACTCTCGCGAAAGCTTGAGCCCAGCAACCCAAACTCCTCTTGTAAAATGTTGTGAAAGATGCCAAACATGCGGTGCAGGAATTCCGTTGTTTCGTAGCAGGCCCATGCGTGATCGATGATCGAAGGAAACCGGCCCCCAAAGGACTTGCAGCTCACCCACCCTCCAGATCAGCCTTGCTCAGGTCACCAACAGACTTCTTGACCTGTAGGCGAAAACGCAAGTCGAAAGGATGTTTTCATTGTTACCCTCGAGACATTAGAGACGATATTCTCCTTAACGCCCTACTCACCGCCTCGACGACTACACGGCTGCGGCCCAGACGACGAACCTCAACGGAGATTTCAGGGGCGAAGGTGGTGCGCAGGACAGGGCGGGCAACCGACGAGAAGGGCACGACACGAGGAGCCACAGCGGCCACGCGGCGCCCAGACACAACGCGCGCATTGGCGCGCATGTTCATCGTGAGGGCCATGATGTTAGTCTGTTTGATAACCCAGAACAGGCACAGTTGCGAGGCGACGTTGCAAAGCGCTATAAAGTGTCTTGATCGATAAGCTTATCATTGCCGTACGGTCTCGGAGACAAACTAGTTCAGTTCGCTTAGCTCGCTCCATTCTGCAAGAAATGGTGCCCACAGTTACCCCCACCTATACCAAGGCTTTTATAAATTTAAGCGCAGTGTCGTTGCGGTTGCATATCTAAAGACGCCAGTTAAAAACCTGTTGTTGCAGAGAGATGTTTGCTAGCAACAAGTTTCAGATAAGTTTCTATTGGTGCTTGCCAACTTCATTACTGATATGTCCATGGAGCGTGTTCACGTGTATGCAGGCTTCAAACCTGCGACATAAACCATGATTTGGCCTCGTCCTGATGTAGTATGGGCCCAGCGAGCTTGCTCTATAAGGGCGTAGTAGAAGAAAAGAATGAAAGGAGTAGCGAGTTGAGACGGTCTTGGGTAATCGCCGTCAATCGTTACAATTAACTGGCATCAGACCCAATTGGCAGAACAGAGTGCAACGTTATTATGTCTCCAACGTTCTTAGCCTACAGGCTCTTAACTTCTCACAATTCATGCACATTCTCGATGCAGCAACAGGCAACAAGGGGGCTCTTAGTCAGCCACAGCAAAAAAATCAAAGGGCAGGAAAGTTAGCCCTCATAATCTGGCTCTCGAAAAAGCAAACACGCCCTCTCCCTGGCGGAGACCATGATGATGCCGAATATCTAATTTCAAAGAAAGCAGCGCCTTCTCCAGGTAACAGGCTGCCGCACCAAAAGAACTCATGTGCAACGCTTATGAGAATTATGACCTAACTACCTATCTACATGCACGAGCGCGCCCATCTGTTAGCATATCTAGATTCTGACCTGAAACTAACAACCACGCGCCTAATATTGATACCTGAATTTCTGCTCTACCTGATCTCTGAACTGAAATGCACAACCTGATCTGGACTATTAATCACTCGCCCAATACTGGATTTTTCTGCTCTACCTGAACTGAAAAACACGTTTCCACGCCACACAATTTGCACGCCTGAGCCTAGCCAGTGCTTTTCCCCTTAGGACGCCCAAACACCAGCGAGTGTCGTACTCATGCCTCGCCCGCCTGCCAACCTGGCCTCAACCCCTCCGTTGATTTAAGGGCGTCTGAAAGGGACATCCCCTTTTCTCAAGGTAACGTACACTTAAAGCACCCCTCCTCCAAAACGGCGAAGGCTGGGACAGCAACTATCCAACGGCTGCAACAACGCTTCGAGGATACAAGGCGACAGTGCAATCCATGTACATATCCCTTTCAACTTCAGCAAAACTCATCCAAACGCGTCCTCCTATTGCGCGGAGAGCATGTGCGCGTTGAAACATAAGCTTACACCCTCCTTACCCACTGCCTTGACACGTACATAAGGTGTTTATGCAAGCTCCAACAATGTGCTGGCTCCAAGCCTCAATAGAAAACTCCACCCTTCACCTGACATCGGACGGACCACCGAAATTACAGAACCGCCATCTTCCTCGCCCACTGTCACATGGCAACTGCACCACAACAACAACCCCAAAACGAACAGCAACAACACCGCTTCAATGCCAGCACCCACTTGCAATGTCTGCTCCTAACTGCTGCTCCTAACCTGTCTGAAGCTAATGCTACCTGACCTATCGCTGTTTGCTTGACCTAACTGCCTGACCATTTCCTAACTACACCTGTCTGTCACTTCTGCGCTTCGCCTCTAGTAGGCATTCCCCCCAAGCCAAGTCTCATGCATATAAAACACGAAAAAACCTGCAAGGATAGACATCCATAAGCCGGAGCATGAAGTACGCACCACTAAGGCTGTATATGTTGAACCAACCCCCCATAGCACAACAAAGCGCGAGTCCCGGCGATATACCCCGAGGCACACGTTACTAGTAAGCCGGACCAACACCCAACTGCCCAAGTCCACTAGCCCTCCAATCTTATGTAACCATGTTAAACCCAACTTGGGTTCTAGCCGGCACCAAACACCGGCCTCAACTCCATGCACCGCTCCCCACATAGCCACCACCGAGCCTCTCAATGGACTCAACAGGCAAACACCAACTTGGCATCACCACAACTGACAGCAGTGGCACGCCGACAACGCAATTGACAACAGAAAACTCGCAACACAACCCCACCACAGGCAGCAGCAACAGCATGTATGCCGGCCCGAATGTGTTTATGTTGCGCCAAAGGTTAAGCACCCTTTCGCCAAGAACCGCCCAAGAGTAGGAAGAGACTAGCGCCGAGTGCTGTGGTGCGATGTGAAAGCACGCGCCCCAAAAGACACACAGACGCCTCAAGAGACACACCGACAAAAGGAAGCGCGGGTGCACTGCAAGGCCACCACACGCGGGCTCACCCGCGGGGCCTCGCCACCACGCATGCCACGATATCTCAACACAACAGCCACAGACAGGCAAGAAAAAGGCACAATCTTCACCCCAACCGCTTTCAGCAATACCCCCATACTACGCAACCCCAGACGCACCTCATGAGGGGGTTGGGAGTGGGGCACTGGTTTATCATAGCTTGTAAGTGCAATGGCTTTTCGTAGGATTGGGGGTGAGGTTCGGGCGCTTGGGACACAGCATGTAAGCAAACTCTAGCGCAGCTGAGACTCCCGGCCCCAGTGTGAGCGCATACTTAAGAACCGGCACATAACGAGGGAGACAGCACCCCTCGCCCTCACCCCTGCCCCCCTCCCGCCCTGACAACAACCCACCAAACGCATTCACTATTAGACTTCATACAGTATGGACGAACGCTTCAACACAGCATCGCAACAAACACAACAGGACAAGCAACAGGGTAACGCAACCACCCTCATCACGCCTAATGGCGGATCACATAATCAACAGGGTTCCTACCCCGGAGGGGTATATTCAGTGACCCATTGAGCATTGGCTTTTGCTTCGGGCCTAGACGTAGAACAGGAGCATAACTCTGCTGAGTCTAACGTGCGCGCAAAGCCACAGAGCCCGTTCACACATCAGCATTGGCTTTCCACCACGTCTGTCCAACAGCACAGGCAGGTAGTCGCGTCAAGCCGGGCGCTAACCTCATAGTCAAGCATGCGGCCCACTATCCCAAATCCAAACAAGCATGCGTTACCAAAACCGACAATCACGACCGTCTTCAATCCGTAAGGCATGTAATTACGTAAAGTACCCTGCGATGTCGTGCCATGAGACCCAATGTCGGGTTCAGGCATGTGTCTACGCGGTAATGGTGGTGTAGCAGTAAAAAGGTTATGAGGTACATCCATATGTGTGCAGCGCTGATATAAAAGAGGATCCAATTCTTGTCGCCCAATCGATACATCAGCCATACACGCCTACGTTACTACCCGTAGCCACTTGATAGGTTACGCACACACACACACACAGTGCCAGTTATTTTAACACACACACACCTCGCGGCCAGTTCTTTTAACACACACACACACACACACACACGAACACACACACACAGTTTTCTTAACACACATGAACGCATACGCGCAGGCAAAAACTTAACAAACGTACGCAAAACGTATACTGCCATAGATGTGTTTTCAGAAACCGCCCGACCGGCAGTGTGGCCTAGTTCTGAGAAAGGAGCGCGCACCCTACCACCAACCATTCCTCTGCTGCCCTCATGAGTGCGCACGCATTACTACCTAACCTCCATGGGTGAAGAAAATGAAAGTGAAACATCTCCTTCAAGCGCGGGCATTCCTTTGAAAACCTAACTCTACGCGCAGGACGCCTGCCCCTCGCTAACAGGTGAGGTTTTACGCGAGTACGACGACGCAATGTGCATTCGCCACACCCACACAAAACCACACTGCCTCGCAAGCGGCAAGCGAGGGGGGGTCCGCGTCAGACCCCTCCGCACCAGCGCATCATGGAAAAGCAGGCCCAACCTTCAAAATGCATCAGGACGGAACTCGGGAACCACACACGCAACTGAACAACGTATAGAAGAATGCTTTCCCCATGTATGATCTTCCCAGCAAGACCTGATGACCAACCGCCGCCATGAATAACCAGACCTGGCCCGCAGTTACGTCTCGGGCAAACAAGCATTAATAACTGCCGGCACAGCAGAGCCAAAACGAAGTTGTAAAACTGGTTCTGCGCAGGTCCAAAACATAATGCCTCAGCTGCGAGGCTATTCGCCATTGAGAAGCCGCCGCGTAGGAGGCCTGGAAGGGGCTTCTGCTTCCAGCGCCCACATGTGTGGCTGGGCTTGGTTCGCGTAGCCAAGTCCCGCGACCCTCTGAGCCTCGGCCTCGGCCTCGGAACTACTTGTAGCTAGATTTGCAGTAGCAGCAGCAGCCTCTGCTGCATCCCCATTCTTGTTGGTGTCCTTAGGCCTTCATAAGAGTGCCGCTGCTCCCCAGCAATCCGTAGCACCTGTCCAGCGCCTCCACGCAGCCCTCCAGCCCGGGGGCGAGCTGCGGCAGAGTCAGGCCCGAGGCGCCGCACACCGCCGCAACCGCCCGCGTGCACGCCGGCAGCAAGCGGGCAGCGGCGGGCAGAGGGCACAGCTTGTGCTCCGCCAGTACGACACAGGCCAGAGCGACGGTGCTGTGTTCGTACGACAGGAAGGTCTCGTGCATGAGCGACGTCTCCGCCAGCGTCATCGCCATGTCCGCCACCGGCCGCCACCACAGCAGCCCCAGAGCCTCGGCGGCGGCAGCAGCGGAGGCGGCACCGCGGGGAGACAAGCCGTCCAGGTTAGCGTAGTCGCCAGCTGACAACTGCTCAGCACCATTGCCGCCAGCAGATACGTACTGATCCTGGATGGAGGGTGCGGCCACCTCGGCTGCAGGAGTGGTGGTTGCGGTGGTGGCCGCTGCTGTTGGTGCTTGCATGCAGGCGAGGAAGTGTGTGAGGAAGGTGAGGGTGTTGGGCGTGTGTAGGCGCCAATCGACGGCTTGCAGCAGCACCCACTCCATGCGTTGAAGGTCGGCAGGCTGCAGGGAGTGAGGAGAGGGGAGGATGGGTGGAGGAGGGAGGGGGATGGTTTGGGGCACGGGATAATGGAGTGGGATAGAGGTCTGTGCGTGAGGAAGGTGCGCCAAGAGTGCCGATGGTGCACAGGGAAACCAGTCGCCCCAGCCTTCACTGGTTGCGGCGGCATGGGGAAACGACAGGAAGCTCTGCATAACCGCTGTTGTTGTTGCAGCAAGGCAGCCGGTTTAACATTCTACGTCACAGGGCAGCAGTTTATATCACGGAAGGATGCCTGTGGACCTTAGATCCCTGCCCAAACTCCCCGGGCGTCCGCCCCGTCCCATTCGCCCGCCTCCGGCCTCACATTGTAAAGCCGCTTGCCGTTTAAGTCGATGGCCAGGCTCAGCCAGACAGCGGACGGGACCTGAGCCACCTATGGAACAAACAGAGCATCAAAGGCGAACCGGAGAAGGTATTTTAAACGCAGCTGTCACGAAACCAGATGCCCTGTCCCAGCTTTATCGTCTTCAAGCCGCTTCCAAGCGGGTTGAGAGGAAACGGCATACGTTTCATATACCTATTAAGAGTGTGTCCCCCATGCCGCTCGCTTCACAATTGTCCCTCCCACTGTCCGCGCCCTCCCCTACCCGCCTCAGGCCTCACCTCCTCGTACTTGACCCCCACTGCCATGGCCGCCAGCGCCAGCAGCTGCAGCAGCGTGTCGGGCGGCAGCTCCGGAACCGAGCCCACGAAGCGGTCCAGCAGTGAAGTGGCTGCGAACAGGGTGGCCGCGTGCAGGCCCAGGGCATCGGAAACCTGACGCATCCACCCAACGATGCGCGCTCGATGGACGGCAGGAAGACGGCGAGAAAGAGAGGCACGAGCGGTCGCACGCTCGTGATCGAGCTCGCACTGCTTGCGGAGGTCATCCCTGAAAAGTGCACAACATGAAAGACCACGGATGAAGCGACAAAGGTAAAAATTTGCAAGATTTCTAGGCGCACATGTCAATATTTTTAAACGGACCTTATGATAAAAGGTATGCTGGACCCTTTCACATCTGGTTCAAGAGACAATGGACGAGCCCGGCCGCTAAGAACTCCGCACTCCCGGACTTCCAGCGCCTCGGTGGAAAGGGAGTACTCCTGATCCAAGTATATGTCCTCAAGGTCCTCCTCCGAGCACACCAGGCTTGACTCTGCCGCGGAAGTGGATCGACTAAGGGGGTGGCCGTCCGAACAGCAAGCGGACGAAGAGCTCCGTGACACCCTTGGCGAATTTTCCATCTTGTGTCGACGTTTTGGATAGGCAGAAACGGGGAAGTCGAGGCTTGAGACGGCGCTTATAATGCAATTTTGGCCCGACTCCTTAATCCCAACTAATTATCACGCCCACGTTCAGAGAATCCTTTAAACCTATTGCGTGCGTGTTGCGTTGCCGTGAATCCCAGACAAATGCCCAAGGCTAGTTACCCAACAACCGTCCTCTGGCGGGCACCAAAAAACACCTTCAAGGCCAACGTTCAAACGATGTCCTGATGACCACAGACTATGAATTCTACGCAAACCTCTGGCACTACAATGGTTGAGATCCCAGCGGCTGGCCTTATCGTACGGCGCCATACGTAATGGGCAATCAAATTCCAGACATCCAGAGCCGCACGCCGCACGAAGCATACCTCCAACCTCCAAGCGCGCCAGTAACAATTCTGCAACTGAAGCATTGGGCGACATACGTCTTTTGCAAGTCCTAGACTTTGGGGGCGTCTGCAAGTGGCAGCACCACGACCTTAGTCTGATTGCCCGTATGCAACGCAAGAGCAAAACCTGCTTGCCTCACGCCCTTGCATTGCCTGCTGGATTCACACCCGCCCATTTGCCTTTTCGGGAAACAGTTGGTTTAAGAACTGTGGTTAGTACTTCGCTCGTAGTGTTCTCGCCTTCAGGCATTCTCACTCTGTATGCACTCTTAGCGGATGTGTCAGGCAGACAATAGGATTGCTTACATTCTCTCTTCGATGCCCGGATTGCTTACATTCTCTCTTTGATGGCCTTCGGACGGCGGCTTGCGTTCAACCTAAGTTGGCCCTACTCATGTTGGCCCTACTCATGCATAGATCCAAAATAGCAACACGAAGCAACAAAACCTGACCATTACCGACGGCAAAGCTGGCCCGCCTTCTACTGCCTCACTAATTACACCTGCCCAACTCTACCCATCTATCCAACCTATGGTGCATTGCTGTCATCTTCAGGAACCCAAGGCACCCCCGACGCTACCACAACTTTCACCAACAACCATCAACCAACTAAGATGAGCAATTAACGAAAGTCCTTTGGCACATGCATATCCTTACTCTTTTGCCTGCTTAAGGGGATCAGCCTCAACATGCAAACCAAACAAACAACTATCCTTTACGATCACCATGACAACACCTTTTGGGAAAAGCATGAACCGCATCAACTTCAAGACCGCCTGTTTATTAATGGAGCCCTAGACCCCACCGGCCGAACCCCTGACGAAGCCCCTGCAAACCGCACCGTTGCAGGTCGACCGTTGCATGAAAACGCGCTTACCAATCCCCCCCATGCGGGACGGACCAAACTGCAACCAAATCCAAACCCCCAACATGCGTTGCGCGCGACGCACAGGACTCCCCTGCACGCATATGCGCTGTAAGACCATTCTCAGCTATGTCCCACAGCCCTTGCCATCTTTATTCGACCAGACTAGCAGAACCAGCAACCGTACCCTACATTACCTGGATAGCGCACACCTACATAGCGGATTTGGTTCCCTTGAGTTTGTTTTAACTCCTGGTGCCCAAAGGATGCAGCCCCCGAGGCACGCCGAAACCAGAGCCGCCTGCACACCCGCCAACCTTCTCTCCTTTCCGCATGAAGCAAGAGGCAGCTCAGTTCTACCCTACGCAAGTAGGTACAAAGCCCAACCCACGTGTTCCGCCGCCACACCACTCGGCCTCACGAGAGGCGTGTCACAGCCCCCAAGACCCCTGATAAGCGACCTACCCTCAATATATTTGGCCTTTCCGACCGGTGCAAAAGACCCGGGGCACCTTCCAACGCCTACCCACCAACCTACCCACCAACCTACACACAGACCAGCCCACCCACCCATACAATCACCTGTCCATATAGCACTGCCACACACACTCCCGGCCACTTTTTGCAACACACACCTATCATGAAGCGTACAATCCCGCAGAGCCGCAAACCGCCCGAGTTTTCTCTCACCAAGGCTACAATCCTTCACGTACGTTGTCATGCCTACCCTAACTGCCTAGCTAACCATAACGCCTGAAACTGCCCTAGTTGCCCTAATTGCCTAGCTAACTATAACACCTGAACCTACCCTAACTGCCCTAATTGCCTAGCTAACCATAACGCCTGAAACTGCCCTAGTTGCCCTAATTGCCTAGCTAACTATAACACCTGAACCTACCCTAACTGCCCTAACTGCCTAGCTTACTGTAACGACTGATACTACCCTAACTGCCCTAATAACTGCCTAGCTAACTGCCTAGCTAACTAACACCTGAAACTGCCACCTAGCTATCTAGCCACCTACCAGCCTACCTATCATCCTAGGAGTGTTCCTAAAGAGAGTGCATCTTGTCAGTGTAACAGTAACCAATACACCTTTTTTCATCTAAGCCTCCTCACAGTCACAGCAAGTATACAAGGGGGCGCAAAAACGCATGCCATGCAATACCTGCAAGTCTGCTCGCCCGCTGCACCCATCAAGGGCGCACGCTCATCTGAAACACCTTAATCCTTGCTTGAAGGAAATGAGCATATCAAACACCCGTACCAACACCTAGAGTTAGGGGTTCCTAAGGCCTTACTACTGGCCTGCAACTGCACTTTTGCAAGCAACCCTAAATGTGCCACAACAACAAACTCGAAATTCGAATTTAACCTTACTTGACCCAAAGCAAGAGCCGTTGCTACCGCTGCTACTGCTAACTACTATCGTTGTACTGCTACTACCGCGAAGTACTACGATCGCCGCTGCGGAAATAGTTCATGCAAGAACCTACCCTTCTGCAACAGTTTCCGCAGTAACTTGTAGGCAATGAAAGCAGTGACGACGATGGAAAACACCCACGCGTTGCCCAGCAGGAACAAACAAACCAAGTGTAGTAAGACGACAGAAGCCCGGGGGCCCTCGGGTACTCACACGACGTTCTTCTTCGCGGCTGGTCTTCGTAACGCACGACGTGGTTTGACACACGACGTGCGGATTGAGGAACTAGCCATGTGTGCCGAGTTGACTTAACACACATAGTATGTACGGCTCTCCCCTCCTCCACTCATCCGAGAACCGCAGCCGGAACAACAGCAGAAGCAACAGAAATCGATGCACGTAAAGCAAAAGAAGCCATCAAACAACAGCAGCAGCGAAAGGGCCACATTGTTAAGAACTTCGAAATCAAATGGCAATCCTAATCGCCCCCCTGTGGCGCCCCTCACCCCAGGCACTCACGATGCTCACCAAATGCCACAACAACCCCCCACACCAGCATGACATAGAAACATGTGCCACACCTAGACGCCTAAACGAAGATGCCCCTGACATGACTGCTTCTTTAACCCACCGCTGCATGCGCTTTTCCCGGCAAATGACCATGACGTAAATGATGACCGTAGGGCATTGTACAGTACACTTATGATATGCACTTAGATATCTTCCCAGGAATTCCCAAACCCGATCAGTAAATCCCACCACAAGTCAACCTAACCCTCAACATATCTCCCAACAACTCCACCTCCGGTCAAAACCCAACATTAACCAAACTACCCGCAGAAGTAGTGGCCTAGCTGCCCACAAAACCTGGTAGCCCCAGACCCACCACACACACACACACCCAGCGGCCAGTTATTTTAACACACACCCGAACATGGGAAAGCCTCGTCGGGCCTGCATGTGCACCTGTACAAAGTCCCACTATGTTTTCACCCTCACGCCCCACTACGGCCACTTGGCCATGCAAGCAGATAAAGCGACCCAGACCCAGCGGCCAACAGCACTAACCCCCTGCTCTAACCGCTCAAGGCGGCGCCCTCAAAAGGTCCCCTGCTGATCTCTTTTTTGCCTTTTATAATTAAATGCTCGCATCATGCCTTTTAATCCCATGTGTTTATCGGTATGTACAGACCACCGAACCCAACAGCTACTGACAGCAAGCCATCGCCGCGACCGTCCCCGGCCCCTGCAGCCCGGGGCTCCTGCATTTGCCGCCGCCGCTGCCCCCCATGTTACCGTTCGTCACACCGCCGTTGTTGCCCAGCTCGCCGCTGCTCCCCAGCAATCCGTAGCACCTGTCCAGCGCCTCCACGCAGCCCTCCAGCCCGGGGGCGAGCTGCTGCAGAGTCAGGCCCGAGGCGCCGCACACCGCCGCAACCGCCCGCGTGCACGCCGGCAGCAAGCGGGCAGCGGCGGGCGGAGGGCACAGCTTGTGCTCCGCCAGTACGACACAGGCCAGAGCGACGGTGCTGTGTTCGTACGACAGGAAGGTCTCGTGCATGAGCGACGTCTCCGCCAGCATCATCGCCATGTCCGCCACCGGCCGCCACCACAGCAGCCCCAGAGCCTCGGCGGCGGCAGCAGCGGAGGCGGCACCGCGGGGCGACATCACAGCAGCATCGTACATCTTCATGCAGCCCCTGCTGTTGCCGTCTGCCACCTCTCCGGCCGCCTCCGCCGCCGTCCCCTTCGTCGCGGCTTCTGCCTCCTCCATCTCCCGGCCTGATGGGGCAGGTGACGGAGGCTGGGACAGCGGCAGCGCCTGCCGCGGTGCCAGCCCACCGCTGAAGTCGTGATCATGATAATCGGCGGCGTCGGGGTGAGAAGCACGGCGAAGAGGGTGCTGAGGAGGATGGGACAGAGCCGCCACTGTTATTGTTGCGGTAGCGGTGGCGGTGGCATAGGCCAGGGTTTCCACGGAATCCGTGTCCATGCTGTCCGTACGACTCGCCTCCAGGGGGCGCCGCATTCCGTACGCCTCGAAGCCGCCGGGGTGTTGGTGCGGCTCCTCTTCCATGTGTTCTTCCGGGGCGGTGGATGCGGCCACCTCGGCTGCAGGAGTGGTGGTGGCGGTGGTGGCCACTGCTGTTGGTGGTTGCATGCAGGCGAGGAAGTGTGTGAGGAAGGTGTGGGTGTTGGGCGTGTGTAGGCGCCAATCAATGGCTTGCAGCAGCACCCACTCCATGCGTTGAAGGTCGGCGGGCTGCAGGGAGGGAGGAGGAGGGAGAGAGGATGGGTGGAGGAGGGATGGTTTGGAGCGCGGAAGGATGAGGGACAACGGACAACGGTACATGCTACTGACGAGAGGAAGCCACATATACAGCTGTAGGCCAGTCACACCAAGGCGATGCGATAGAGCCTCGCGTCTGCAGGAACGGGGCCAATGCGACACAGCAGGCAGCGCATCCCATCATCTCATCGCCTGGGTCCACGACTGTGGTCAGGGCAGGTACCGGTACTACGGTACACAACAGAGCTCAGGTGCTTCGGCTCCGTGTGCTTGGACCTGTTGTGTGTGCTTTACTGCTGCACACACCCACAGCCAGCCGCCTCATGACCTGCACGCCGCCTCACTGACCTGGTATAGCTGGTTTCCGCTGCCGTCAATTGCCAGACTGAGCCACACCGACGGCGGGACGGTATCCACCTACAAACACGCAGCATGCGCACACCAAACACACGCAAACACAAATGTATCCTCCTTGCGAGTATTAGCTTACCACATACACACATGTCTGCGGCGGCTCTGTGGGGTCTTCATCTTCCGACAATCACAGTACGTTCCTACTCGCGGCCAGTTTTCTAACAAAAGTCTGCTTTTGAACCCATTTAGCTCCCACGCTCACACATGTAGCCCGTCACCTCGGGGATGACTACCCAACAAGCAGCAGCACATTTGCAATAGCGTACAGTACATTAACACACAGGCATGCCACCACCACACAGTACGTTCGGCCTCACAGCGTATGCCACTGACAATGTTACACAAGTACCCTCCCTTCCTGCCTAACCTTCCCTTTTCCCCCCTGCCCGCCTCACCTCCTCGTACTTGACCCCCACCGTCATGGCCGCCAGCGCCAGCAGCTGCAGCAGCGTGTCGGGCGGCAGCTCCGGAACCGAGCCCACGAAGCGGTCCAGCAGTGAAGTGGCTGCGAACAGGGTGGCCGCGTGCAGGTGAAGGGCGGCGGAAACCTGACGCATCCACCCAACGATGCGTGTGCGGTGGATGGATGGAAGACGGCGGGGGAGAGAGAGTGTAGGGTAGAGGGGTGCGGGAAAGAAGGCGGAGAAGGAGGCGGCGCGGTGGAAGTGGAGCTCGTATTGTTTGCGGATGTCGTCTCTGCGGCCGACAACAGGGGGGGTGGGAGAGGGGATGACAAGGGGATGGATGAGCATGGACACGGACATGGTCGATGGTAACGCCGGAATGGAGGAATGGAAGTAGGAAGTAAGAGATCGAATGAGGTGGTTTTGCTGCAAGCTGGGAACGCATAAACAATAGGTTCTAATAGGGGCTTGATGGTCGCGTGTCGCGTGGCATGGACACTTGACAGCGGCCCGCAACAACACCAGTTGTTTCTACACCGCCTGGTATCTTTACCTTATGTAAATGCCTAGTTTGTTGACAACGTCGTCAGCGGGCGCAGCCGGCTGAAGGAGCAGGACGGCATCAAACCGGCTCTCCCATAACGGGTACATATCCTTCGCGAGGACATCTGTTTGGCAAGGCTTTCCAACTCCAAGATCCTCCTCTGTGCAAAGTAAGCTTTTAGAGTAGCTGGACACGGTCCTGCTCGATGATGAGCAGGCCGCAGGACTCGTCGTCAGGTTATCGGGCAGATATGCAGTGTCATAGTCCTGCGCATATATTAAAGCACCAGTTCTTGTCATATTGCACGGTATGGCATAGGTGGCAACAACACCTCAGGCAATTCTTGTTATGTGTGCGCCCAATGCACTGCCCCTTACCGAAAGGGTACGCACTGCAACACTCTGCATCGACCTCGCTGATATACGCTCGGCCGCTTTTGCCTGTCTGCGGCTTAACTAATATAGGCTAGCCAGACCTTACAGGGGCAACAGCTACGCGATTTATAAATATGGAGGATCGTCACGCCAAGCAAGAGGCTATACTCTGCGCATCAAGACAGGCAGTATGGTAGGTACAGAGATATTATTTACCGGTAGTCCCAGTTGTCGTAATCCCCGAGTGTCTCGTCCCATTCTAATGAACTGCACTACTGCAGAATCGGCATCGTGTGTCAGGGACGGGACAACGTGATGTGCTTTCGCTGCCTGCTGTATTTTCATGGTTCTCTTCTTATCTGGAGCGAAGTTCACATCAGCCACGGGGTACCCTTTTGTCCGAGCACACGGCCGAGCAGGCCAAGTAAGCACTCGTCACGTCAAGCATTTCAAGTGTCATAGACTAATCCTTTTTACTTATATCTCGAGTGTCTAGATAGGGAGCCGATCGTATGTCAGGCACGAAACCGGAACGCGGATTGGAAAGCTGCAACCTGAGAAATAACAAATGCTGGAGTACAGTAGGTCACACTCAGAGTACTAGCTTTCGTATAGAGTAAGCCAACTCAGCTTCAGGTACGTAACAGACAGAAAATGGCTGAACCTCGCTTTCCCAGGCCAGTCCGCAAAATGCAGGGTTATTATCATACCGATATCGGCACTAGGTAGGCATTAATTACGTCTATTAATTTCCCAAATCTTCACAGGAATAACCCGGAAGTATGTGATGAACCCTTTTTAACCGGTGGCGAGCTAGGGTCTGGAGGCGAAACGCCTGACACTTCAGGCGATTCACTTTAACAAAACACTGTCCCACACATCAGCATTTGCCATACACCACTCCATGCACAATCATGGATACTGATGTGTTGGTCCATCTCCAAAACGGTGCGCCTTCAAGACTACTGCCTGCCGGCTTGTAGCTGAACGGCCGCCAAGCAAGGCCTGCTTTATCCTCAACATATATACGTTTATAAGGATAATAAAGATGGGCGCCGCAACACTGCCGCTGGGTATCACGGCCGATGCGCGTCGCTGTGTTTGTCAAGAAATCATAAGCTGCACCGCTGTGATCGTTCACAGGACAACATGAGCAGCAGCATAACTGCCTTCGCCGCCGTCGATGCTAGTGAATTGTGATAAACCATATCTTGCAACGGAGATGCGCTCGTCACTGCTGCGACGGAAATGCGTTCGTCCAAGTACCCTGCCGCTACCCTACTCTACTCCTCCCCTCTCCCCCGACATCAGACAACTCCTTGGTCTATTGTGTAAACTTGTGTTGCAATCACATTGCTCTCTTCCTCTTCATCGCCTCGGCAGGGACAATGAACAACGCCAAGGAGCAACTAACATGCTGCTTCTTCCGCTCCTCGGCCTGCTCCTGTTCTTGCCCGTGTTCGCCCGTGCTTCACCGATCCTGCACACCGATTCCCCTCAGCACGCTGCGTCCCTCATATTTCACCTATCAACGGGGCCGCACCATGCTTTCCAACAGGCTCATTATTCCCAAAGCAGTAACGTGAAATTCACGAATACCGTAATTACTGTTATGGCCACCACGGGTTTCAAGTTGCTCCTAGATACATACCAGTACAGCGCTTTCCTTCCCTGCGGCAGTTTGACGTACACCCGAAGTGCTGTTCAACCCTCCCTCATGCATATTGCAAGTCCCAACTAACTACTGGCTATTCAGTTACCAAACGCCGCCGTGCATTCCTGGCTTGCCCTAACCACCCGAACCAATTGATACACCCATCCACCCTTGCAGCTTGCACCTGCATGTTCGTTTCCCAAACCGGCCATACCCAGGTCCTGAGCTTGTGGCTCGTAACCCAGCCAATCCTTGCCATTCATTCCCTACCCAGGCCAGCAGTACCACCACATGTCGCACTTGTGCCCAACCATCAGCCTAGACACACATCTCGGTTAGCCGGCCTTATGGTTTCTCCATCCAAACTATGGCAGGTAGTACAATCCCCTACCCACCCTCCTTATAGGCAGGTTGTAGCTCGGCTGCGCCCTCAGGACCATGTATCCACGCCTCCGAAACCATTCATGCATCACGGGTCGTTAGTCACTACAGGTTATACTTGGCTACCAGGCGCTTGCAGTCGGGACAGGTCAGCCGCGGCTTCACCTCCGCCACCCCTGCCGTACTGGCACCGGAGCTGATGAGCAGCTCCGCAATGTTTTGCCAGCCGGACAGCAGCGATATCTGAATGCAGGGCGCGGGGGGGGGGGGGGAGAAGGAGAAAACCGCACGGCGCGAGGGTAGGTGTGGGGTAGGGCGTGGGGATAATATTCAGGCAGTGAACAGAGCCGCCGCGTGCTGAAACAGTAGCAGCCGCTCCCCAACCGCAGAGAGAAGCGGCAGCAGGTTGAATTCCTCTGCAGAAGCATGGGCCTCCGACTCGTTTAGGCCGTACACGGTCTGTGACAGCCCCGATAGGGGCCCCACCTTGTCACATCACACCACACCACACCACACCACACCACACCACACCACACCACACCACACCACACCACACCACACCACACCACACCACACCACACCACACCACATTACAGCAACAGCACTGTCCCTGCCGTGGCAGCGGCAGCGATCCACCGGGCAGAGGGCAGCCGCCAGCGCGGCTTCGTTATCACAAGGTTTCCAACAGTGCTTTCAGCTCACCTGCAGCGCAGTCAACCCCGCCTTGTCTCGCGCCTCCAGGTCGGCTCCTGCCCGCACCAGTGCCTACCGTAACCGGGGTTAGCAGAGCAGACCGAGGAGAGCAGGACGGGATGTGAGGTGTGCGGTGGGGAATCAAGCACATGCGAGGTGCGCTAGACAAGAGGCAGCATGTGGGCTTCTTGCAAGCGGGGACCTGTAGGGGCCAGCAGGGCCTTCTTGCCCCGCTGACCCGCACAGGCCTCGCGGCATGATTGGGAGGTTTAGGACATGCGCTTACCGCGGGGATCTCGCTGGGCGGGTACTTGTAGTGGCCTGCTCGGGCAATCATGAGCAAGGGAGTGTCGCCAGAGGTGGCGTCCCGCTCGTCTGGACTGGCGCCGGAGTTTAAAGCCGCTTTGACAGCTGACAGATCCAGGCGTTTGACCGCGGCCCATAGAGGAGTCAAACCTGGCTCTGTGGATTTGGGAAGTTTGGAGGTTGGCCTGTTAATATGGGTTAGTTTATGATTATGCGGTGTCTCTGCTTGGCTTCGGTTACAGCAAGTTTGTATGGTGCTATGTCGATATGACGGGTAACTGCCCTGACTGTTGATGAGCCCGTGGCGGCTGCGGTGTTGCTCATTATTGACATTGTACGTTACTCCCTACCTGGCTGCGAGAACATGGCGGATACCTTGTAGACGTTGCTGGCGACCTGGGATAGCGTCTGGCGAACTGGATTGTCGGATGTGAAGGCGGCGAGGGGTGGAGCCATGAACCGCGACCGGGGCTTTGCGTGCTGGGATGTGGGCAAAGGGGAAACACATGGCAGCGGACTGAGAAAACTCTGAGGGCCATCGGAAATAAGCTTCAGGTAACCTGGCGTTGGGTACAAGACAGCCCCCACATGCGTTGTTACGGGCTGGTGGTTCGGCGTCAACAATGTGTGAGCAAGCAATGAGAGTGAACCATGGGCATAGCTCTGATTGCTCCATATTTCGGCCAGCTAGGTGGCGGGCGTTACAAGCACTTATTAATGCACCATAGTGACTGCCGTGCAAAGAGCTGTAAGTTGACAAGAAGGCATGCATGGCTTCGTAAGTGGCTATGGCTCCAGCAGTTGGAGGATGTGGTCACCATCTTGAGCAATCCCCTGTGAGTCTGTTGATGAGGCGCCCTAGAAGCGGCGTATAGGCATTGCACTTACTTTCAGACCGTGGGAAACATGCGGGGACGCGACGCCACGCCTGTCCCCGTGAGCCACACGATGCGCGAGCGACTTGCAAGCAAGCATTTCCGTGGACCGTGTCTAGCTGGATGATAACTATAAGACGATGCAGATATTACTTCTCTACACTTTTGATTTACCTGTAGGTGCTGCAGACAGTGAATCAAGAACTGGCGATGAGTCGTACCCGACCGGTCCGGTTGACTCTAACGATGACTTTTGGCTAGGTTAACTTATAAGTACACGCTATCTAATCCGCTTTTGTTATGTATGATTCTAGCACGCAGGCTTAGGACGAGCCAAGAATGACTGAGTCTCTAGTACACGCGGCATCGCGTCTTGCTGAATGCTGCGCACTGCTGGCAATTGGTTATAACCTTAAGCAAACGGGAGTTCTGAGAAGTAGCGATGGCGAGGTATGCGCGCCCGCTCTTTCGGTGCTACGACAGCATGCCATGCGGACCGGAGCTGAGCTATGTGATCAGCAGCAACACGAAACACTTTAACACCTAGCAGAAACAATTGAACTGCATGCAGACGGCGATCAAGCTGGCATCGACATTGACGCTGCCATCAGTCATAATACAAGCTTTTGGCAAGTAAGCCGCCAGGACGCGTCATGCAGTCAACACGACACATATGCTAAAGCAAAAACACTTTCCTAACGGATAGCCATGCCCATTACTCCCTCACCCCCTTTCTCCCCACACCTCCCTGCCTCCTGCCTCCCCCCCAGCGGCCCCCCTCTGGGCCCCAGCTCCCTCTCTCTAGTGGGGGTGGCCTCCGTGTGCCTGGGGGCGCAGCTGGCGGCCACATGGTGAGGGGGGGCAGGGGAGGGGAAGGCGGGCAGTCAGGGATGGATCCGTACGGTACAAAACCACAAGTTAGGGCAAAGCGATGGGTTACCGGTATCACCCTCATGAGGCAAACACACACACACACTCACCCTGGCTTCAGCTGACCCCTCCCATCCCCCCTCCCGCCTCACACCATTCCCTTTCCCTTCCTGCTTCGCTCCGTTTCCTCCTCCCTCCTTCATCTCGTCCCCCCAAAGGCTGTACTGCGCCCAACGGCCCCCCCGCGAGCGTGCCGTACTGTCCGGCAGCTGCACGGGTCTGGAGCTGGGCGGCTGGGGCTACCCGCTGGCCGCGATACTGCTGATGTCGGGGCCGGGGGGGCCGCACTCGGGGCATGCAGCAGGGGGGGCAGCAACAGCAGCAGGGGCGCTGGGGGCAGGTGCAGCAGCAGCAGCGGGGTGGGGTCCGGGTGCTGCTGCTGCCGCTGCCGGCGTGTTGCAGTGTGTGGCGCTGGTGGACATGGTGAACATGCTGGCAGGTGGGGGGGGGAGGGCGGGGGGGCGGGTTGTAAGCCGAGTCATAGGGGAATTCACAAGGTAGGACAAAGCAGTGGGGACAAAGGAGGTGCCACGAACCAAGGGAGGGAAATGGAAAGAGGGGGGGAGGGGCTAGAATACCGTATGTGTGTTGTGCAATCCGCTTTCCCCCTTCTGGCTCATCCTGCGCTTTGTCCCCTCTCCCACTGCCCTCCCACCCCTTGGTAAGTCCATTACACGTACTGGCTTGGCTCATTCGGGCTGGGCGGGTCGGGCTGGCTCACATGTCGCAACCCATGTTGACGCCTTATCCCTCAGCCAGTTAGTTGTTTCCTCTTTCCCCCCCCTTCCTATCTATATCCCCCCCCTCCAGTGTGGCTGGGCAGCTACCTACTGAGTGCCGGCGCGGGCCCCGCCTTCCCCGCCGCCTTCCCGCACGAGGACGGGGGCAGCTACCGGGGGCAGTGGCGGGGCATGCGCAAGGAGGGGCTGGGGGTGTACACGTGAGACCGGGGGGGGGGGCGGGAGGGAGGGGAGGAGGAGGAGGAGGACTGGCGGGCGGGTTGTGTTGACTTGGAATTGGCATCGGCATGCATGCTTGCATGCTATGGTTGCGGGCGTTCTTATTGGTGGTGTGGCTGCTTGCTTTCCTCGTCACGGCGCAACACGCGTTCCTTGGGGTCTCTGCCCTTCCCCTCCCCCTCCCCTCACCTGCCCTACCCCTACCCCTCCCCTCACCTCCCCCTCCCCTCCCCCTCCGCGCCCCCCCCCGCAGCTATGCCAGCGGTGCCCGCTACGAGGGCGAGTGGCGGAACAACGTCAAGGAGGGGCGGGGGGTGTACCACTTCCCCAAGGTGGGAGGGGCGGGGGGGTGGGAGGGAGGAGAGGAAGCAGGAGAGGAATGAGGGATACAGGTTGCTGGGGGGGGGCACACGGATGAGGATGGAGAGGAAACTGGGAGCAGGGATGGGTTTGGGTGGGTGGCAGGGATGTCGTGCGGGATGGTTGGAATGGAAGGATGCCACACGCACGGAGAGGGCACAGGCACAGGGCAATTGGGACTGCAGCCCCTCCACACCACCACCACTGCCCCCCACGCGGTACCCGCACCTGCTGCATGGACCCCTCCCCTGCCCACTTCCCTCCCCTGATCCCTCCGTCGCAACACACCTCTCCTCCGCAACACAACACGGCCACACCACCCCACACCAGGGCGGCGTGTATGAGGGCGAGTGGTCCAATGGAAGCATGAACGGTCTGGGAGTGCGCACACTGAGCTCAGGACAGGTCAAGGTGCGCCCCCGGGCTCGCGGCTCACGCGGGTTGCACACTCGCTGGGGGCTTACCTGCAGTGCGCCGGTTTTGACAGTGGCGGACGCAATGAGGAATGGGTGCTGCATGATGGATGGAGGGTCAGGGCAGGGCTGCAACCACCACGCCCTCCCCCCTGCCAGGGGATGTGTTTGTCATCCTCATTCAATGCCTTGGGTATACTTCTTTCTCCCTCCCCCCCAGGCGGGTCGCTGGCGTGACGGTGTGTTGGAGACCCCCCTGGAGCTGTGGCAGGTGGCGCTGGCGGCGGACGGGGCGGCGGCGGTGGCGGCAGCAGCCAGGAGGTGGGGGCCGGGGGGTGTAGGGGCAGAGCACAAGAAAGTAAGGCTGTGGGGTTTAAACACATTTACACATACTCGACCGGTTTCCTCTTTAAATACACTCATTTTGTCTCGCTCTCCTCACCTCGGCTCTCCTCACCTCGGCTCTCCTCGCCTCCCTCCCTCCCTTCCCCCCTCGCCCTGCCCCCCCCTTCCTACCCAGTGTTGAGGTGGGCGGCGGGCGGCTGGTGGATGCGGCGCAGCAGCTGGCGGCGCAACCGGGCTTGTGGGCGCTGCTGGCGGGGCTGGGGATGAATGCGGCCAGGGTGAGGGGGGAAGGGGGAAGGGTGAGGGGGCAGGGTGCAGGAAAAGAAGAATGATGCGAATGAGGGTGCGAGCCCTGCGAGGGCGGGGGAGGTGGAAGCGGAGGCCGGGCGCTGGGGCAGCACCTGCAGGGTGGGGCTGGCGTTGGGGCTGCTGACGCCCCCGCATGCACACCACCCACCTCCCCCCTGCCTGCCGTTCCCTCGCCAGTTTCCTTACTACTACCCCTCCCCCCCCTGCAGGTCGCGCTCCCCCCCTGGCTGAGCCAGCTGACTGCCCCCCTGGCGGCCGCACACGCGCCCCTCATGCTGCTCGCCGCCGGCCTCACCGCCCCGCAGCTGCCGGCTGCCCTCAAGGTAGGGCGGGGGGTGGGGGGGCGGGGTGAGGGGTGAGGGGTGGGGGGCGGCCCCGGACACGCACACTGCACGGGAGGGCGTACGACACTGTGAAGTGCCTTGTAGCATCATTCTCCTTTTTCACCCTTTTCCTTCTTCCCTTGTCCCACCTGACCCCCTAACCCCCCCTCCTACCCCTCCACCCCACCCCCCAGGCGCTGCAGGGGCCGCTGCTTCCTGACCTCGCCCGCCTGCTGGGCGCACGGCTGCTGGTGCCGCTGAGCGTGGGGCTGCTGCTGCTGCTGGACACCATGCTGTCCGCAGCGGCCGCAGGAGTGGGGGCAGCAGGAGCAGCAGGGGGTGGCTTTGGAGCGGTGTTGGGGCTGGGATCTGGGTTTGGTTTGGTGCCTGCAGGTGCGTTGCTGCCGCTGGCGGCTACGTTGATGGCGCTCCTAGCTCCGGTGACGTCTCAGGTGAGGGGGTATGTGGACGGTAGGTGGGTAGCGTTGGCGGCGGCTTTGTTGGGCAGCTGTTAGGCAGCCGGACATGACAGGTTTTGGGAACGGGGCTGGTGGCGTTGGGTTGGGGGGTCAGTGACCCATGGGTCGTCGTGTGGTTGAAGAGCTTGTTAAGCAAGTTAGCAATATGGCTGGCCGTCTTCTCGTCCCATCCTTCCATTCCCTGCTTCCTCTTGCGTGTGCCATGGCGGCACGTGTACGTAGTGCAGTCCTCACACGGCGACAGTGAACTAACGGCATTTTTAATACTAAATAAACCCTCGTATTTCATGTTTACCCGCACACAGGGCCTGGTGAACGCCCGGCGCTTCCGTCTCAACGAGCAAACCGCCGCCGCCATCTCAGCCGCCTCCCTCCTCACCTCCGTACCCCTCATGCTCCTAGCCGGCATCGCAACCTGCATCACCGGCGTCACCCGGCTGCCGTCAATGCCGCCGCCGCCAACTCTGCCGTACAGCGCCGCCGCCGTCGCCGTGGCCGTCAACGCCTGGCCGCTAGCGGCCTTCGCGGCGGCGGCGATAGCCGCCGTCGCCGCCGCCGTACGCTACGCCACGCGAAGTACGGAGTACGGCACGTCTGGGGGGCAGCGGCAGGAGGCCGGGGATCGGCGGGTTCGCATGGTGTACGTGGGGCCAGTGGAGCCGCCAGCCACGTCAGCAGCGGCGCCGGCGACGATGACGTCGGCGGGCAGTGAGGCGAGCCATCCGGTCAGCGCTGGTGCTGGAGCTTCTGGGGTGGAGGGAGCAGGAGGGGGCAGCACAGCATCGTCCACGGAGGCGGCGGCGGGGGGTAGCAGCGGCGGTGGTGGTGGCGGTGGCAGGGCTAGCGGCGACGATGAGGGCGCCGGGCCCAGCAGCAGTGGTACCGGCAGCGGCGGCTGTGGCAGCAAGGGCGGACCTGGGGCGCGGGGGCCGGGGGCTACACAAGCGGTGTCGCAGGCAGCCCCGGTGCTGCAACGGACGCTGGCGGGAGCAGCGACGGCGTCATGTTGGGGGCGGCAGCGGTCGTACGGCAGGGGTTTCGGAGCGCAGGGCGTACGACATGGCAGTTGGGTGGCGGCGGCGGCGGCGACACGGCAAGGGAGTTGTACGGCTGCTGCTACCGGTGCTTCGACGGTGGTTTCGGCGCAACCGGCTCGGGTGACGATGGCTCAAATGTACGGCAGGAGTACGGCAACGATGTCAGGTTGCGTTGTACGGCGAAGTTACGTAGTGGCTATGGCTCGACGATTGCAAGCGTTGCGGCGGACTACCGGTACCTCGCTGCATGCGCGGTAGGGGTAGAATGGTGCAACTCCATGCGGCGCGTACGGCAGGGGCGTTTTGTGGGCATTGTCGCCGGGGGCCTCAGGATCTCTTCGTTGAGGTCCCCTGTTGAGTTGTGGCACAGCCTGGTTGGTGTTTGGGGATCCAGCAGGGATTCTTGTCGGATCGAGTCCCCTGCCGAAGTCACCGCTGCGTTTTGGCTGTCGGCAACCTGCTGTAAACAACACGTGCTGTCAGCAGCCATGCTGTAAACGTCCGCTGCTGTTAGCAATCTTGCTAAGCGAAGGAGGGGTTTTACACGACACGCAGCTCATCCGGTACCTCCTCGGCACGCATCTCAACACACCCGCAGCGATTGCGAATGCACGAATGCCAGGGTAGACTCTGTGGGCGGCAGGCAGGACAAGTGCGCCAACCTGCCCGGCTGTTGGGTGGGCCTTACCCGCGGAGGTACGACCTGCCAGCTGGGTTGTCGGTACGACATTGCAGGGAAATAACACAAACAGCGAAGGCGTTTTTTATGCACGTCGCATACAACAACGGCAGCGGAAGGGAAGAAGGGCCCTTTGTAGCAAGGATAGATTGTACAGGAAAGCGCCAGAGTATGAGGGCCTGGCAGACTGGCACGTGCCTTGTCGTGCTACACGCTTTTATAACGAGAGAAGCTTAGGAGAGAAATTGTAAGCAAGCTTGCATATGCTTGCAGCTCGCTGGACTTTTCAAAGCCTTCCAGTTTCGTCATAGCACAAGCTTTCCATGTATTATATTTATTGTGTTCCATAATTAAGGATTTTAACGGAGGATTCTGGCCATCACAGTGAAGTCACAGGTCACGCGGCGACAAATCACGGGTCCCGTCACAGGTCCGGTCATGCATCACGGGTTCACGGCCATTTATTCTGGTCTACGCAGGTCCACGCAACTAAATTCTTTCACAGCTTGTAAAGTCACAGCCGGCCTGCATTTATACCTGTCTTACAAAACATAAGCAAGTGCAGCTAGCTTTAACCACAGATGTCTTGGTTTGAAGAAAGGGTGGATTTGCGAGGTGTACTAAGTGCCGGAGCGGTTATTGGCAAAGGCGCCTGCAATGCCAAATGGATAGGTCGCGAAGCAGGCGGAGCTAGGCTGACGGTTGAGGATACGTACGTTATTGTGACGGGTCGCAGCCGGGCCGTTGTCAGCAGAGCGGTTCAGCTGCTGCAGGCTCAGTTAGACGCTAACGAGCAACTTGGTGAGCCCTAGCCTGCCCTGCTGCTAGGGAAATAGAGGTGCAGATGCCTCATGGTCGGAATGTCGTCGCCTAACAAGGCAACATGGCCAACTTGAGAAGCGCCCCATGAGATTCTGCTTGTTAGCTAGGGTTTGTTTCTTTGTACAATCTGAAGTCGTTCAGTTGGGCGGTTACTCCTGCGGTCCTGCTGTTCCGTTGACTCAGTTGACCGGCCACAGGACAACAGTCGTCCGGGCATCAACTGCCGCTGATTGCAGCCACTCGCGTTGGGTTTCACCGGTACATTGCATGAGACGTACGGGGAGAGCTTGGTGGTCGCACTTGTTGCTTGTAAACTGCGATACCGTAAGCTAGCTTCCTTGGTACCCTGCTGCAACACCGTCCGCAGTGAGCCCTGCCTACCCGCACCCGCTGCGGATCGACTATGTGCTGCTGGAGGATGCGTTCGGCGCCAACCCTGACGTGCGCTTCCGCTACCGGGCCGGTGAGTTGCGGGAGGAAGTAGGGAGTGGGGGAGAGTGCCAAGCCTTTGCCGTAGGTTACCTTGCATGTTGCGAGCTGAAAGCCTGATTTAAGGGCACCTCTCTAAGTCCAGCAGCGGCTGCAGCAGGCACCGGCTGGCTTTGTCTGCCGCTCACTTGCATGCGCCACACCTCCTTGGGACACACATACGGCATACCCATAATGGTTGCTGTACAGCGTAACCATGAAGCCGCGATATGCGGAGCTGACCCATGGGTCACACAGTTGCATGTACAGCCCTCCTTACATGCCCCAAGTAACTTATCAAACCGCCCACACATGTCAACAGATGGGCGCGTGTTCGCTTCTTCATTACCCTACTACCCCAAAAGCATTAACTGGGGATACACTCCAAGTTATTCACCTAGGTTTGCTCCATGCAGCCGCACGCTTAACCAACACAACCGCAATCCTTACAACCCCAAACAACCACCTTTCCCTTTTTACAGACGAGGCGGCCCGTGCCACGGGACGACCGAATAAACTCTTTGAGCTCTCTCCCGCCCGTGACAGCAGCAACATCAGCAGCAGCGGTGGTGGTGGTGGTGGGGCTTATGCTGACGAGGCAGACAGCCTGGCGGCTCTCCTGGCGGGAGCCTCCCTCCGACCCTCAAGAGCTGCGCCTGCAGCAGCTGCTGCTGGGAAGGCCGCCTCCGGGGTAGGTAGCAACAGGGCAGGGGCGCCCCTCCGGGGTTGCTGCGCTGGTGCTGGTGCTGCTGGATAGTGGGAATGATGTCTGGCGTGTAACCGTGAGCCTTGTTTCCTGCTGAATGCCGCCCGCTCTCTCGGTTCGTGGCTTTGTAGTTTGTACCGTGCTCCCGCCTTGCCCCTCGTCGCCTACAACACCCCTGTCATCAGAAGCCAAACGTGCAGCAGCAGCAGCAGCTAGGGTGCGGTTGTTTAAGGTTTGTGGCCCAGCCTACTCGTGCCGACTTTCTGCCATACACTGCTGCCGTACACAGGGTGAGGGCGCTCGCTTCCACGCCGCTGCTGCTGGCGCGTTGCGTGGGTCGGTGGCCCGGGCGCTTTCTGACGCGGCACGCATCGCGGCGGCCAACACGCCGAGCTTTGACGTGCTGAAGCTCCGGTTTAACCTTGGTAAGGTGATGAACACCGTCTCGTGGCCGGTGGCCGGTAGGCAGCTTGGCCATGTAGCTGCAAGTTAGCGGGTTAGGACCCCGCTGTGCAGCATCTGTTCGGATACAAAAACAGCAGCAGCGGCCCTTGCTCGGATCATAACACCCAGTTTATCACCCGCAGGCAAGCAGTTCTTTTCCGACCAGGGTGAGTTCGAGAAGAGGTCCGCCATACCGCTTTCTGAGCTGCAGGTCAGTGACTGCTGGGGGCCTTGCATGTCGTCTCTAAATGCTCAGGATGGTGGGCCATGCATGCGCAGAAATACTTGAACGCATGATCAGAGTAACATCTGAATCATGCCCTTCACTTATACGGTAGCTAAACGTGCAGAGACGTACGGCATGATGCAAATTCTAAGCATCTTGAGGTGTCGTTCTGCCGTACGCCCCCCAACGCCGCTGCTGCCACAGGCCCTCAGCCCGGACGCCATGTTCAAGAAGTCCACATACAGCAACTGCGTGCCGACCAGCACCGTCCCACGGGTCGTTTCGCGCCTCTCGCAGCGCATGGGCTTCACCCTGGTGGACACCAAGACCACCGCCACGTTGCACGTCATTGACCAGGCGCTCAATGTGCACTACGCGGTTGGGCTGTCACTGTCATCGCACGGGTGGGTGGGTGCGTGTCCCGGTATATATTCTGACGTCAAGCAACAATCTGCCTGCTGGAAGGCTTGCAGGAATGCCTTAAGCAAGGCATGGCTTACGCAGTACATACACTTGCTGGATTTATATTTGCAGGACATACCGGTACACACTGACCCATGGGTCACCCAGGACAAAACACAACGGTATGTCTTCTTAGCATGCCGGTGCCCGCATTTGAAACCATGCTGCGCAGGGACGGTCCCGGCGGTGTCACGCTGCGCAAGGTCAAGTCCTCCTCCAGTCGCTGCCACTTCGCAGCGCTGCTGGGCGGGCCGGAGCAGTTGGACATGCGTATCAAGCTGATTGGGCAGCGGGACTTGCAGGTGTGTTGGCACTGATTGCACATTCGCACCTTGGCTGCGACACGTACCATTGCACCGGTGTAGCTGACCTCCGTTGCGATATCCCCCATTCCCCGTACGTAACCACGGATCCACCCACAATGACATGCAGGACAGCAGGGCCCAGGCGGCGGCTGACCACATCGTGGCCGCATGCAACCGAGTGGGCTATGCGGTCGCAACCAGCAGCAGCAGCAGTGGGGGCTACCTGCCAGCCAACATGAGGCTGGAGCTGGCGCGCAGGAAGACCAAGCAGGTCTACGAGGGGGAGCACCGGGTGAGGGCCCTGAGGGGTGGGGGATGGCAACGGGGGGCGTGCCGGCACATACACGTGCACAGAAGGTACCGCAGATTCTTGATAGGAAGCCTTTGATTGGGAAACGTTGCACGGGTAATGCACAGAGTGAGGATGGTATTACTGCGAGGATGTGGGCCTAGGTACCAGTAATCCTTTGGGATGTGTGAAACCACCCTGGCATGCAATAGTACGCTTGTATGCATGAGCTCGTGAGGCTGTATGAGGGCCAGCACTTACTGCCTGCTGGTGCCTTCTCATGTGCTGGCGCACACATGTATTAATGTACGGACGACACTCGCAGACGGCCTCCGGCAACCTGCTGCGTATGCGGCTGAGCTTGTTGACGGTGGAGGACAAGGACGGTCGCCGCAATGAGATCACTGGTACGGCTGGGGGCTGGGTGCCGGGGCTGCTGGGTGCTGCGTTCGCATGGCTGGCTGCATTGTCGGTGCTGGCAGTGACTCCTCGGGCGTACATGGCACTAGAAGTCCGGGCTTGAGTGGCGAGTTGTATACGTCCTTCCCCTCCTCTTCCTCCTCTTCCTCCCGCCTCCTCCTGCTCCAACTCCTGGCGCACCTCCCTGGCGCCCGCAGGCACGCTGCCGGATGTGGACCAGGAGCTATCCCGCCTGCTGGGGGAGGCTGTCCCTGCTGGGACGTCCAGGAGTGGCGGCGGCTCCAGCCCTGCCTCCCGCCGGGCGGCGGCCGCAGGCACCACCACCACCTCGTCAGCCGGGGGGGACCCGCTGCCCTGCGGTGCGGAGTGGGCAGGCGACGTGCTGAGCGCGCTGGCGGAGTTCATGGCGGAGTTGAACGCGGCGGAGGATTGGGTGGGTGCGGGGATCCGGAGTGGCAGCAGGAGGTAGGGGTGCTGGGCGAGCGGGTGATGCGGGTTGGTAGTCGGTGGGTGGGAGGGCAGCAGGCAGGGCTGAGGGGGGGGGGAGACATGGGTCCGTGGCTAGGTAGCGGCGTTGAAGTTGATGAGTGGTTGAGGAGGCAGGTGACGTTGGGTTGTGACGTTGCTAAGGATTGGAGAGGAGCCGAGGAGCTGATGAGGGAGCACTTCTAAGATTACGTGAAGTTGGGTTGGCTGGTAGCTAGTGAGGAGTTGTGTGTGGAAGTTGTGCGGTCGCGAGAGGTGGCCCATGCGGAGGCTTGCAGGCAGCTGAAGCGGGGCGTGGGAGCCCTCCCTGGCTCGCTGGGAGTGCATGGCAGTAGACAGCAATCCCTTCACTTCATCGGAGAGGCACGAACCAGGACGGCTGAACGAGATTGTCTTGCATGTGCAGTATAGGGAGCCGTTTATTGCACAATTAGCCTCATCCTGGCCGCTGGGATCCATTCCTCCGAGTAACAAGGGACACTGACGGGAGCATGATGAAGGCAATGCATATAAACGATCACATCCAAAGCATTGTAAACTCGTACGTGTTCAACTGTGTACGAACCGCGTCGAGCCCCGAATCCACGTCGCCATGCAACTTGCAACGCCCTGCGCCTCCTGTCTAGTACGACCGCCAAACCGCCAAACCCCGGGAACCTTATCAAGCACAATACCTAAGAGCCGGGGGTGAGCACGAATCCAACCAGTCCGTTGTAACGTACGGCACTGTTAAGGGCTGGTAGCCAGCCAGTGACCGACGCCCGTGAGCCGGGGGTGACGTCCTTGAGCATCCCAACAAGACAAAGCAGCAACATGCACACCAGCAGAACAAGCGATGTAACAGGCGGCACCGCTGATGTGTTGTGATCTCTTGCCACCGCTGTGGCGGGACCTCAACGCCTGCACACACACACACACACACACCGAAGCCAGTTCGCGCCCAGTTTTCTTAACACACGCCAAAGCCCCCTGCATGCATGCCAGGAGTCCCAGCATGCAACGGTGCCCCCTGCATGCATGCCAACAAGCAACGGAGCAGAGTAACGGAGCCAGGCGCTGGGAAGCAACTGCACTACTACTGGGAGCCACTCAGCGCGGTGAACAACGTTTAGGTTGCGCTCCGCTGGGGACAAGACAGACGCACACATGCTGCCTGCATGGCGTCGTTGACGTCACTAGAAATGAAGGACCAAACGGAAGCCATCAATACCATGCCCGGCAAGATGAACTGAAGCTGCGGGGGCCCTTGTTGCGTCTAAGCACGAGTCCCAGCATACTAAACGCAAAAGCTGCTGCCGCCCTACCATGACTCCCCAGCTTCAAAAAACATGCAGTACATGATGCAGACCCCACAGCTCCCCCCAGTACGGCCCAGTGGTGCTAGGGATCAAGATGAGGGTTCCTATATTAACTACTGTAAGCCTTGACCTAGGCACGCCCTGACCTAGGCAAAGACAAGGACACGTAGCACGTGTGAGCCGCGGATGCCGTACAGCGCTACCGAGATGAAGCCAACACACAGGACCGGGAACCCAAAGGACACGACTCTTCCAGAACGCTGCAATCCTCGCGTTGTCTCGACGCCTCCTTTCCAGGCACAAACACTTCATAGACGTCGGCCAAGCTAACTAAATGGCATCAATGTTGCAAGAGGCCACCCGCGTCAAAATGCCTCTTTTGGAAGCCGCTTCCCGGAATGCAGAACAGGGCTGTACGAAACGAAAAGCCACCGGCAAAGCCCATGCGAGTATCAAAGTACCCCCCTACCAGTATATGAAAGTGCTGTAAAACTGTCCCGCGTCCCGCCCCCTTGCACATATCTATCTTTCTTGAGCACCCTGAAGCAATCCCCTCACTTCTTGCTGCTGCCCTTGTTGCCACCGCTGCTGCCGCTGCTGCCCCCGCCCAGCAGCGCCCCCACAGCGGGCACCAACCCGTCCGACACGAAGGCTCCGAAGCCCCTCATCTGCCGTGCAGCAGCCACCATGGTCGCAGCCGTCATCACGATGGGGTCGCGAGCCGCAGCGGAAGACCGGCTGCTGCTGCTGCCTCCTTTCGCAGCTGCAGCGTGATGCTCAGGCCGCGATTGAGCAGTCATAGCAGCAGCCGAGGCAGCAGCTAAGGCAGCCACTGAAACAGGTTGCGCGCCGGTCTCCGCTGCAGACGCCTTTGATGGTGGCGGCGGCGGCACATGGAAATCGTCATCGCTGCCCGAGCTGTCGAACACACTGCGGCCAGTCCTTGCCGCTGCCGCCGCCGCTGAGCTCGGGATTACCTGTGGCGCTCCAGCCTCGGGCCCCGCCGCCGCCGCCGCCGCCGCCGACGGCGCTGATGCTGACGTCAGCACACTCACCGGTTGAGCCGCGACGGGAAGGCTGTCGCCGGTGCTATTGACGTCACCAAACTTGAAAATGACGTACTCGTCACTCGCCACCACCACAGCCGGCAGGGGAGCAGCGCCGGCGGCAGGGCTGACAGGGCTGGGAGCAGAAGCGCCAGCGGCGGCAGCGGCATCGCTGGCTGCTGCCCCCTGCTGCTCCCCTTGTACGGAGGAGGAGGAGGAGGAGGAGGAGGGCACTGCGGGTGCGGGCACGGGTGGGGAGGCGGCCTGCTGCTGCTGCTGGGAGGCACGCCAGTTGGCGATCCACTCCTTGGCGGAGGGCCTGCTGCCGGTGACGTCCTCCTGGGGCTCGGTTGCTGCTGCGACGGCTGCTGTTGTTGGGATGGTGGTGGTGGTGGTGGCGAGTTCGGCTGCTGCTGCTGCTGCGGGTGACGGGGGTTGCTGCTTTGCTGGCTGCTGCGCGCGCCAGTTGGCAATCCACTCCTTGGCTGAAGGGCGGCTGTCCACCATCGCCGCCTTCTGGGACGCCGCCGCTGCAGCTGCGGGCTGTGTTGCTGCAGGGGCCGCGGTAGCGGGTGCAGGAGGAGACGGCACCGCAGGAGGAGCGGCAGCTGTCACCGGCGCTGCTGCGGGAGACGCTGCGGGCTTGGGTGGGAGCGGCACCGGAGCTCCCATGACGGGCTTGGCGGAGACGGTGAGTGGTCGCGAGGTGACCACCACCGCAGGCGCGGCAGCGGCATCAGCAGCAGCAGCCGGTACCGCCGGCACCGCTGCCACCGCTGCAGGTGTGGACGCAAGCTTCGATGCGGCGCCGCTGCTGGCCGCAGCAGCTGGCTTGGAAGCGGGCGCTGTAGAGCCTCCGCTGCCGCTGCTGGCTGGGGTGTCCGCCGGCGGCTGCGTTGGTGCCTTCTTCTCCGCAGCTGCGGCAGCATTGCTGCTGTCACTGCTACCGCTGCTGCCTCCATCTGCATTGCCGCTGAGCAGCTTGATAGCGGCCATCAGCAGGACGGCGGTCACCACCGGCAGGGTGTACTGCGGGGGGAGGGGAGGGGAGGGGAGGGGCGGGAGGCGGAGGCACGGGGGCAAGGGGTTGGCGGCGTTCATTGCAACAGAGAAGCAGCGGTACCGTATGGGTGTGGTCATCATCAGGGGAGGGGAGGGCGGGGTCCCAACGGGCGCCGGTTTCATGCTGCGCACGTACGCCGCCTCCTAGGGTGCATGCGGCAGCACACCTGCAGCCGCACACCTGCCAGTCCCCAGTCCTGCTTCCCTCCTCCCTGCCCCCTTGCCCCTCCCGCCTCCCCCCCTGCCCCTCCCGCCTGCCTGCCCTCCTTTCCCCCACTCACCGGCGAGGCCTGCACCTGCCGCACCCGCCGCTGCCAGTCCACACCCAACACCAGGTGGGGCTGGCTGCTTGGGGAGGCGGCGGCGGCGGCGGTGGCAGCTGGTTGCTGCTGTTCCACCACCACCACAGGAGCAGCCTTGGGCTCGGACTTCTGCACGTGAGGCATGGGGCCGCAGGAGGAAGAGGGAGGGAAGCAGGTCACTATCAGACGGTGGTATGCTTGATGGCGATGGATTGCTTGATGTTGGAGGTGGTTTGTCCTTCCAGCTGCACCGAAGTGTAGGGCTTACCGGGGCTCGTCGGGCCGCGTGGGCCGCGCTTCCGTTGAATCCAACCAGTAAGCAGGCGCCGGCCATAATGCCGGTCTGTGGTAGCGCGGAGGGTCAATAATGGCGGAGCGGTTAGTCAAAGGCAACTCAGTAGACCTGGCGGCGTGGCTGGCAGCGCATTGGATGAAAATGAAGCACAAATGTTATATGGTAGGTGTAGGTGTCCTATGCTGCGGGTGAGGCCAAGCTACATAGGAGGAAATGCACGACAGCGAATAAAACTGGAATACAGATGAGTGAAAGTCTTAAGTGTCCTATCTTTCTGTAAACTACTGCACTTTTATAACAACTTGGGAAGGGCCATCGTCCGCTAGGCCAGCTCAGCGATGTTGGATGGAGTGCTACCTGTTGGGTTGCCGTTAGCTAAGGCCGCCTCCTCACCTTCAGCCATGCGGCCGCACTCCTTGTTATAGGCTGCACAGGTGCTGTCTGAGTGACATGTGACTCCTGTTAAGAGTGAGTTGGCGGCGAGCAGGACGTCGATAATGTATGTAGGGAACGTTACTTCCCTATGCACACCACCCGTGCCAGGCAAGGCGCAAAGTGGATGGACAGGCAGTAAGATGACAAGGTGGAACGGGTGCTGCCACGGCCCGAAGGCAGCGCACCTGGTAAGCTCTGACAGCCAGGATGCGACGGGTCGGCCTGCCGAAAACAGAGGTCTGACCACGAACGGACCCCGATCCTGATCGCTGTACTAGTCCGTTAATGGTCATCGTTGCAGTCGGCATGCTCCTTGCCGACAAAAGTTAGCGATGGTCAGGTTAAGCAAGTAAACAGTCACCGCAAAAACAGATTTAGGTTACTGGCGCGTGCTGTCAACTATAGCTCAATAAGGTTTGTGTACGCCGTTGGCTAGCGTCAGCTTGTTTGCAGCCGGTACGGAAGTTCGACGCCTGGAAGATCCTTCTTCACGAGACCGCAAGCAATACGGAAAACTAGCCACATTGAAAGCCGCTATGTACGTTAACCAGAACTGTCATACCAGTTGTCATATGGACGCTTCTGCCTACATGCTCCGGAACAAATATTTACCGACAAGCGGGAACTCCCGCAAGGCTAACGTAGGCTTATCCCGTGTAACTACCGTTGCCAAGCATGAGAAAACAGCGGAACCGCTGCTGGTTACCGGCAGTCCAGCACAGGGCCCTTACCAATCGTCATATCCGGGAAGCTTCCGTAAGGACTGCTTACTCTCTAACACGCGATTCCTGTCACTTGCTACAGCCTTTTAGGGGTCAGGCAACTGGGTGGGGTGCACGCTAGGAAGGATACTAGTATGGCAAGCAAGGAGAGGCAGGAGGAGGATAAAGGGAAGGCCCCGCCCCACCCCTTCTATGTCCCGGCCCAGCCCTATCGTTTCTGTGCATAACGGCATGCAGGCGGCAGCGTAACCCAGGAGAGGGGTTTTGACGACGACGAACCTACATTCCATTCCTCGGCAAGCCCTTTGTTGGGCGCTATCACCGTAGATGAAATGCTCAAAAAAACGTAGGCGCCTAAAGGTCTTTGCGACTAGTAGTCACTATTCCGCAGGTATATGGGCTTTGTGTGTTCCCAGGGTACGGTTCGACGCAACACAGCATGACAGCTCCCTCGGCGCTTAGCCGGTTGACCGCTTCATTTGCATTTTCTGTATAGAGCAGCTGATATAAGCAATTGGCCTGAACCCAACTGGTTAATTACTATTAGGACAAGCTCCTTTGGCGAAAGTACACGCGCTAGAGTATTTCGCCATGCATAGTCTAATTGCACAGCGATCATGTTCAGGAATCTCTTGCCGAAGTGTTGGGGCACGGAGGCGCGTCGCGCGCATGGCGCCCGTCCAAGCCACGACCGATGCAGAGGCGTCAAAGCCCAAGCCGAAGGCACCGCAGCAAATGCTGGTACGATCTAAGCGTGCGCACTAGCAGATATTCGTTCCCCACATTTTGGGAGCAACTGTTTTTGTGGCCAGTACTGCATGGCTCCATGGCAAGAAAAAGGGCCTCTACCGCGCTCTGGAAAGCCAGCCTGTCATCATGCTGCTAAGCATCACAGTTCGGAAATGCGCTGGTTGGGACACTTACATGAAAAGGCCCAGTACCATACCTTTTCTGCAAGCCGTACCCCGCCCCTCGTCCATCACACATCCACATCAACCAGCGCTCCGCTTTCCTGGCTTCCCTCTCCCTCCTGCCTTCCCTTTCTGTCCCACCTCCCTCCCGTCCCATCATCCCCCATCCGCAGCACCTCGCGAGTAGCTCAGGAAGTGTCACCCACCCTTCCCCCGTCCTCCCACCCCCCACCCCCCCAACACCCCCAGGTGTACGCCCCGCCCCACCCGCTCATCAAGCACTGGCTAGCCATCATGCGCGCCGACTTCACCCCGCCGCCCATGTTCCGGTGAGGGGGCAGGAGTGGGAGCGAGAGAGCCAAATTCTATAAGTGAAACAACGAGTTCCGATCCCATATCCCGACTCATGCAGTGAGCGCATTCGGAGACACTATCCTAGAAGCACGCATCTCAAAATTACTTACCGGATCGTTGCTTTTTTTTGCGAGAGGGCATGGGGGGCCTGCGGTATCGCCCAGGCACATAGGCACCTACCCAGCCCCCTCCGAACCTCCCCAGCCTCATACTCGACCCTTCTTCCCCTCCCTCTGCCCCGTTTCGGGCAACTCCAGCAACTCCAGCCCCTGCCTTGTCCCCGGCCACCCCATCCCCATGCACGTTGCCCCCCCCCCGCCCCCGCAGTAATGCCTGCGCCGAGCTGGGCCGGCTGCTGCTGTACGAGGCGGGGCGCGACTGGCTGCCCACCACCCAGCAGCAGGTGAGGGGGGTTGGGGGGGGGAAGGGCTGAGGGAGGGGAGGGGCGGGGCGGGGGGCCATGTGACCCCGCCTGGGAGGCGCTGCCTGCCTGGTGTGTCCTGCCCGCCGGCCTGCGTGTGTGTATGTCAGTTGTGCCGCTGCCTGCCTCCCCCTGCCGGTTCCCCTGCCTGCCCCCGGGTAGCCAGGGGGTATGTCCCCACCAGGTGCGTTCATCCCCACTGCTCCGCCCTAATTGTGGTTGCCGATGGTATGGTCTCCGCCCCCCCCCCCCGCCTCCCCCCCGCTCCCCCGCCGCCCCCAGGTGGTCACCCCGCTGGGGCACACCGCGGAGGCTGAGCTGTGCGACCCCACCCGACCCATCAAGGTAGGGGGGAAAAAATTATATAAAAGTGAAACAACAAATCCCAATCCCATATCCCGACTCATGCCCCTAGGGAGGACTAGGGCAGGAGGCGGGGAGGGCGGGCGGGAGGCGGGAGGAGGAGGGGGGGAGTAGAAGGAAATACCCTGCTGTGGACGTGAACATGCAAGGGAGGAGGAAGGGATCCCCTCAGGTCCCCTCCCACTCCCCGCCTCCCACTCCCCGCCTCCCACTCCCCGCCTCCCACTCCCCGCCTCCATTGGGTACATGCTCTTCTTCCCCCCTCCCCCTTTCTCCTCCCCCCCCGGGGATTGTCAGCAACTTGTATCATTATCACACCACACTTTGGAATTTCTTTCCCACCCGGCCCAGGTCATCCCCATCCTGCGCGCCGGGTTGGTGCTGCTGGAGTGCAGCGCGCAGGTGCTGCCTTTCCAGCAGACCTACCACGTGGGATACGTCAGGGACCCGGACTCGCTGCAGGTGGGGAATGTTAAGAATTGCATGCAGCAACTGAAGTCCCGCTGCAGGTGGGGGGGATTAGATAAGCTGAGCCGCGGAAACACTGAGGGGCAGGTGGGGGGGAGGGGAAAGAAGAATTCCAAAGGTGTTGTGTGGCGGGGGAGAGGGAGGGGAGCTGAGGTGTTTTACCGCGTCGATTGGTCGGATGTGACCCCGTGCATCTTCCACGCCCGCCTTTCCCTCCCCCACCCACTCCCTCTCACTCCTCGCGCCTCCCCCCCTCCCTATTAATCCCCTCACCATCTTTCTCCCCCCCCCAGGCCCGCCCCTACCTCAACAAGCTGCCCGCCGCCCTCTCCCCGGACGACCTCTTCCTGGTTGCGGACCCCATGCTGGCGACCGGGGGGACTGTGGTGCAGGTGCATTGGGGGGGGGAGGGTGGTGCATTGGAGGGGGTGTGTGTCAAAGACCATACCAAACCATAGGAGACCTTAGACAAGTCCCCACTGGGAGTTGCATCGCGGCGATGCGAGGAGGAGGAGGAGGAGGAGGAGGGGTGGGGTCGGTTGCGGTTGCCACCATGCCACTTGTGGTGCCTCAAAGCCCTAGCTCCCGTGTTCCTCCACAACCTCCCCATCCCCTCCCCATCCAGTTCCTCCGTTTTCCTTACTTTTACCCCCCCCCCCCGCACGGGGGTATGGTCTTTGACCCCCCGCACGCAGGTGATTGAGGACATCGTGTCCCGAGGCGGCCGCCCCGAGAACATCCGAGTGGTGGCGGTGGTGGTGGCGCCGCCCGCACTCAAGAAGCTGGCGGACAAGTTCCCGGGACTCAAGGTGTGTGCCGGGGGGGTGTAGGGGGGCCTGGGGGGCGGGTGAAGGAAACCTCAATCAATAATCGCTGATGGCTGTTGAAACGCCAGTGTGAAACCCACCCGCCCCACCACCGAGCCCCCGACCCAAGTTGCACGCCACCCTTCCCACCCCCTATGTGTCATCCCTTCCTCTGCTCCCCCCCTCTGCCCCCCCAGGTGTTCACCGCCATGATTGACGAGCAAGTGGACGAGCGCGGCTACATCGTACCCGGGCTGGGGGACGCGGGGGACAGGGCGTACGGCACAACGCACTGATGCAGTACACCCCCCCCACACACACACTTCGCGGCCAGTTTTCTTAACACACTCTTACGTACGTTGCGACTCGTGGCCAGTTTTCTTAACACATTGCCGGCACTTCATGTTCCGGCAATCGTAGTTCGCTCCGACTCGCAGACAGTTTGTTAACACATCACACAGAGCAGGGAGGAGGGCGGGCAGGAGCGGGAGGGAAGGCGAGTTGTTCACCATGTAAGCTAACTGCAGAGGTGTCAGGGACTCGGAGGGACTCGGAGGGACTCGGAGGGAGGGAGACGCAGGCGTTGTGGGAACTGGGCGAACCAAACCGCGCGGAGGTGCGCGCAGATGTCTGCCAGGGTGAGACAGGCAAGGTGAGGAGTGAGGAGTGCATCAGGAAGCCCCATGGGTCAGAGGAGAGGGAGGCGCTAGGCGAAGCGATGCGAGGCACGACTTGTGTGTCCGCTCATGCCTGTAGGTGAGCACAACGGATAGCGTGGAGGAGGTAAGGAGGCTCTACTTAGGAGTGTTGTTTGGGCTGTCAGCGGAGGTGGGGGGATGGCAGCGGCAGCGGCAGTGCACAGGCTGGGAAAGCTGCTGCTGCCACTCTTTGCTGCGTGCATGAGCCATCCCTGAGGGACGCAGGAGGGGTCAGTGGTCGGTTGCGGAAATGCGGGATCTGCGGGCCTTGTGATGCGCCTTTGAACTGGCCCAGGTTCGCAGGCAGCATGCCCCTGCGGTGTGCCCCCCGGTGTTAGACCGCGTGCGTGCGTGAGGACTGAGGAGTGTGTAGCTGTGTAGCATGCGAGCCGGGACGTGTGATGGCGCCAGCCGCCGGTAGGGACTGGTGGCTGGATTGGGAAGAGGAGAGGGCGATAAGAGGGAGAAATGTTTCAAAGTTACAGATCTCAATCTCTTGAGGACAGCCCAATCTCAGCGCCTTGGGCCTCCTACAAGCTGAACATACGCATGTGTACCACAACCCTTGCCTCTACTACTGCCCGTCACTGTATGTACCGGGGGAACAGAGAGTGCCTCTTCCTCGCCCAGGGTTGTGCAAAACACTAATAACAACAACCGGGCAGCTGTAAGTCTGCTACTGCTGGGATGGCTCCAGTTTACCCACGCGACCCTGCATGTGTGTAATCCACTGCAACCCTAACAGTCGCTGCTGCGCACTGCAATACTCACTATTGGGAAATATAATCGGCAATATCCAACATCTCCCGCGAGCTATGATGTGATGCTGATCGAGGGGGGGGGTCACGTCATGAATCGGGGGGGAATACCGACATGTGGTGCAATATCCGCCACGTCAATGCAGGTGCCTAAATGCGAAAAAGGTATGCATGGCCCCTGCACAGCAGCAGCAACAGTGCAACAGTGCATCAGTGTATATAAGACTGGCGGAATAAGTGAGAGCGTCTTCGGTTCAAATGAAGGATCACGCAACGATTAGCCAACCAGCAACAACAGCCCACTACTACATGCAACCAACACTTAACAACACAAACACCCAACGGGGCCCCCCAACAATGCTATAACAGCTGTAACAACTCGTTCGTTCGTTTCTTCGCTCATGCAGTGCTCAGTGCAGTACAGTGATCAATGCACTCTAAACCAAGAAGCACTAAAGAAGCACATGCGAGCCAACTCACACGGCCTGCCCACCACCCATGCAACCTCAGTCAGTTAAGTTGTTTCCTCTTTACCCATGCAACCCAGACAACCCCTCCGTCCACACTGACACCCCTCACTGCTCATGCCGACTGGTCCCCTCACCGCCTCATGGTACGGATAGTTAGTTAGTCTACCTCATAACCAGCTTTACCCCTCTCTCACCGCTGCCCCTCCACTGCCCGCTTGAGGCCGGTGTTGAACTCCTGGAAGCCCTTCTCCGTGTCGCGCAGCACACCGCCCAGCAGCGGAACCAGGCAGCCGCGGAAGTCCTCACCTGAAGCAGGCAGGGGGGCGCGGATAGCTTAGCATGTATGGCGTGCTGATAAGGGTAAAGGGTAGACGTGGCTAGGACTTTCCCACCCCGCCTGCCACCCCACCCATTGCGTTACCCTATGTTGGTGTTTGCTGCGGTTTGGTCGCTCTTTGCCCCGCACCCCACCCCTACCCCTCCTCCCCTCGTCCCCTCTCCCTCCCCCTCCCCCCACCTACCATGCTCCAGCAGCGTCCTGTCGGGCCCCAGCTGCCGCAGCCGGAAGAAGTGCTCACCCACGAACAGCAGGTTGATGCCCAGCAGCTTGCCGCGCCACCGCAGCTCGCTGCCCTCCTGGTAGGACACAACCTGGGGAGGGGGAAAAATTAAATACGTGAAACAACGAGTCCCAATCCCATATCCCGACTCATGCAGTGAGCGCATTCGGAGACACTATCCTAAAGGCACGCATCTCAGGGGGGGGGGGGGGCAGGGGGCAGGCGGGATGAGGGGGTGGTGGGGCGGTAGGAGGGAGGCTGAGAAGAAGGAAAAGAAGAAAAGGGTAGGAGTGGGGCAGGGTGGTGGGAGGTAGAACAGGAAGAAGTGAGGCAGGGAAGCAGGGGAATGGGGAGTGGTAAAGGTACCGCTCGCCTTCTACCTTTCGATGTTTCGACAGAGGGCTGGGCAGCTGGGTGGGGATAAGCGGGTATGCTTGGAGAAGGAGAGGTGGCTCACCTGGGGCGTCATGACAGTGGCTCGAGAGGCGCTGGGCGGCTTGAGGGCGACCTTGAGGGGTTGTCCGGGCGCCAGCTTGTCAGGCACTTGTTGTATGTCGAGGAATGTATTAAAGGTGTTCCATTTGGTGAGGTTACCCATGACTGCCCACACTCGCTCCACGGGTGCCTGAAGCGGGGCAATTTTTGGGAAGGGAATGTCGACAAAGTACGCATGCCGGGCATCGGAAATGGTTCCAGGTTGTTAAAGTGAGTCGTGTTACGTAACCATTATCTACTTGATATAACACGTGAACGGCCCCGTAAGGAGTGGTCGACGCTACGAGTACCATAGGCAGCCCTCCCGACGCTTACGTTGATCTCAATTTGCGTGCGAAGCGCCATCTTGTTCACCAACATTAACGGCTATTAACTGAAAGGAAATTTATTATGGCTACGAAGCTTAGTGGACGACAGCCTTGACTACTGTACTTTTACGTTAGCAAGTATGTTGCTCAGGAATTATACCATCCCCATCGTAGAAAAAGCACGTTACTCGATCATATAAGGGATGGAATAATGTCCTGGGCGTCATGGTGTCATCCGTTGGTTGGTTACGCATGCTGCAGTTGGTTACGCACTTATGCAGGGATGAGCCCGTTGTAAAGTCCCTTTACACAGTTGACTGCGTCGCACGGCCCTTGGCATCTTAGGACCAGCGAATAAGTGCCGGCCCACTACACAGCAGACCCTTCACGTGAAAGCGCTTCTCTGAGTCCCAACTCTAGTTACCAGGGTGCCATGGTCCGTTAAAGGACACTATTCGATGGGATATTTCTCATTCTCTCAATGCAATGTATGTTACGTTTGCGGTCTACCGGTATGTGATGATGCCTGGAAGGCGGATAGATACAATCTCCGGCGCACAGAAAAGACATATAAATAAAGAACGGACATTATGCTAATAGCTTATCCATTGCACCTTAGCTACGTCGCTGTGGGTGACCCCGCATTCCCACTTCGCGACCTGTTCCTTCGAACCTGTTCCAGCTGCCCGTTTTTAACCAGTTCGATATTGATGGCAACTTCATATCATGAAAAAGATTTCTATACATTCTTATTCTCGTTTCCTAAAAAAGTCCGGCTGGGCCCGTGGGTCGATGGTCATCCGCACACAGTAAAGATGACCGGGTAGAATCGATGAGTAGTAGTATGAATCACTCGCAAGATGCACGTGGGCCTACAGGTGGCTACAAGCACTTCCTTAGGCATCATTACCTAAGCCTCCCGTCAGTCCACGATCGCGTTGAAAGACGCAACCGAAGACACGGCATTGCCAGCAAGCAATCAATTGCGAGCTGCCTTTGCATGCCGCACTTGATGTCCTCTTGTTTATGAACAGCCGTACAGTAGTCTACCAGGCAGAGAGCTGTCACGCAAATCAAACCAGCCGGACAGGCCAAGCTTTGCGTCCGGCCTGACATGCAAGCCGATGCCCCTAACCTTAACCTTTGACACGTCCACACATGCCCCACACCCTGCCCTCAAAGCAAAACCTCCTCCTCTGCCTTCAAATTGCAACCACCGTACCATCCCACATTCAAAAGCAGACATAAACGCAGCGCAGCTCACCTTCCTCCAGACGTTACCAACCTAGGATCCCCAACCTTGCCACCTGTCACCAACCTCAACAACAATTAGAACAGCAGCTCTCACAAGAGCCGGCCAATCCCTTAGCCACCTGCGTGCCGGGCCTCTCCACTCACGTCGCCTCAGCCCAGCCCACCACATTCATCGCTGCCTGTCACCCACGGCGCAATCGACTCCACAACCCTAACCAGCCAGCCCAACAGCGACAGAAGCAGCTAACATCAGCCACCAGTCTCCCTGACACCGCCCACAACCACGCACCCAGCCCAGCAAACCATAGGACCGCTCAGCCGTCCTGTATCCGACAGCCTTTCGGCTAACGATACATACGGTATCACTAGCATTCCTGCCTGCCTGCAATGCTAGTCTCTCCAAGCGGCCGACGGCTTCCGGATGGACCCGCGCTGCCGAGTGGCGCGGAGGGCCCTGCGGAGGCCGCCGCCAGGGTTTCGCCACCCAGAGGGTGCCCCGCTGCCACGGCAGCTGTGACACTGGCAGGTGCTGCCGGCGTGTCGGGGACCGGGGGAAAGGCGGCGGGGAAGAGCGTGTCATCGTCCACAACGCCTCATCGCGTGTCTGCTGTGGCATCAGGCCTGGATCGGCTTGCGGGGGTTGCACGCGACAGCCGCCATGATAGCAGCGAGAGCAGTGGGATGGAGGAGAACGAGTGCGGAGGTAGCAGCGTGGGTGGCGGTGTTGCTGCTGCTGGCAGCAATAGCCGGAGCAGCAGTAGCAGCGTTGACACCGTGCGTGGCAGTGTGGAAAGCGGCGGTGAGGAGACAGCAGCGGCGAAGCAACCACCTAAGCTGGCACGACTGAGACGGTGAGAGCCCATTTAAAACTGACATGTGCTGTTTATCTTGGGCATACCGGTGTGCCGTACGTCGTCCCCCACCCATTCGACCCATCTGCGACTCAAAAAGTAAGAGTCTGTGTGCCCTTCACGTCACTGCCTGGGGCGCCCGTGTGCAGGCGGCTGCTTTCCGTGCAACAGCTCTGGATCTGGCCCTTCACCCACTACAAGCCCACCAATCAGGTCATGGTTAGTTGGACTGGATTGGGTTGTGGATATGGTGTACGCAGTACGCATTCAGATAACCGTCGTTGCACGGCAATCCCTGGTACCTTCTCGCAACCCCCTCCTTAGGCAACCCACGCGCCACCCCGCTTCCCTCCTTTCCACTTTCCCTCTTTCCCTCCTGCCTCCCCCGCAGCTCTGCTACCGCACTCTGTTCCAGGACCTGCACCTCCCGAGCGCCAATGAAGACTACCTGGCAGCTCGCTTCAGAGATGAACTCATGCCGCTGAGGTAGGTAGCAGGTGTACGGCACGTGTCGTACTGCATGTGCCCGTACTACTGACTCTACATGCCATATGTACGAGTGTAGCCTTGCCGCGGTCATTTACAGTGCCTGAATGCATTTGCGGCTGCATTTGCGGCCTCACGCACGGCGAAGGAGTGCGTATACCCTGAGATATCCCACGATACCCGTTTCACATGCAATCTTTGTGCCATCCAATTATGACACCGCGAATCCTCTTCACCGCACGACGATTCCCTGCCTCCTCCCTCGGCCTCAGGGGCTGGGTCCATCGTCGGATGCCCGCCCTGCTACGCATTAACAAGGTCCGAGGTAGTTGGCAGTTGGCGGTTGAAGCTTCATTAGCAGTTGCGCAACCGCTGTCGTTGTCCATCCGTCGTACCCACCATCCCAAATCCTTCCAAGCGGTTGCGGTGCGCTGCTGGCAAGCAGAGGGCAGGGTATCCCTCGGCCCGCACGCAGTAGCCACCTCAACCCCACACGCATCCACGCATTCCATTTCAACAGGGGCTCCCTTCCAACGACACCGTCTGTCACCTTACCGTCCACACACCCACGCATGGACAAAACCAAAGTTAGCTAGGATAACCCACGCATGTCCGCCCATCCCTTCCCGTCTGCACTGTGCCCGGGCTTCCTTGCTACAACCGACAACAGTACCCTGCCCCCTCCCTCTCCACCCGCCCCCCCCGCCACCCCAACCAGGCCTTCATCCAGGGCCCTGCCTTCGGCTGTCCGGGCATCATGCGCTACTTGGATGCGCGCACTCGCTGGCTTGACGACGAGGTGTCAACGGCGCTGCGGGAGGGCTTCAAACAGGTGGGCGGGGGGCGTGGCAGGTGGGCGGGGGGCGAGCAAGCGAATAAGCGTGGTATGCCAGCAGTGTACGACCCATCTGCGGATGTCACTAGTACGGTCGGGCGTACTGAGGAGGGCTTGGAACAGGTTGGCGTGTGGCTTGGGGAGCGATGGAAGCTGCATGGCGGCTTGGAAGGAGGGATTGCGACAAAGAATGAGGGATCAGGAGTCATGATCGTGGAAGTGTATCCCATCTTTCGTTTGCTACCAACGTATCCTCTTTCAACACCTTCTCCGGATGTAATTATGGCCCTGTGGGGGATGCTGATTGCACCCCTGCATCACCTTCCCGACGGATGTGCATACGCACGCATGTGTTCTTGCTTGCTCCGCGCATGTTGAGCGTGTTGCATGCCCCCTTGCATGCATACACACCGGTACGAGACACGCTAGTAGTTTCCGACACACGCCGGTCCCCGCTCTCCGCTGCTCGCGCAGGTGGTGGTGGTTGCAGCGGGGTACGACACCCGGGCCTATCGGCTGCAGGCACCCGGGGTGTCGTACTTTGAGGTGGATCTGCCCGAGGCTTCGGAGCGCAAGCGGCAGCTGGTGGACCGCACCCTGCCGCAGGAGCAGGTGGGGACGAGAGGCGGTAGGGGGTTGGGAGGGGGGTTAGGAGGAATTGAAGCCCGGCACCCGACACCTAATGCCTGCTGCAGAGTATCAATGTGGGGTTGGGGTTGCAAGTAGCCAGCTAGCAGGTGGGGAGCAGGTGCGGGTGCTCCCGCGGGGGCCTAGGGGCAGTCTTGTACACACACCTCTCGTCACCTCGCCTTCCTGGCCGCCTCCTGCTTTACCACCCCTGCCTCCCCCCTGTACCGGCCGCCTCCTGCTTTCCCCCCATCCCCGCCCCCATGCAGTTCCCCCGGCCCACCTACATTGCTGCGGACCTCTCCCAGGTCAGCCTCGCGGACGCCCTGCTGCAGAGCTGCGGCGCCAGCGGCGGTGGTGGTGTTTTCGACCCACGGGTCAGGACCCTGTTCACGGTGGAGGGGCTGCTGTACTACCTGTCGCCGGACGCCGTGGCGCGACTGCTGAGCAGCATCCGCTCCGTGGCGGCCCCCGGTGGGTGGGTTCGCGAGCAGGCGGGGCGGGCGGGGTAAAGTAATAAGACACGGGTATGGGGTTCTTTCTTATCTGGGATGTTGGGAGTGAATGTTGGGAGTGAAAGGGCGTATGAGCGAGGGCGACGCAGAGGACGGAATTACTAAATGAGGGCAGTCACCTGGTGTTAGTCACTTTTGTTCTCCTGCTCATGCAGGCTCACATGCATGTGACCTCACCCCTCTGTTCCGGCCCGCTTTCCACCTCCGCTACACCTCATCTTACCTGCTCCTTAGCTCCTCCCAACTCACTAACCCCTGCCCGCTCCTTATGAACATCCCTATAAAATGACCCCGGCCCGCTCTGCCGCTCCGCCCCTCCCCGCAGGCAGCCGAGTGGCCTTCGACTTCCTGCATGCTGACGTGTTCAGCGGGGAGCGCTGGGAGCCGGGCTACGAGACGCTGCGACTGGTGGGTGGACCGGTACTTCAGCGCCCGCCTGGCTTCCCCCCGCTGCCCCTTCATCTCACGCACCCCGCTTGTCACTCGCATTCCCGGACTCCCTTGTGCCAGCATCTTGTTGCGTTCCCTCCTCCTTCCGCATCACGCCTTTGTCTTGGGTTGCCACACCAGACCCCACACGTAACCTCCTCCTCCTCCTCCTCCTCCCCTAGACCATGGTGAGGCCTTGTCTCATGGTTAGCTAACCCGCCTTCCCTCTTCCGTCTTCCTCTCTTAGACCGTCCGCAACAAGGGCGAGCCCAAGCGCAGCGGGCTGCACCCCGCCCACCTGCCCGCTTACCTCGCCGCCCTGGGCTGGCGGCCCACCTACCTGCCAGCCCCGCGGGAGGTGGCGGCCGCCATGTACCCCACCAAGACGTGGAGCAGACTCAGCCCTGTGCTGCCGCCCTTCTACCACTTTGCGGTGGCGGAGACGGCGTAGTGGGGAGGTGTGTTAAGGGGGATTGGAAGCGCGTGGGACCTAACATGTGGGGTTGGACAGGGCAGGGCAGGGTAGGCTAGGGTGGGTGCCAATCAGTAGGCTGCTGGCTGGGGAGGGGGTGTAAGCAGGAGGAGAGTAACTAAACCAAATTGAGGACGTGGGGAGACGGCGGGGGAAGGGCATGTATGTAACATGGCATGAACAGGGGGGGAGGCTGACTGTACGTTGCGAGACGGTGCGATATGCGGTGTGTGCCATGTTCGAGACACGTGGGGCGAGGCTGCCGCCGGGCCCGCAGGTGGTGGTATCCTCATGCATGCGGGGTATGAGCGCCGTGCAGGGAACTATGGGGGGACCCTAAGGCAGAGGGAGAGAGATGGATGCGATTGCCATATGAGAGAGAATGCATGGGGCTGCGAACGCGGGGGGTGTACCGCCCACTCCGTTCTATTTGAAAAGGAACGGCGCTGCACTGCTACTCTATGAGCCTCGGAGACCAAGAGGCTGGGGGACAAGAAAGGGCCATGGCGACTTCACAGTCATTGGGGAGTCGGGGGGAGGGGAAGTGTGGATGTCGCAAAACATAAAGGAAGTGATCTAGCAGGGCTGTCCGACCGTACAGGATTGCCATACTCCTGGGGTTGAGAGCGGGCAAGGAGAGCGCAGCTGTTGTGAAACGCTTCAGGCGGTTTTGAAATGCTTGCATGAAAGCAGCAGAACTGGTATTCTTTGCCGGTGTGTGCGACTTTGCAGTAAGGAGCTCTTCCTCACCGTGCTTCGTATGCGCGTCACGTGCGGTTGAGTTGCGTTGTGTGCTACTGCTGCAGGATGGGGGAAAATTATAAATAAATGCAACAACGCAGGGGGGGAGCAGGTGTGGGGCTGATGTCAAAGAGCGACCCACATCTGATCCCCCTGTGTACAGGGGTGTGGCCACTGGCTTGCGGGTCATGTGCTGCCTCCATGCGCCGCATCCACAGTGAGAGATTGTAGGACTACCCAGGCTGACGGGCTGACGGCGCGAGAGATGTGTAGTTAACAGGAAACAGCTAACACTCGTGCTCCGAGAGCTTGTGCTTCTCAGCACGACACACAAACGCCCTTCAGGCCTTCACTCCGCTCCACAACGTTCCTTCAGTCCACATCAAGGACAAGACGCGTTAACCTCCGCCCCTTCTTCCTCCGCCGGTCACTGCCAGTCCAAGCCCCAGTCATCCCCAGTCAACCCACCTCCTGTTTCTCCCGCCCGAAACTCCTCATACCTACAAGCCCCCTCTGGATCGCCTTACCTAGGGGACCTCGACTTTACCTACCCGAGTACGGCACCCCGCAGCGCATGCACCCGCCCTTTTCAGTACGCTCGCCCCACGACAGAGCCCCACGACATCAGCTCCTTTCGCCCTTTTCCCATGTGCCGCTGCCCCCGTCCACCGCCGCTGCTGTCTCTTCGCCTTGTGCCCCTCACCTTACTTGCACCCAACCCATCCCCTATGCGCATGCCCCTCCCTACCCCCTACTTGTCCAGTATTTCGTAGCGGCTCAATGCCCTGTGAACACCTCCCCCCTGTCTATTTGGGCTTCTTGGGCAGCTTGTACAGCGTCTTGAGCAGCTTGGAGCCGTTGCGCTCGGGCCGGTGGGCGATGACGCGCATGAGGGAGGACTCGTCGAAGGCGGCTCCCGGAGCCCCGTTGGAGGCGGTCAGCTGCGCGGTGCCGTGCGTGCGAGCCTGGGGGTGTGTGTGGGAGGGGGGGGAGGAGAGGGGCGTGGGCGCAGCAGTCCCGGGGGTTGATGAGGGGTTGGTGGGGTGGGGTGTTCGCAGCGGGCTGTGGATAATCTCCCCAGCCCAAGGGGAGGAGGACAAGATCAGCACAACTACCGGCACCCTTCATGCATCCATCACTCCACTCCGCACATCCCTCTCCCCTCCCCGTCCTTGTCACATGGTTGGTGTTTCCTCGTTATACCCTCCCTCCCTCACCCTCCGCCCCTGCCTCCTCCCCCTCTCACCGTTTTGAGCAGGTCCATGAGCGGCCCCACCTCCAGCTTCATCAGCGGCAGCAGCCTCCGCAGCCGCTCCAGCTCCCCGTCGATCACCTCCCGCTCCAGCCCCTCCCCCTCCGCGTGGAACAGCGACCGCAGCTTGAACAGGTCCTGGTGTAGGGCCCCGGGGGAGGCAACAGGAAGGGGAGGGGGAGCAGATAAGAACCAAAGCACAAGTCAGGGCAAAAGACGAAGGGGATAGGAGGCGGCATAAGGATGGTGGGATAAGGAGGGAAACGTGATGTAGCAGCTCTATCCGTAGCGTCCGCATAGACTTACCAGCTCCAGGCCAAGGCGCATGCAGCCAGCGGCAGTGCACCCACCTACCTGTTCAATGGCCGTCACATCCGCTGGAGTGAACCAGCGGCAGGGCCCTCCGTCCAGCAACACCCGCTCCATGGCCTGCATGACAGGAGGGGGGACATGACAGGAGGGGGAGGGCAGGACAGGTGGGGGGGCATGACGGTGGGGAGGTAGAACGGAAGTGAGCCGGGGGAAGAAGCCATGCACTTCCACCCGCAAGCCTGAGCTACCAGCCCTACTCAAGGGCTGACGACTTCCCCCTCTGCCAACCGCTGCCCCCTCTCCATGCCGCTCACCCAACTCCTCGCTCACATCCGCCGGTACATAACCCTCATCGCCCCTTCTACATCCCACCTTCCTACACCCGCCCACACACCGACCCACGGGTCGCCCAACTTCCCACCCACCCACCCACGCACCCCACCCACCCCCACCTGCACCGCAGCTATCAGCAGGTGTCGTGCAAACGCGTTCCTCACGGCCTCCTGCATGGCGGGGCACAGCGCGCCCAGCACCTTGTTGAGCGCCTCCAGCTGCGGCTCGATGCGCGCCCCGGGGGCGGTGACGTGGTGGCGGTACAGCAGCTCCAGCCAGTTGGCCCGCTGGTCCCAAAACACAATCTGGGAGGGGGGAGGGAAGGGGGGCCAAAGACCATACCGGACCATAGGAAATTACATGTTGGGGCAAAGCAATGGATGGAGGGGGGCAGGGCGAGGCAGGCGGGGCGGGGAGCAGCGGGGAAATGACGCCTTCGGTTGCGTTGCGTAGGGTGGTTGAGATACAGGGACAGACAGGCAGGCATTCCTGGGCGAAGAAAGAAGCCCATCAGAATTCTGCACAAACCAGCAGTGGCGACCCGACACGCTGACACCTTTTCACGAAGCTTGCGGTAAACACGCGATCGGCTCCCGAGTATGACAGGCCCCGCTGCTGCAGCGGCGGCCCTGCTGTGACCGTCCCTGTAGACAGACGGGGACCCCAAACTGCAACCTCGCGCCCCTGCATACCACCCACCCACCCACCCACCCCACCCCAGCGTTCCCTCCACTACCAGTGCCCATCCGTGTACCCACCCGTGTCGCCAGGAACTTGCAGGCGTACTGCATGCCGGCCGACAGTGCCGTACGGGCCTGCGAGAGGGGCGGCTCGGAGGGCTCGGGGGAGGAGGAGGGCGCCTCCGCCAGCTGCCCGCCGTACCGCCCAGCAACAGCAGCACCAACGCAGACGTGGGAGGAAGGGAGGGCACGAAAGATGTGGGCGGGAAAGGGAGTGAAAGGTGTGATGGGAGGGAGGGAGCGAAAGCGACAGGAGGATCGACAGGTAACATGGTCAGTTACAGTTACAGTTACGCGACTCAATTGGTTACACCAAAACCTCCCAGCAGCCTCCCAACACATTTCTCACTCGCGCCCTCTCCTTTTCAAGCCTTCCCCCTCCCCTTTCCTCCTGTGCCCTCCGCCCCTCTCCCTATCTCCCTACCAGCAGCTGCTTCGAGGAGGCCTTGCCGGCGGTGGAGGGGTTGGCTGCGGAGTGCGCGGCGACGGACTGCTGCTGCCGCTCGCGACAGAGCTACTCGGGGGGGGAGGTAGAGTGTGCATGTGGAGGGAGAGGAGGGTGGTAAGCAGAAAGGAAACCATAAGGAGGGAAGGGGGAGTGGCGGCGGACCGGAAAGAATGGATGGTCATGGGCTCTCTGCTGGATGGCAGGGCAGTTCAGTTGGAGCAAGGAGGAGGTTCTTTTCAGAGCGTTGGAACGGCCCGGCCGAGCAGGAGGGAAAGCAGGAAACGACCCCACGGAACGCCTCCGGTGTTCCCGTCAGCACCTTCTCCTCCCTCACGCCCCTCCCTTCGTCGATTGCCTCGTTCGTCTCCTCACCCTCCCTCCCCCCCCCTCCTCACCTCCCTCAGCGCCTCCGCCCTGCCCCCCAGGTAGTGCAGGCTGCCTGCTGCTGCCGCCAGGGCCTCCGGGGTGAGGGAGGCGCTCATGTTGGTCAGCTCGGGGGAGGACTCGACCTGAAGGGGGGGGGGTGAGGGGGGTAGGGGGAGCGGCAGGAGGTGAGGGTATGCGACCAAGTTGGCAGCGGCACGGAAGGTTCCGAAGGGTCCCCGCACGGGGTGAAGGACGGGATGGAAGGATTAGACAAACTGAGCCGCGGGGAAACAGGTACGCACAGGATTGCAGCAGGGGAACTGCAGAGGCCGCCCCTCCGTGCGGCCCTCACATGCCCTCACACCACATGGTACCGCACGACAGCAAACTGCCATGTCATACCACATGGCAGTTTGCTTCCTGCATCCCCCCTCCCCCCTCTCAGCCCTTACCGTGGGCACGGACGCCAGGAAGGCGACCTTCTGCTTGCCCTTGGCGCTGCCCCGACCCGCCTCCATCTCCGCATGCTCCTGCTTCACAACCACGTCCTGGGGAAGGAGGAGGAGGGCGGATACGGTAAGGAGGCTGGGAAAGGGAGCAGAGGAGCCGAGATGCTCAGCAAGGGTGCTGCAGTAGGGTGCTGGGCTAGGGACTAGGCCTGCACTAGGGTGCTGGGCTGCGGTTCCGAGACCGCGCTCACCTTTTTGTATCTCGTGAGTGGCGGCAGGGGCGGCATGACTCGCTGCAGGTCACCCAGCTTCTCATTCACGTGGGTCACGTACCTGCGACAGCAACGTACCACAACAAGACAGCAGCCAGATGTCAGACAACGACCACATCAAGCAACAGCAGCGACAGCGGAGACAGCAGCAGCAGCAGGCGCAAACGTGACTGCCGCGATCACCGCAGGAACACCTCGAACAGGGGATTGGGAGGATAGGGAATGGCTTAACGACAACCCCGAAGAGCGCTCAGGCTCCGCCCACCCATCCATTGGTTCATGCATCCATCACCCCCTCCCTCTCCTCACTCCTCCAACCATACCCAAACAACCGGTACCCTCAGAAGCCAACCCCAAGCCCGCCCTCTCCAACCGCCAACCGCCTCACTTGCGCAGTACGGCATCAATCCCATCAAGCAGCGCGTACGGCACCTCGGGCGGCATGGGCACGTCCATGCCGTACAACGCCTCAACCGCCTCAAACGACATGCGAGACACGTCCACCGCACTCTGTGTGTGCGAGGCGTCCGGGCCCGAACCTGCAAGAAAGAAAGGGGATTGGGGAGGAACGCAGTAGCAGGCTTCGGACGAGGGGCTGATAACAATGATACATGCATGCAGGGACATTGGAAACGTAATACCATGGTGTTTGGCCAAACACATGACCATGCATGCGGTGCTGGCATGCTGCCCACTATGCACGCAAGGAAACAAGAACAGACGACAGAGGCCGGTGCCCCCCCCCCCGACTGACCCATGGGTCTCCACTTCTCCGCCTGCAGCGCCCTGGCGGCCCAAGTGTTCATGCTGGCTACCTGGGAGGACACCCACTGCGGGTGCGGGTGGGGGGTGCGGGGGGGAGGGGAGGAGAACGGGAGGGTTCGGAAACAATCAGGGGGGCCTAACATGAACTTATAAAACACAGTGTCACAGTGTAAGAGTTGGAATAAGCGCAGCATGATTGCTTACAGCAGCAGTGTCGCATGGCCGCCACGGCAGCCCTGCCCCTGCTCCCTTCCCCAACCTGGACCATCATGCGACCCATGGAGCCCAATGCCCCCCCTCTCGCCCCCACCACCACCTGCAGCATGGCCCCCTTGAGCGGCCCCGCCAGGTCCCACCGCCGGTGCGCCGACAGCACCTCGTACACCACCCCGGGGTGCGGGTGCGGTTGGGCGACAGGAGCGCAACTAGGCACGGGGGGGTACAGCGACCCGCTGCCCGCACCAGCAGCAGCAGCAGGGGTGGGTACGGCAGTGGGTGCGGCGCCGCCGCCGGGAAATACGGGGGATGGTGTTTTGGACGCGGCGGCTGCCTCCCCGCCCGCACTAGCGCTGCTGCTGCTGCCGTTGGCGCCGTCCTTCTTGGCGCTGCTGAAGCTGCTGCCGGCTGCACCCAGTGCGCCTGCATTGCCCCCTGATGAAACGGACTTGGTGGGAGTAGCTACGGGGGTAGCAGCAGCCGCTGCGGCCCCAGCAGGAGCAGGAGGAGGTACGGCACCCGGGGCAGCAGCAGCAGCAGCAGGAGGGGGTGGGGGTCCCGCCTTGGCGATGTGTGCAGTCAGGCGCTGCTCCAGTGCGTTGGCGGTGCGGAATACGTCCAGCACGGCAGGACTGATGCCGCCCACTGGGGGGAGGGAGGAGGGGAGGGGTGCGATGAGGGGGGTGTATGGTGAGGGGGGTGTATGGTGAGGAGACGCAGGAGGAGGAGGAAGAGGCGAGTGAGCCTTATGGATGGGGGGTTATGAGGGATCAGGAAGCCATCATCCATTGTGCATGGCGGTACCAGCAGCAGCAGTGAACAAGCCGATAGCAGCAGCAGTACAGTACCTCTCCCCCCTCCCCTTCCCCTCCCGCCCCCTCCCCCCCCACCCGTGTGCAGCCAGGGCGCCAGGTGGCTGCCGTACAGCCCGTGCAGGTGCGCCGCCGCCACCGGCAGCGCGGCGGGCAGGTGGGGGGCCAGCAGGGCGCCGCAGAAGAGCGACTCGGCCGCGTCCGCGATGTCGTGCACCACGGAGGCGAGCTGCAGCAGCCGGGTCTCGTCTGGCAGGGGAGGGAGGGGGAAGGAGGGGGAGGAAGAGGGAAGGAGGGGAAGAAGGTGAACGGGGGTAAGAGCGGAACAAGAAAAGCCTAATCCCAACCTTACCCTATGCAGGTATGCTCCCTCCTTACGTCCAGCATTCATCCGTTACTCGGATCACTCCACATACCCACCCCGTCCCTTCATCCCCTCGCCTCTCCCCTCTTCCCGCTTCCTCTCTCCTCACTTGACCCCTCTGTGTCCACCCTCGCCCGCATGAGCCGCCCGAACTGCGCCGCCGTGCTGTCCGCCACCGCCGCCGCCAGCAGCGCCGCCAGCCGCTCCGGCGGGTCGCCCCGGCTGCGAGCCGCGAACACAAACACGTCCAGCAGCGCCGACATGTTCTCACCCCTGGGGGGGTGGGTGGGCGCGTGTGGGTTTTGGGGAGGAGGGGAGGGGTAAAAGGAGATACGGCTAAAAAGGCGGCCGGCATTCCTTCTCTCATAGCGTGGCACATCCCATCCTCCATCCCCTGGGCTCCAACCAACCCGCACCCGTACCGTACCCCCACCCCATTCAAATACCCATTGTCACATGATCCGTTTGTCCCCTGTATCAATCACGAGGTCAGCCTTTTCCCCGTTCCACCACCAGTCCACCACCCCTTCCACCACGCCCCTCCCGCACCCACTTCGGGAAGGCCGCATGGTAGTCGCACAGCTTGTCGTACACCCACTCCACGATGCGGTCGGCCACCTGGGCCGCCAGAGCCGTGTCGCGGGCTAGCTCCTCTGCCGGAGCGGAGGGGGCTGCCGTACCGCCGTACGACCCACCTCCGCACGCCGACGGTACGGCAGCACCCGTGGCCTCGGGACCCAGACCGAAGGGGTCGCTGCATGCAGGGGCGGGGGGGAGAGAGGAGGGGAGGGGGGGAGGGGGAGGGAGCATGAACAGGCACGCATGCATGCATGCGACGCAAGCATGTGAGGGGTGGGTGGTCGGCCGGTTCTGGTGCAAACCCAATTTCCATCACATGGAGCTCTTAGCACTTGGGCCACCCGCACACGCCCTGCCTCCCCTCCTCCTCTTCCATCTCCACACCCCCACCGCACCCACCAGCCACCTCTCACCTCCCCTTCATGGGCGCCTCCGCTGCCGCCGCCGCCAGCCGAGCAATGAGCTGCTTGAGGTGCTTCACCAGCCGCTGCTCCCGACACCCCGTGGCGACGTACATGCTGAAGTGAACCCAGGCGCTCACCTGGGCAGGGGTGGGAGGGAGGGAGAAGATTGGTGATGTGTGGTTGTGAGCAGCAGCGCACATACGCAGGGAGCACGCACCTTGCCTTCAATGCCGCCGCCTAAGGGTGCCGAGGCTGCCCAACCCCAGCGTAAGGGCCCGCAAACCCAACTGTTCCAGGAGCTAGTAAACTCACATCCTTCCCACTGCGTCCGCCTCCCCCTCCCTCCCCCCCTCCCCCCTCACCGCCAGCGCTGCCGGCGCCGACAGCCCCAGTGCGGGCCACATGACTGACTCCAGGAACTGCAGCACCAGCGCCGCCTCGTCGATGTACACACCCGGCTCCAGGCTGTCGAAGATGGCTGGGGGCAGGGGGAGGAAGGTGGGAAGGCGGAAGGCAGGAGGGGCCCGGGAGAGGAACAAAATGGCATCGGGACATGATCGGGAAGCGGCGAGCATGGGGGACGGCTGGTAGTAGCGGGACGTCAGTACCAACATAACAAGGCAACCGTACACCTAGTCCTACACTACCTGCCGCTACTCACACCTCACAGCTACCCACCCCTCACCCCCCACCCCACAGCTACCCACCCACCCACCCACCCACCCACCCGTTGTTTCACATATTCAATTTTTTACCCACCCACCCGTGATGAGTATCTCGCACAGCCTCACGCGCACCGCCCAGGGGAAGCGCATCCCCGTGGCGCACCCCTCCGCCAGCCGCCCCGCCACCTCCGCCAGCACGCGGGTCGCCTCGCCGTACTCCTCCTCCTCGAAGTCGCCCTCGCCACGCACGTCCGCGCGACGAGCCGCGCCGTGCATCCTGTGAGGGCGGGGCGGGGGTTGGGATGGTGCGGGGGTTAAGAGGTGAGGTGGTGAGGATGAGGCGGGTCAGGAGGTGTGAAGTGCACATGCACGGGCGGGCGTTGCACATGGATTTGGCAAGAAAACCCAAATCCAAAAGTCCAAAACCCTTACTCCTAACACATCCCATGCATGAGCTCTTTCCCCCACCCCAGCCCCGCTTCAATACGGTTAACCCCAATAAGCCCATCCCCCCAGCCCCACCCCACCTCGCCAGCATCTTCCTGAGCTGCGGCCGCTCGCCGCTCCACCCCGCCTCCACCGCCAGCGCCAACTGCCGCTCCAGCACCGCCACCGTCACGTCCTTCCAGCGCAGGAAGCCGCGGAAGGCACGATGCGAGATCACACCGGGTGCGGAGCCGGAACCGGCAGCTGAGGCAGAGGGGTGGGAGGTGGCGCTGCCCGTGTTGTTGTTGCTACCGCCCTCAAAGTCGGTGGGACGTACGACAGCAATGAGGCGCAGCAGCAGCTCCAGGGAGGCTCGCTGGCTGGGGCGCCACAGCCCGGCGGCGCTGGCGTGGCGGCTGCCGGCGGGAGGCGAGGAGGAGGGCGGGTGGGCGGGGTGCAGGGCATCGAGTAGGGTGGGCTCACCACCTGGGGGGTGTGGCGGGAGGGAGGGGGAGGAGGGTACGGCAGGGTCGGGGGAGGGGGTAAGATGCGGGTTGGGGCTCTAGGGGACCATCCCATGGTTCCCATACCACCACCACCCGCCCAACCAGCGCGCAACCTACCACCCGACTGGCCACACGGTAAAACCGGTAGTTAGTTCGTTAGTTGGTTGGTTGCTCCTCTTCACCCACCCGGCTGTATGTGCCGCAGCACCCGCCCAATGTCCGCCGCGCGCCCCTCCTCCACCAGCAGCTGCTGTCGTACCACGGGCAGCAGCGCCGAGTGCTGCGGCAGGCCGGTGCCGGAGGCGCAGGCGGCGAAGAGCAGGAAGGCCAGGTCGCGCAGCTGGTCCTCCGTCTGACCTGGAGGAGGCAGGGAGGGAGGGGTCCAAGACCATACCATACCACAGGAAGCCACAGGGGGAAAGGGGAGGGTGATGGGGAGGTCATGGAGGAGGGTGGCGGAACAGCGACATGCGAGCAACCTTGGCATGGACCCTCACTTAACACCGCGCCCATTCCCCCTTCCAAACCCCCCTCTCTTTCCTCAAGCCCTGCCAGCTGCCTCGAGGGCTCCTAACCCCATCAATCCCACTTCCCTCAACCACACCCGCACCCACAGGACCCAGCTGCGCCCAGCGCAACCCACCCGTCTCCAGCTGGGGCAGGTCCAGTGGCGGAGGCCGGATGCCCCCCGCGCCATCGTCCATGTCACCACCCACACCCCCACCACCGCCGCTACGGTCGCCATCGCTGACCCGATGTACGGCACCTCCGTCGTACTCCCCCGCCGGGCCCCCCCGCTGCTGCTGGGGCCGCGAGGGCGACGGCGCTGTCGTCAGGTTGTACGACAGCTTTGTGGCGGTTGCTACGGCGGTTACGGGCGGATCCAGCATGCCGCCGCCACTGCCGGCCTGCATGCAATGCGTACGGAACCCAGATTCATGTTTGACCACACCGAGGTTCCTCACAAAACGGAAGATGGTTTTGATGCAACAGAGGTCCCGTCTCTTATACGGGCCCCCCGCTGGGCTCGCGGTACTCTCCTAGGGGTCCTTGATCACATCCGGATTTCCCCCGCTATTACGGCCACTGCCATTACTCACCGACACCTTTTTCGACCTGGTCTTGGAAAACATCGCCGCATCCGCAGCCGTGATGGTGCCGCCCGCGCCCGCACCCGAGCTCGGCCGCTTGCCGGCGGGCGTGCTCCCAAAGGGATTTGCGTTGCCGCCTCCGCCACCACCATCGCTGGGCCCGCCAAAGGGGTTATCCGCAGACACATGGTGCATGTGCCGAGAAGAAGCCGCAGCAGGCACAGCAGCTGCACCGTTGCTACCTCCCAAGGAGGAGCCTGGAGGCGGGCCAAAGGGGTTATCGCCTGGGACCGAGCGGCCGGAAGCGCCACCGGCAGCAGCAGGCTGGGGCGGGCCGAAGGGGTTGTCGCCAGCGGTTGGGAAGCGTGAGGAGGAAGAGGAGGGGCCCAGGGGAGGGCGAGGGCCGGGGCTGGAGATGACGGGTGGCGGGCCGGTGGCCCTGGCGATGTCCACAGCTCCTCCTGGAGGATATGGAGGATCATGGGAAGTAATGATAGGGGGATTGAGAAGAGGAAGAGGTCGGGGAGCTGGTGCAACATCCCACCATGCCGACCTACCTGCTTGCAGCTGCTTGAGCAGAGCGGTCACGTTGACCTGGTCCAAGACTTTTGCGTCATAGAGTAGACCCTGCTGGGGTCCGATGATCTTTCCCCCGCGCCTTGCATGGTCCTGTTGGCGGTGAAGCCAGAGAGAGTGTTGGGACATGGTGCCCGTTCGCAGACTACCGGTACCCATCAGTAAGCAACCACAAGACGAATCACTTTCAATTGATATCATCCAGGTTCCCACGGAAGATGGGGCTCGGGAGTAATAACGCACCTTTAGAAGGTATTCCAGCAGCTCTCGCCGCTCGGCCCATACGTCCCTATTCATCGCTTGTACGTTCCAGCTATCTACCGGTTAGTAACTTTATATAAGACTAATTTGCAAAGGATGCATGGCTTCAAGTGGGTTCGCTTATTGCAACTTGCAGGGTTATTTGCGAATATCAAAGGATGCAGCTGAGCTGACTACCATATGCTATAGAATAGTCCATGTATGTAGGAACTTGCGTTGGATCACAAAGAGCGATGGGATGGGAAGTTCCACAACAGTCAATTCAAAGCAAAGAAAGGGACTAATGTTCTGCGATCCATGTTTGGCACAGATGCTTACATACTTGTCTTCTTCCACTGTCCATTTAACGGGGCTGTACTACTGGGTAATCCCTTAGCAGCGATATCAGCAAGCCGCCGACCAAACCGACGTGTCGCTTTTTAGCCTTGGTCATTACCGGTATCTTGTTGCCATCTACGTTACTGTGTATACCGAATAGTCTTAGGCTTGAAAGAATAGTTATAAAGCTACTGCATGCTGCGGTTTCCTGTAAACATGTTTCGGACATCGGTGAGCAGCTCGGGGCGCTGCGCAGCTACGCTTGCTGCCGGTGGGTCGGCCACTGCACATCATGATAAGCCGCTTTATTACTTTTATCGCCACATGCCCTGCGGGTAGTGGATCCAGCTACCTAACCTGGCTCCCTCACGGAAGCCACATGCCAAACACCTTAAGCCACTCATCATCACTGATCCGCCCGACCCAAATCAATTCTACCCTCTTACTGCTTCGGCCGCCAACTTCAACTTGCGTAGGACTCAGTTCTTTTATGTTTTCTGCGACATGTCGCCCAGCCATGTCTTTGCCCAGGCATGCCGCACTCATGTCTCCTGCCTGACCCCTTCCGCCCCCTCGCTCCCATCCTTTCCAATCCCAAAAGGCTCTTCTAGGATCATCGTCCGGCCGCTCGCATCCGCGGCGGCCTCCGGTCCCTCCTCTCGCCCCCGGATTCCCTCCCCGCCTTCCGCCACCGCTGCCGCTGCTTCCTCCTCTTCGACCCAGATCAACTCCCTAACCATCACCCGACCGGATGACTGGCACCTGCACGTGCGGGACGGCAAGGCCATGCGGGTGGGGTCCTGGGGGGACCCGCGGGTCGGCACCTGAGGCACCTGCGTGTCACAACATGCAAAGAGTACTTCCCGTACGCCGTACGCTAGCAACAGAACTTCCGGACTATCCCCCCATTACGTTTTCCGTAGCATGTAAACCATGCCATGCTAGTACCTTTCCGCTTGCTCCCCCGCTTCCTCACCCTGCCAATCCACCCACATGCCTCCCTGCTCACCCTGCTCTTCCTTGCTGTTCCCTCCCATCCGCCCCCCCCTCACCTGGCCCCCCCAGGATGTCGTCCCCCACACCGCGGCGCACTTCGGTCGTGCGGTCATCATGCCCAACCTGGTGCCGCCCGTCAGCAGCACACAGGCGGTGAGGGGGGGGGAGGGGCGGAGGGGTAGACCGGGTATGGGGTATCTCGCAACGGGCTGATAAACATCATAGCAGAAGTAGATGTGGGGCGGAGAGAATGCCACTTCTGTAAGGAAGTATGACTGAAGAAGTAGGTTTCTTGCTAGCTGCTGTGGTGCGTGGAAGCAGGTGGCGCGCTTGCATGGGTGTACGACAGCGATGGCAAATCGACCCAGCCTATCAGGGCTGCCCACGCGTTTGTGCTTTCAACTGCCGTTGTGATTCTCTGCCGGGATTGTGGCCGCCTAGGTCTCACCCACCCGCCCGGGGTCGCGCCTAGCGAGTGGGGGTTTGCTTGCGCTTCGTCTCGAGTAGGAGGCTAGTATGGAGGGGCTTCTTGGATGCCGGTCTCTCAATTAAGGGGGTCAATCGGCAATCGAGGTGCAACACTGAGTGCTGTCAGCACAGTCGGCCACTAGTGCATCTTAAACATGGGTTGGGGCGTCGGGATGTGTGGGTTAGGGTTGGGGTTCTTGGTGTGGAGGCGACGTACGGTTGGTTGGCTTCGGCTTACATTATCTGCTGTAACGCATCACGGCAGCTAGAGCAAGAAGGACGTCATCATTCCCGCCGCTGTTGCTGCTGCTGTTTGCGTTGTTGTCTCCACGACCCTGCTGCTGCACCCTCCCACCATCCACCTCCCAGGCCCTCGACTACCGGGCCCGCATCCTGGACGCCCTGCCGGCCGGCTCCTCCTTCAACCCCCTCATGACGCTCTACCTCACCGACAGGCGAGTAGGGGGGAGGGAGGGGGCACAGCAGCAGCAGCAGCGGCCTAGCTGGGGCACACGTGCACAGGGGCGCTGGGAGCTGCAGGGCCCACTTTGTCGTACACTCCCTTGTGTGTTCTGCACCTCCCAATGTGTCCGCCATGGCTCCTCTAAATGCTGTCTTGACATATCCCTCCTCCTTCGCCTTCCTCTTGACTCGTCCCCCTGACCTGCTGGCACCCCCAGGACCACTCCCGAGGAGGTGTACCGCGCCAAGGAGGCGGGCGTGGTGGCCTTCAAGCTCTACCCTGCAGGTGGGGGGAAGGGGTGGCGGGATCAGGAGGTGGCGGGGGGGCAGGAGGGGGGGGGGGAGCTGGATCCGGGAGCAGGTGGGGCGCTTACAACCCCAACCCTACCTACCCATCTCCCCGCCCCCTACCTCGCCCCCCAGGCGCCACCACCAACTCCGACTCCGGAGTTACGGATCTCGAGAAGCCCCTGGCCGCACTCAAGGTAGGGCGGGGTAAAGAAGGTGGGGTGATAGCGCTTCTGGCGCCACCGCATACCTGCTGGCAGCTCCAGTCGCCCGGGCCGGAGCAGACTGGGAGGGACACCGGAGCGCAGCCCCTGCACCGCCCTGCAGGTGCTGCTGCTCTGCTCCCTCGCAGCCAGGCAGCAGCACCTGCCGCACGCAGCTGCTGGGACCCGCAGACCTACCCCGCCTCTACCCGTGCTACTTCCACATCGACCCCCTCCTCTCTGTCCCTCCCCGCCTGGTTCGCATGCACGCATGCCTGCAGGCCATGTCGGATGCGGGGTTGCTGCTGCTGGTGCACGGGGAGGTGACGGAGACCGAGGTGGACATGTTTGACCGCGAGGCCGTGTTCATTCAGCGCAAACTGGTAGGGGTGGGGGAGAGGGGGCTGAGGTGTGGTTTGAGGTGTGGGGTGAGCGGGGAGAGGGGCGTGAGGGTATGGAAGGGGGGTGGAAAGAGGCAGGAGTGTGTAGGTCTGCATTCTGCCCTCAACACTCTGCCGCTTAACCTCCTTTTGACGCTTCCACGCCCGTCCAAATCCCCCTCCTCCTTGACCTTCATTTTATGTTTGCCCTGTGCTCCCCCACCTCCACCCCTCCGCCCCCTCTTGCTGCTGCCGCCCCTCAGCTGCCGCTGCTGGAGCGGGTGCCCGGGCTGCGGGTGGTGATGGAGCACATCACAACCAAGGAGGCGGTGAGGGCCGGGTGGGGGGCGGGGGGAGGGAGATGGGGAGGGGGGAACCCGGGGAGTACCGGAACCGTGACTGAACTATGATCGAAACACGGTCCGTAACCTTTCCAGTTTCCCCCCGCATCGTTGTCGTCTCAGCTTTTCATTTCTGGTCTCTCCCCTAACCCCAAACCCCACCCCCTCAGGCCGAGTTCGTTGCCTCCGCCCCGTCCAACGTGGCCGCCTCCATCACGCCGCAGCACATGCTCATGAACCGCAACGCGTTGTTCGCCAAGGGGCTGCGGCCGCACAACTACTGCCTGCCCATCCTCAAGCGGGAGAAACACCGTGAGTGGGGGGAGGTGCTGGAGGGGGCGCGGGCGGGGATGGGAAGATGGAGGGGCGAGGGATGGACTTGCAGGCGGTGCGGTGCGGGAGGAAGGGGGTCGGTGGACTGAGCCTGCGGCTGGGAATGTCACCTTGGGTCCTGGGGAGCCGTCTCTCCCATTCCTCCTGTCACCTGTGTCCTACCAATATGCAATCTACCCACCCCTGATCACTCCAACCACCCCAGGTGAGGCGGTGATGGCTGCTGCCACCAGCGGCAGCCCCAAGTTCTTCCTGGGCACTGACAGCGCCCCGCACCCCAAGGTAGGGCAGCTGCCCCACCCCCGCACCCCTCCCAGCCCTGGTTGCCCAGACGGCAGCAAGCCCCTCATACGGGCAGTCGGTCCCTGCATGATGCCCCTTCACATGGTTGGATGGTTTCCCCCTGTCTCCCAAGCCTTCCCGGCTCAGTTTACCTAACAATCCCCCCCTCCTCAACTCTTCTCCAGGGCGCCAAGGAGTCCTCGTGCGGCTGCGCGGGCATGTTCAGTGCGCCCGTGGCCCTGGGCATCTACGCAACCGCCTTCGAGCAGGCGGGGGCGCTGGAGCGGTTGGAGGCGTTCGCAAGGTGGGGGCAGGAGCAGCCGAGCAGGAGGAGGAGGAGGAGGGACAGAAAGGGCAATGTAATGGGTCGGGGAGGGGCACCGAGGCCTGGGACCTCCTGAGTTATCGTACACCCTATCGTATGCCGTATACCGTACCGCTTTGCTCGCCACACGTCCATGTATGTTGCCTAATGACAGTGTTGAGGCTTGGTTGCTTAACCATATGCATGTCTGACCCCTACCCGCCTCGCCCCTCCACTGCATCACACAGCTTCAACGGCCCCGACTTCTACGGCCTGCCTCGCAACACCGACAAGATCACGCTTGTACGGCAACCGCAGCGCGTCCCCGACAGCTATGCATTCGGGGACAACGTGGTGGTGCCCATGTGGGCTGGGGAGGAGGTGGCGTGGAGCGTGGTGGCGTAGGGGGCGTGGAGGGCTAGCGTGAGGAGGGGACAAGTAAAAGGTAGTCGTTGAGTCCAGATTGGAATATAGGCTTGGTTGGGAATGGTGGGGTGAGGAATTTTGTAAGGTTTGATTGGACGGTGTGCGTGGGGGACAAGATGATGGGTGTTTCAATTGACGCTGACTTTGGTCAGGGAGCTCGGGCTGTTTCATTGCGAGGACAAGGGGGTTCAGCTTCCTCAAAGCTGGAAAAGGGCGGAGCCCCTCCTCTTCAGTACAGGAATGTATTATTACCACTGGAATGAATGCGATTACAGGGGAGTGGAACGACTCAATGGGCCTTATAGACTTGGAATGAGCACGGCATGCGCTCCTGTGACTCCACGGCACCAGATGACCTAACACGGATGTTATACGGACGCTGAACCCCCTTGTTTACTGTAGTTTTAGTGCTCGTTGCATGGCTAGACAAGCTCAGAGCCCCTTGTCCAGCCAAGGCCGGCCGCCTTGTTCACCCACGGCGTACATAGTGTTCTCACTCATTGCACACATTGTTAGGTTACGCCTGTTCAATCGCGCACTCAGTAACGTCTTATCATGCTTGATAACACCCACGCATTAGGCTACAGAACCCAAATCGACGGCGTAACTGCCACATGGGAGTGCTTTCAGGGTCGCGTAGGTCGTTTAGGTTTCACCTACATTACTAACATGATGAGGAGGTCAGGCTCGGCAATCTCGGCATCGTGCTCAGAAGGACTTCAGCCATTGCGCCCCAACATCGCATGTTAGCTTATAGGCGAGGTACCCGTTTGCATTACAGTTCATAGGCATTATGGCACACAAACCAATAGCAATGGCAGGCAACATCGTCACAAAGGATTGTGTGAGCTCAGAGTAGCACAATCGATGGAAGCAAGCATGCTCTCGCCGACTTTCACAGGTAGCCCTTTGGCGACACGCCGCTGTTTCCAATTCATTAAATACTGTTTACGGTACCAGGACAAACCATAGAGGAGCGCTAATCGGTGTTGCCGCGGTGGTCCTTTTGAATGGCTGGTCATTAAATCGTTTGTTGCGAAATTAAGTTTGTTTGGCTTCCAGTTATTTTTACTGAATACAGATAACAAATATCTATTAGGTGCAATAAATAGTTTTGTCTAGTTTGTATGTTTTGCCGTTACGGACACACGGACGGACACACGGACACACGGACACACGGACAGGGGCAATCCTGGGGGGCGAAGCCCCCCCGAAGCCGCTTCGCGGCGGGGGCTCCGCCCAAAAATGCCACTTGAAGAATGCATTGTTGCTAATATTTTCGCCCTCGTAAGGCTGGCGTGATTGCCTTTGCATCCTCAGCACGATATTACACGGACTACTCAGGCCTTGCAAGCAATATAACATACACCCATGGGTCGTAACCACAATTGCCTGTACATGACGCCACGCTGGTGGCCCATTATCGTATATGATACGAGTCCAAAAGCGCACCCTGCACAACTAGACAGCAGTTACTACCGTAAACTGAAACCGCTAATTTGCACCCGAGCCCACAGCAAGTCAGTCACGAACCAGTCAACAGCAAGACCGTGAAGTCAGGGACAGCAGTAGTCACACCTTAAATGTGCCTTTGTTACATAGATGCGAGAAAAAAGAAAAGCCGCAAACAACAGTCACCAATGTGCCCGCCAGTATGACTCCACTGCAGTCCGTCGTGTCAGCAACTTGCAGCGATTCGATAATCGCCTTCCTTCTATCCCCAAGAAAACCCCTTCGTGCCCTAGCCTCCCCCGCAAGCACTCTTACCCTCCAACTTCGTCTTCTCTTTTGTCTCTTCTCTTCACTTAACCCTCAGCAGCTCTTCATCTCGTACACCAAATTACATGCGCTCATGTGCCGTACGAGCCACGTGGAAGTAGTGGCCCACGTTCTCCTCGGGGGTCCCCGGCAGCACGCCGTGGCCCAGGTTCATCACGTGTCGTACGCCGGCCGTACGAGCGGCCCGAATGGTGTCCATGACGCGCTTCTCGATGAAGTCCTTGGAGCCGAACAGCACGCCGGGGTCCATGTTGCCCTGCACGCATCATGGGATCAGAAACCCAATTAGTGGTTGGGAAATTGGTTGGATAAAACCAAGAGGTAAAAGAGAGGTGGTTGAGGGGCGCAGTAGCGGTGTACAGTTGTGTGTGGCATGCGAAAGGTGTGTACCGGTAAGGCCACTGCCCCGTGCTGTAGCAGGCAGATTCGGGAAACAGCGTGGACCTCGCCTGTTGGGTTGTTGCTGTGGCGATCCTGCGAAACTGCGGCGGCGTGGAGTGTGCGCCACCGCAGTTTTAGATGGATGCCTTTAAGCTTACAACGTGCAAACTATATACCCCAATCGGGTTGTACTAAATGAAGCCTTTCTTAACTGAAATGTAATGTGCCGTGCTCATGGTCAGCGGCCTCATGACTGCCCGCTTTCGGTGGCTGGAGGGTGTAGCCACTTGGGTGTTGTGATATGAGTGTAACCCACAGGTTCGACTGCCTCGCCCTGGCGCTGAAGGCCTCCTAGGGAATGACTGAAAAGCGACCCACGGGTCAGGTATTGCTTTTGCATCCTAGCGAAACTGCCGCCGCGTAGAAGATGCGCCATGGCAGTTTTAGATGGATGCAAGGTTTGGTGACCAAGTCCTGTACACCACTTTGTTTGCCCCTCGCCCCAATCCATGGCAGATCCAAGGCGCAAAACGGCAACAGGCCAATAGCTGCTTCTTACTGCTTTTGACATGGAGCGAGGTATCATGTTTATTTGTAACCACCAGGACCAATTTCCCCCGCCCATTAAGGATGAGCGGGGAACAGCGTGGCCCACGGGTCAGATAGCTCTGGCATCCTGCGAAACTGCATTGGCGTGAAATTGCGCCATTGCAGGTTAGAATGGACGCCATGTGGCGCACGTTTCCCGACAATCTTCAATTATATTCCTAAACAGTCGTAAGGCGTGAAGGGACTAGTATAACTCTCGGGAGTCTTAGAGATGTGTATGTAACCATCAGAACCAGCTGCCCCGCCCGCCAAACAAGAAAGCGGTTGGGAACAGGAAGTGACCCACGGTGAAGGTTATTGTTGCATCCTGCGAAACTGCATTGGCGTGAAGTTGCACCATTGCAGGTTAGAATGGACGCCATGTGGCGCACGTTTCCCAACAATCTTCAATTATATTCCTAAACAGTCGTAAGGCGTGAAGGGACTAGTATAGCTCTCGGGAGTCTTAGAGATGTGTATGTAACCATCAGAGCCAGCTGCCCCGCCCGCCAAACAAGAAAGCGGGTGGGAACAGGAAGTGACCCACGGTGAAGGTTATTGTTGCATCCTGCGAAACTGCATTGGCGTGAAGTTGCACCATTGCAGGTTAGAATGGACGCCATGTGGCGCACGTTTCCCAACAATCTTCAATTATATTCCTAAACAGTCGTAAGGCGTGAAGGGACTAGTATAGCTCTCGGGAGTCTTAGAGATGTGTATGTAACCATCAGAGCCAGCTGCCCCGCCCGCCAAACAAGAAAGCGGGTGGGAACAGGAAGTGACCCACGGTGAAGGTTATTGTTGCATCCTGCGAAACTGCATTGGCGTGAAGTTGCACCATTGCAGGTTAGAATGGACGCCATGTGGCGCACGTTTCCCAACAATCTACAATTGAATTCCTAAACAGTAGTAAGGCGCGCAAGGAGACTTGTATAGCATTCGGCTAGTGATTTGTAACCAGCAGGGGCAACTGCCCCGCCCGCCAAACAGGAACGCGGGTGGGGACGGAAAAGTGACCCATGGGTCAGGCTGTTGTCGCATCCTGCGAAACTGCATTAGCGTGAAGTTGCACCATTGCAGGTTAGAATGGACGCCATGAGGCACACACGCGTTTCCCAACAATCTACATTGTATTTCTAATCAGTACTAAAGCGGGAAGGGACTAGCTAGCATTCGGCTAGTGATTTGTAACCAGCAGAGCCAGCTGCCCCGCCCGCCAAGCATCAAAGCGGGTGGGGACGGAAAAGTGACCCATGGGTCAGGCTGTTGTTGCATCCCAGCGAACCGGCAGCCACGTGGAGTTACGCGTCACTACAGGCTTAGAGGGATGCCTTGCCATGTCACCGTTAGCATAACGGGCAAATCACGCTTCGCTGCACTTCCCAACCCACCCCTCCCAACCCGTTCGCCCTTCCACTTCGTTCTTTCCTTTACCCCACATCCCTCGTTTGGTTTTCTGTACGGTGGTGGGAAGTGTAGAGGAGGAACCTCGCACCCATCGAGGAAGGATGCCTAGCCCTTGCTGGGGCCCAGTGTCACGTGGTGCTAAATTCTTCCCCTTCACTTCCCACCCACCGCACTCCCCCATCTCCTCACCTGGTACGCAAAGGTGGTGCCGCAGCGCTTCACTCCGTCCGCAAAGTCCACCGACTGGTCGAGTGAGATGATGTCGGGCTGGCAGGCAGCCATGCGCTCCAGCAGGCCGCCGGAGCCTGGGGGGAGATGGGAGGGGAGGGGAGGGGGGAGCAGTTGGTTTCCTGATTCCAATAGCAGGATCTTCATGGCCAATTGTAAAGCAGGTTTGCAATAATGCGAATGCACAACCCCCAATGGGTACCAGTACGGCGGCTTACAACACACTGCCCCGCAGAGTCACGGCCACCCCTTCCCTTCCCGTCTTCCAGGGGTCACAGCCAGTGTTTAGCCACGGCTCGGTTTCCGTAGCCGCCCCTTTCCGTTCTTCGCCTTCCCCGCCCGCCCCCCACACTCACCCGAGATGTAGAGGATGATGGGCAGGTTGGGGTGCGTCTGCCGCACGCTGTCGATCACCTTGCGGATGTAGGGACCCGAGAAGACGTCAAAGTCCTGGGGCTGCAGCTCGGAGGCCCAGCTGTCGAAGATCTGAACCACCTGGGCGCCCGCGTCGGCCTGGGAGGAGGGAGGGAGGGAGGGAGGGGGAGAAAGGGAGGGAGGGCAGAGGTGCGGAGGTAAATATGATAGGACAAACTTGGTTGGTTGGGGATGCGGAGTTACGGAGTTACGGGGGTTAGGGAAGGGAGGAGGTTGGGCGAGGAAAGCTTCCTTTTCAGTTGTCCTTCCCACCGCGTACCGCAACCCCCCAGCGTTGGCAACCCCCCACTACATCCACCCGCCACCCACCCAGTAGCTAGCGTGCATGGTGGAGCCTTGCAGCAGGCCTAGCCCTTCCGACCCCTCCTCCACCTCCCCCCCCGGGAGCTCGTCAGTTGCATCGTCAGTGTCTCATTACATCCCTCCCCCGGATTCGGGATTGGAACTCCGTTGAAGTCTTCCCCCACTCCCACCCCCCACCTGGTAGCGCACGTAGTCGGCCACGTTGTCAGCCAGCTTGTCCAGCAGCGCGTGGAGCACCTGGGGGGGGAGGAGGGAGGGAGGGAGGGGTAAGGAAGGAGGGAAGGGAGAGGATGTAGGATGGGGTTTTAGGGTGCAAGCTGCTCAGACTGGACTATGTTATGTGTCTTCCATGACCTTCCTTGCTTCACCACACAAGTCCCTACCTCTGGCGTGGAGAAGGCCATCTTCTTGATTGCTGCGAAGCTCTTGGAAGAGCCGCCCTCCACGATGTAGGTGGCGAGGGTGAAGGGAGCGCCCACGAAACCCAACACGGTAGCCTGGAAGGGCGAGGGGCGGGAGGCGGGGGGGGGGAAAGGTGTGAGAGGGCATCTGGGATGTAGGCGGAGTGGCGGCTGGGTGAGTGGCGGTGGTGGGTGCCGCAGGTCAATGTTTCAATGTTAATATAATCGCATTTATCAGTAAAGGCGAGACGACAGCAAGTGAATCAAGCAGCGCTCCCCGTCCTACGGTACGCAACCGTTGGTTTCCTCCCTTGCGCTCCCTCCTCCTGCCCAGCTGCTCCCATCCCCTGCTGCGACTCCCTCTCCCTGCTCCCCCCCCTCCCCGCTGCTCCCGCACCTGGTTGCCGATGTAGGTCCTCAGCTGCCGCAGCGACTCGCCCACGAAGGGGCAGGCGGCCTCCGCATCTAGCCGCGTCACCTTCTCGACTTGCTGTGTGGGGTAAGAAGGGGAGAGCCAAGAAAGGCAAGTAGGAGTTTATAGGAGGAGGTAGCGAGAAGAGAGCCAGCAACATCAAACCCTGCACGAGAAATTCCATTTATTCCATTTGGGTCGCAGTGCACTCTTCATCCTAAGGGTCGCTCGTGCTGCTGTAGCTGTAAGGCTCTTAGCCCCCAGCTGCACGGTTAGTGTCTTCCTCTTCTTCCCCCACGCGCATACCCCTCATCTTCTCCCACCTGCATGGTCCTGATGGGCTCCAGGATGATGGGGCTGGGCGCCATGTCGAAGGGGATGTTCATGCCGGGCAGCGGCGTGAGGATGTCGGAGAACAGAATAACGCCATCGGGCTTGAAGGCGTGCCAGGGCTGCAGCGAGATCTCAACCTGCATGCGTGGGGGGGGGAGAATGGGGGGCACGAGGTTGGGGGGGGCACGAGGTTGGGGGGGGGGCACGAGGTTGGGGGAGGTACGAGGTGCGTGAGCATGGGTGTGGGACATCTGGGTCAGCTGGCAATAGGAGAGACCAGTTAGGATGAAGGAATGGACAGCATACAGCAGGTGAGCTAGGGTGGGGAGGAGGAGGATGTGGGTCAGAGGTGATCATACCAACGGGGAGCAAGCAGCTCTTTCTCAGGCAGCTGGAAATTACAGAACCGCATACCTACCGCTAGGTCGACACGCTCCGAACGCTCGCGGAAGGTGGGGTGCTTCTTGCAGAGCTCCTGGTAGACCTGCGCCGGGGAAGGAGGAAAGCATAGCAAGAGTGTGCGTTTAAAGGGGATCAGGAATGTGATGCTTTAAGGACTGTGACGAGGAGGCTGTGACCGGGAAAGGTAGTGGGAGAGGAGGTCTATGACATGAAGAGGCAAGTGCCGCCAACTCCTGGCATCCGTTCTCCATGTCGAAGCCGAAGAACGAAGCATATTCTTTGCCTGCCCTAATGTCTTGGATACGAAGCTTCCAAAGGGCTTACCTTCTGGTAGCGGCCGGCCTGGCGCATCATCCACACCGGCGGGCGCTCGACCTTCTCGCCACGCAACGCCCGCAGCATCAGCGGGTCCTCAGAACCAGCTGTAGCAGCCACGGGGGCTGCCGGAACAGCCGGAGCAGCAACGGCACGGACCGTCATCGAGGTAGTGCGCTGGGCCTGCGGAGGAGCAGTTGACGGGAAGGAAGGGCATGCAACCATTTACTGTACTGTTGGAGATATGCATAAGCACCGCGTCAAGCGAGAAAAACGTCTTGGCGGCATTGCTTGCGCACGCAGGCTGCGCCCCGAAAGAGGAACAACAGCTAGATCAAACACCCGAAATAAGCAGTATAAACGTTAAGCAGTATAAGAAGTAATAGTAAGTCTGCGATAGAAACGGCAGAAGTAAAGTCTGGCAGGTACGCCCGACTAAGGACAAGAAGCGCCTCATCTTAAATAGCCCACTGCTGACTTTGCCAGCCGATACGTTTAAATGCACTTTGGAAGGGTGGGTAAACTAGGAGAAGGGCAGATGAACCACAGCCATATTGCCCGATGTTTAAGGCTGCCTCATACAGCAACGCCCCCTAGATCTGCAAGTTAAATCCAATACGCCATTACTTGTTGAACGAACCTTAAGCGTGGCCAGCCGCTGGGGACGCGTCGTGGTGAACGCTTTGCTCTGCATTTTGCCGCTGGGTGGAGGCAACAGCTGGAACTGCTGCTAGTGGATGTTGATGGTGGATCGCAGAGCACAACCTCTTTAATAAGAGCCCCAACTGGAGTAAACATCTTGGCCTTTGCGAGAGATGGTCGCAGGATCTTTCACCGTACTGCAACCGTACCCATCCTCTTCCAGCATAGTTGCGATTAAAAACACATGGGCAAACATTCCTGGCATGTAAACATTGTTTGCAATCATCTCAACTGGTCGTCCGGATGCGCGAGGGAGTCAGTCACTTTGGGCCCTCGGCTTTAGGCACACGAGTAACCCAGGAGACAAAGCAGTCCACAATTAAGCCCTTGCCCAAGTACGCATGTTCGCCCCGGTTTACTCCTACTCTTGCTCTCTCATATATCTCCTTTCCAAGCTTACACAGAGAACCCATGATAGTGGACCGTCCATACATGCACATGCATATACAATGTGAAAACGTCCGGCATTAAGCGCAGAGTACCGATAAACATCGGCCCCCCCCTTCGATGCAATCAGATGGCCGCCCTGACACTGCTGTCATGCCATTGTTTGCGGTAAGCTCCGTTCCTGGTTTCCCTTTCCGTCTTATCCCTTCACCTGTCGTTTCCCAACCACCTCCCATTCCACTTATTAGGGGATTTCACAAAAGGGTCACTCACAAGCGCATTGTTGTGTTGCGGCATGGGAGGTCAGCATGGAGGTTGCAAGTCCAACTGCTAATCCCTTGTTCTACTGCTCATCACTGTCACCGTCCAGCACACATGCGTCATCCGGTCATCGCCTTTGTAACATGACTGCCCCCTCCGTTGCAGCAAACGCACCAACCAGAGCCGTAAGCAGCAGCGGACCCAACAAGACCCACAGCCATGACACCAAGAGCTCTGGCGTCACGGCAAATCCCACGTGTCATTACTACTACCACTCCACGTGCGGGGTAACCTCAGAAATACAGCTCAAGACATGCAAATATCACAATGCAACGTTCAAAAGGCAGCGCTGATCCCCAGGCGCTACAGGTAGCTGCTCTATTGAACTCCACAACCTCGCTCTCCTCAAGATGCATCAAGCGCGGTTAACGGTCTCTAGGTCTGTGTCAAGGAAAACGACAACGTCTGGGCCTGCCTTGCGACCCAACAGAGCACCAAAACAGGACCTTTGGAAGGATAAACGGACTCCTGTCGTCCTGTACAAGCGTTTGTTGTCCCATTTGGGGTACCGTACATAAAGCACATGCAGCGCCTTTCAGAACCCTTACCCCACCCACAACTTCAGGCACATCCATTGACCCATTTCACACTGCTAAGCCGTTCATCACCATTCGTTACCCCAGCTGGCCTTCTTTCGTTCCCACACGCCCAATGCCTCCCAACCCGCTGCGCCGGCTCCCACGCTGGCATCGCCGCACGAACCACATCATCGCAATGCCCCCAACAGCACTCAGCCACATAAGCACTGACGCATGTGCATGACTGCACGGTGGTGGCATCCCGCTAGGTGTCCGGACTGACGGAACTCAGGCAGCCGACATGACATGGCCGAGAGCAGTAACCTCCTACCAGCCATGCTAATCCTCCCCGCCTGCCTCCTCTACGGAAGTCAACACGGCTTCACAATGCTGGATCTTGGATCCAAACAGGGAAAGACACCCGTCTTGCCAAGTACGGCTGTTACTCGCAGCCTGCATTGACTCGCGCCACACACAAGGCTGGTTCCATCAAGGACTCTCCATCCCTACCGGCCCCGTTTCCTGATCAGGCGTGGGCGCTTCAGAATGCCAAGGTGACATGGGCTTCGGAATCCCGCCCCCATCAGCACTGCCGCTGCCGCCTGGCCCGCCGCCCGTCACCGCCGCCGCTACAGCTGCCGCCACCGCCGCCGCGGCAGCGGCGGCCGCCGCAGGCGAGTTCTGGCTGGCGGCGCCGCCGCCGACGACCATCAAGTGCCCCGACATTCCATTCGCCGTCGACGCCGCCGCCACCGGACTCCGTACATTCCTCGCCGCCACCGCCGCCGACCCCGCGGCATGCCCGCCGCCGCCAGGGCCGCCGCCACCGCCGGGCCCTCCTCCTCCGCCTTGACGACTCGGCAGCTGCCCCTTCATTATCCCCCCGGATATCGTCTCCACTTTAACCTTCATGCCCCGCGCTGACGCTTGCCGAGCCTGACCTGCCGACGCCAACTTCTCTTCCCGCGTCTGCGTTGGCGGTAGCGACGCAAAGGTGCCCGCGTCAACCGCCGCCGCCAGCGTCCCTGCGCCCGACGCGCCGCCAGCCACCCCCGTCGCCGCACCGCCGCCGCCGTTTGCTGCGTTCTGACTGCCTCCGGGGCTGCCGACGGCGCCCGGGGCTGCTGGCAGGGTCTCTATGAGGCTGTTGGTGGTTCGCATGCGCGCGTCGGCGGCTGCATTGCGGCTGTTGAGTCGCGCGTTGAGGTGCGCCCCGAGGGTGGCCGCTCGGTTGCCCTGGGGTTGGGTTGGGGGTGGAGGTACCGGTATTGTATTGCAGCAGCAGAGGACAAACAGACGGAAAGATGTCGGGAGGGAATACGGCAAGAGATTGTAAGGCTCGTGCCATGTAAGGAAGGAAAGACGATTGGCAACGATTGACGACGGCATTGCCATGTGTCCCTCCCCCACTCACCTCCCATACCACACCCCCGCAGTGTTACCGCATCCCCAAAGGCAGCCATCCACGCCCCAAACAACCTCACTTCCGTCACCACATCCCCAATCCACACCTGGTATGTCTGCCCACGCAGCCAGTCACCACCCCATTTCCCCGGCACCTCTCCAACCCCGCACGGCCAGTGTTTCCTTGCGACTCAGTGTATCCAACACCCCCACCACCGCACCTGTATGCTGGGCAGCAGCGGGTCCGCCAGCGGCACCCTGTCCGGCACGAACACCCTGTCGTCCTCTCGGAAGCCCATGGCGCGCAGGTCCCGCACGGTGCGCACGCGCGAGTCGCAGCACAGGCAGGTGGGGGCGCCGGGAGCTCCCGCGGTGAGGGGGTCGGTGCCCAGCTGCGCCTTGGTGCCGAAGGCGAGGGGCGACCAGTCGCGCAGGCGGTCCTCCACGTCGGCCAGGATGGCGCGGACCTTTGGGGGGTAAGGGGGGGAAGGAAGAAGGGTAAGGGGGGGAGGAGGGTGGAGAGGGAGGTGAAGGAGGAGAGGGAGACACAACCATGCAGGCTCAATCCTACAGTGGCTTGTCCAACGCTGACCGGTATAGAACACCCCCCACACATACACGCACACACCTCCACGTTCCCCTACTCGCTGCCAGTCCCCTCAACACCTCACCCACACCCCGCCCCCACCTGCAGTTTGAACTCGTTGAACTTGTGCAGGTCCAGCTTCTCCGCCAGCGCCGCCGACACCTTGTCGCTGATGGCGCGCAGCCCCTTCAGCAGCGCCGCCTCCAGCCCCTCCAGCCGCCCGCCCAGCCGCCCGTCAACACCCGCCAGCTCCTCACGGTCCACCTGGGGGGGAGGGGGGGTGGGGAGTGAGGGGGAGTGAGGGAGTGAGAGTGAGGGGGAGAGAGGGGGGTTCGACAGATACCGGTAACGGACATGTACCCCACGTGTCACCCGGTTGTCAACTCTCCGCCTCCAACAAACAGTAGCCATCCTGCCTCCTGGTTTTGTTGCCACGCCACGCCATCCTTCCCTCCTGCTTTCCCCCTCCCCTGCCCCCTGCCCCCTCCCCCCCCCACCTTTGCCGCCACCCCCGCCATGAGCTCCTGCTTGAGCGCCTCCAGGTGGCTGTCCAGTTCGTGCGCGTGCTCCGTGAGCAGCGCCTCCAGGTCGCTCGTGAGCACCACCTCGCCCTTGTTGGGGGTGGAGTCGGCCAGGGACTCCAGACGCGACTCAACACCCGCGATGGCCTGGGGGTAGCAGGAGGAGGAGGAGGAGGGGAAGGAGGGGGAGGTTGGAGTCGGAACGCCGCGGAACGAGGGTTGGAACAGGCTGGTGTCGTACATCTCTTGATCTTGGAGTCGTACTGCTAAGCCATGCAGCGGCAAAGCTCCCACCGTCTACCTCCTCTCCCCTCCTGCCCCTCCCCTCCCCTCGGGATATGGGATTGGGACTCGTTGTTTCACTTATATAATTTTTTCTCCCCTCCCCTCCCCTCATCCTGCCTCCCACCTTGAGCAGGTTGTCCCCCCGCCTGTCCGCATGCTCTATCGCCCGCGCCACCCCCAGCTCCACGTCCGCCTGCTTGATGGCCGCAGCTGCGTCCTGCTTGGACAGCGCCAGCTGCTCCAGCCGCTCCGTGGCGGCGGCGAGGGCGTTGTGGAGCGGGTTGATGGCGGCCGCGACCTGGGCAGGAAGGGAGGGGGAGGGGGCAGGGGGAGAGGAGGAGGCGGGGGTTAGGGGAGGGGAGGCTTTGCTTACGCTTCCTCAGGCAGACACCGATACGTTGGCGCCTGCAGGCACCCATTCCACCCCTGCTTCTTCCACCCCACCCGGCACAACCCCTTCCCATTGTCCAGTTCGGCGGGCTGGCTTGCCTAGTCGTTGTGAGCTTATGGTGGCGCACCCCTTCTAACCCCCACCCCCTTCCTCTCTCCTCTCCCCTCAGCTCCCTCTCCTCTCCTCCCCTTCCCCGCCCGCAACCCCCCCCCCAGTGCCCCCTCCCTCCCCCCACCTGCGTGTTGAAGCTCTCCAGCTTGCCCTCCAGCGCCGACGCATGCCGCTTCACGTCGTCCACCCGCTGCAGCACCTCGTTGGTGGCCTCCTTGGCCTCGTCCACCTCCTGCGGGCAGGGAGGGGGATAAATGATAAGTGCAGTACGGGGGGGGGCGGAGAAGGCGGGGGAGAGGAACCGTGGAGGAGGGGAGGAGGGGGGGCGGGGCAGGAGCAGAGGGAGAGGGAGGTGCTTAAGCAAACCCCGGCAGTAAGAGGGCCGGAACATACCAACAACAAACCCATGTGGTGGTTATAGTACCCACCATGTGGCAGTGCCGCCACATGCCCCATGCCGGCCTCCCCCCCCCTCTCCCCTCCTGCCACCCCCGCCTGCAGTGCTCCCCCTGCTGCTACAGCCCGCCTCTCCCCTCCCCACCTGCTCCCCCTACCCCCGTCCCACTTCCCCACCACCGGTGGTAAAGCCTCGTCATACAGGTCGTCAGTTTCCTCCTGTTCACCCCCCCACCCACCCCACCTGCAGTGCCGCCACATGCGAGGTCTCCGCCATGGTCAGCCGCTGCGCCAGCGAGCCCTCCACGTGCCGCAGCTGGTCCCAGATCTGACCCACGCTGGACTCGTACTTGTTGGCGATCTCGCGCCGCTCGTCGGTGCCTGCAGGCAGGGGGCAGGGGGGAAGCGACATGGGGGGTAGCATGAAGGAGGTGGAGGGGGAGGCTGTGTGAAGTCCCATGCTCCCATGCGGCCCCCACCCGCCGCCCTGCACCTACATGACGGCCTCATGCCCGCATCTCCCCCACCAGCCTCTACCGGACTATCACCCACTCACCCCTCACAAGGCTGCCACAACGTACCCCCCCCCCTCGCCTGACACTCAACGCATGGTAGCTACCTCCCTCCCTCCCCACCCACTCTTGATTGCCCCAATCTCCAGCACGTGCACCCGCTCCTGCAGGTCCTTCACGAACATCACACTCTCGCTGGTGGCAGCGGCCTGCCGCTCAGCCAGGTTGTTGGCGGCAGCGGCGGCACCCTGGGGGGAGGGGCAAGAGGTGGGGGGGGAGGTGAAGAGAAGCATACCCAAAGTGTTGATTGGTAATGGCAAACTAGGTGACAAGCCCTTGAGGTGGGAGCGCAGCGGCGGCGGTAGGGGTTCACCTGGGTACCCCAGCATGCGAGCGCCCTGCCCCAGTTGTTTCCTCTTTGCCCCCAGCATGCCCCATCCCACACCCCCCACCCCCACCTGCGCCTCCGCCACGCCCCCCTGCATGCCCAGAATGTCCTGCCGCAGCCGCTCCACCGCCGAGCGCAGCTGCTCGTCGTCCTCCTGCGCGTGCCACAGCGCCTCCGCCTTGCGCTCCATGGCGTTCAGCCGGTCTCTGAGAGGGCGGGCAGGGGGGGAGGGAGGCAGGCAGGGAGGGCGGCAGGCAGGCAGGGGGATTTTAGTAGAGGTGAAAACCCATGGCCCGACTCATGCAGTGAGCGCAATAACACGAACACCAGGGGAGGGGAGGCAGACATGCAAGGGGAGGGGGTTGAGGAGGTGGCCAGCTCCGGGTGGCAGGTGCAGCCCTCCCCCCCTCTCCCTCCCCTCCAGCCCGGCCGCAGCCCTCCCTCCCCACAAGTCCCCTCGGCCCCCCTGTCCCGCCGCACCTGAGGGAGACCACCTCCTGCACCACCCAGCCCATGTCGCCGCTGCCGCCCGCTGCCATCGCGCCGCTCAGCGAGCCGCCCAGACCCATCATCACACCGCCCAGCGACGCCAGCGGAGACTGCATCAGCCCGCCAACAGCGCCACCGCCGCTGCCGCCGACACCGCCAGATGCCGTACCGCTGCCGCCGCTGTGCACTGTCGGCAAGCCGCCGGGACCCACGCTGCCAGCCATGGCTCGCGCTGCCGCCGCTGCGGCTGCTGCTGCCGCCGCCCCTGCTGCGGACGTGGCTGTCGTGGAGGCGGCGGAGGAGCGTGGGGGTGTGGGTGCGGAGGGCGATGCGGGGGGCGGGGAGCGGACGGAGGCACTGCCCGTGGAGTCCCCGCGGTTCAGGGTTGCGCCGCCGCCGCTGCTGTGACCCTCCTCCCGTCCGCCATTGCCACCCTGTGGGAATTGTCATTGCGAGGTGAAGGGCCGGCGTTTGCTGGGAAGGCTGTGCCCCAGTGCATCGTGGTCTCAGCCGCAAGGGATGCGGCCTTGACACAGGGACTACACAGGGAGCACTGTACGGCGACTGGCTCCGAAACCACCCACCTGCTGGTTCCAAAAGAGGCCCGGGGGTCGCGAGCTCTCCGCAAGTTCCTGCAGCCCCTGCTCTAGGGCCTCCAGCCGCTTTGCTACCTGGGAAAGAGGATGTGGCATGAGGGTGAGATGAATGGAGGGTAACCGGGTTAAGCCGCAGGATGACCTTCACGCAATAGGTTCCCGAGTTCTGCCATGAAGGGGCATGTGAAAGGGCAGGGATGCTGGACTATAGACTAAAACATGGGGATGAGGCAGGAGGATGGGGGCATGCGGCAGGCTCAACAACTCCTTAACAAACTCACCCGCAGCTCCGTTACCTCCGCCCTTAGCGCCGCGTTCTCCCTTGCGCATTGGTCGACCTGCGTCCCGCAAAAACCCGGTAGGTCCAGGCTGTTTTTCGCTGGGCCATGGCAGGGACAGTCCGCGGGCACCCCAATTGTCCAGCATGCAAGCAAGCTAACGACGGCTAAATCTTACATCATCCCTGGGTTTGGTACCTTTGCTGCTAGGGTGAGGAACGCCTTCTGAAGAGGTGAGACATCGAAGTCAGCATCTCCACCTTGCGCATCATAAGCCATTGTAAAAAATATATCTTATTATTGGTCTAATGTTCGGTGTAAGTAATTATAAAGCTAAGTCGTGCTGCCCCACACCGGGGTAACAAAAAAAGTCCCGTTGCTTAGAGCTCATCGGCATGTCTATGAGATGGAGTACTAACTGTTAGGTGCATGGAAAGCACATAGGTTACGGACATGGAAGGCGAATCGCTGGGGGTTCCTGCCGTCTTCGAGTTACGACAAGACTCGTACAATCCAGTCCTCGCCGGGGCACATCCGCACACAGACTTGTACATGATTCCTTAAGCAGGTGTCCCACTGCGTGCATCGTTGCCACGTTTTTATCCAGAAGCCTTGCTGGCAAGGCCCAGTTTCCACGCCTAGTTTTACTTTTACGCTTACCCTCGCAGTATCTTTACGCTAAAGGTTAACCATGTACCCGACTGCGCCATACGTTGTATACCTAATGATTTGGGTCATCCCTGTTTTCGACTTGCGGTATTAATAAGCGCTGACCTTAATACTAGGCGTGGCGAACGTGTGCGTACCTGGGCATTAAGTCGCGCCAAAATAAAATTCGGAGGCTTGCACGAGTTCTGACGTTGGATGAAGTGAGCTCACATACAACTCGCACTCGGCGTTCCCTTCTCGCAAGCAGCGAAGTACCGGTAACGGAATAACAAAGGCAAGCTAGACAGTAGCTTGGCCACAATCCAGTGCCCGGTAGACGTTTGGTACTATATACTCCACTCTGAGCTAACAAAACCCAGCCAGCGGCACGGAGCCATCTTCTCCACAACTCGTTGCCTTCTTGTCCAAATCCTGCAGAACGGGCGACATGTATCCGGGCAAAACACAGCCGCACATGTACGACACCAAAATCATGTTGCCTGCTCTGGTAACGGAGAAAACACAGGGCTACCGTGAGCGGCCACCCCTACTACACCCACTTCATCGTCGTGCGGACATCTCTTACGTAAAAAACGTCAAAGCAAGCGCCAAAACCATTCACGGTCACTACTTTATCTTCTCAATCTGGTCCCACACCGAAGGCAACCAAACAAACTCTTTATACTACGCTAAAGGGAGACAATCCGTCCAACAGCCCAAACTAGCCGCTACCCAATGATTCATTCCAACCCATCCTCCTTACCTAGCTACCTATTGATCCCCTCTGTCAGCGCGCGCATGCGTGTGCATCCCAGGTGGTGGCAAAACCAGTCACTCGGCTTCCCACCCCACGCAACCGCATCACATGACACAGCCCGTCCACAGTGCTACCATCGCGCCTGCATTTCTTGGTCACAGTTAACTACCGTACACAGTATCACCATTCGGTTCCATTCCAGCAAAACGAGATGCATGCTAGTGGACCTCCCTAGCTGTTGGTCATGTGGCTGGTGGGTCCCAAAAGGCACCTCACTCTAGCCACCAAGCAAGAGTTGGATCGTTCACCGCGACAGTCGGTGTCGACCAACAAGGAGCCCCCGCCGCGGTGCTGCTGTCATGTTCTGTCCTCGCACGGGCCCACTTCCCAAACTTAACCATGCCCGCCGTATATGCATGTACACCTGGATACCGGTATGATGCAAGAAACCCATCCCAACGGCAGCTCCAATCCTGGTCTCCTACATCCGCAACCCCAACGCCCTACAGCCCCCAACCACCGGCAATCCTCCTTCCCAGCCAACCCCAGCTATAGCCCCAGCCGGCAGCCCTAACCCCACCCCATCACAGCAACCCTTCCTCTCTTTCGCACCCCATGCAGCCTCAACCCCTCTCGCCCCCGCCCCAACATCTCTCCACGCAGCCCCCCTCCTTCCCTCACACCCCTCCCTCCCTCCTCCTTCCTTCACGACGGCGGCGGATCCTTCGCCGGCGCCTTCCCCGACTGGTCCGGGTTGGGCGGGCACTCCCTCTCCAGCTCCACAAGCGCCTCCCGTACACGCTCCGTGATCCGGATCCAGGTACGGCGCCGCTCCTCCTCACTTTCCGCATCACACCCGCACGTCAGGTCCGCCAGCGGGACCGCTTCCCCCACGCGCACCTGCACCTTCTGCCCCACCGCAAAGCCCTTGGCCCCCAGCGGCAGCACCGCGCCCATGCCCGAGTGGTAGAAGGGCAGCACGGTGGGGTCGCGGCCGCCGGAGAGCTCCCGCGCCTCGCACACCAGCTTGCCGCAGCCCCAGCGCAGCGGCCCCAGCTTGCCGTCGAAGTTGATGCGGCCCTCCGGGAAGAGGTGCACCCACTGCCCGCTGGCCAGCGCGAGCGCGGCGACGGAGACGATGGGCTGGTGCACGCCTGCTGCGGGGGTGGGTGGGAGGGAGGGGGGGAGGGGGGAGGAGAGGCGTGCGTTGAATGGGGGAGGGAGGGGGAGACAGGGGGAGAGGTTTGGGGCATGGCGGTGAGTAAGGGTGGGGGTTGGGGTGGTGCATGATGGAGGGAGACCCTGTGGGCAAGGGGGCTGCAGTCAGCATGGCACCTACCTTTGCCCCGCTCGACTGGCAGTGTTTTCCCGTTGAGGAAGAATTGTCTGCGTGTATGATGGGCGCGCGAGGAGGGGTGTGGGTTCAGGCTTGAAGGGTAGGCTTTTGTTCGATACGGAGGGATTGCGGCAATCAGGGTAGGGGTTACTGGCTGCCCTTTGCCAACCCTACGCACCTTAGGAACTCGTTCTTGAAACACACCTCTCGCGCGCACAGCGACCATCGCACGTTTTGAGTTATGGGTTCTGTCCAGAGCCAATGCCAGGGCATGATAAGGCTGAGCACGCCTGGATCGTCAAACAAGCTGCGGCGCAAGTAATGGCAGTTTGGTAAATACGTAGGGCAGGAAATGCACAAACTACACCATTAAAGGTACCTTGTATGGTTGCATACTGTTATAAGCCCCGCGTCTTTTCGCTTGTCCTGGACGGCTCTGATTAATCGGTCATGGTTGATGATTTCAGTCGTGTTGAGAACGTTCAAGATAAGCCTAGCGCAGGTTGATACTACTCCTAGAGTAAACGAGCGACCTAAAGGGCCCCATGGCGGAGCTAGCACCTCCTGGGCGGCTGTTCCTGAGGTTGATGCCTCCTCCGTCGACGGCATTTTTTATAACGGCTAGCGGCTGCAAGTAACGTCTGCTAGCCGCGTACCACGCCATAAACACCAGGTGCCCAAATATGCGGGTTGAACTTCCGAGCAAGCCGTTGTTTCGGTTACGTACTTCTTCCCCATGTGTCCCTGACGTAACACGACCCAAAGCCCGCTTTGCTATACGGTAATTTAAGCAGAGTATTGCAGTTTTAGGAGTCACTGGTTACCGGCGAAAATCATCCTGGTGTACCTCGCAGCAAACAAGCCCCTCCGCCGAGTCCCCTTGGGACTTGACCCAGCCCCCCAAGGCCCCTTAGTCAGTTAGTTGTTTCCTCTTTACCCCCAGGCCTTCCTCCTTACCCATCAGCAACCACGAACACAAAAGAGTACACGAATGTAGCTTCCACCAAGCTCCCATGTGGCAATACCCGTACATCCAAAGCCATCGGAGCTGTACAAAATGCCCGACAATGTCCGTTGCTTGGTTATAGATAGCCTGCATGCCCTTAATACCTCTCCTACCTCTCCTGCATACTGGTCCGTGATCCGCCCCTCTACTGTATAACCGTACCGTATACGGCAGGGTACATAGCACTCATAGCAAGCCGTACATGCCGGTATGGCCGAATCACATCACACAGGACCACCATCACCGCAAACACCGCTCCATCAGGCCCCCAGGCCAGCTGCACAACCGGGTCCTTGCCTCCGCCCCGACCTCCTCAGCGGCCTCTTAGCTGCGTGCGGTCCCTGCCCCAACCTTCATGGAATCAAACACCGCGGTTTCAGACACGGTCGCAACACACCTGCATGCGCGCACGACCCCTACCAAGGAGGCTGTTTCCCGCCTCCTGCCCAGGTGCCCAGGTCACGGCAGTCCGTCACAGCTGGCCAGCGGGAAACCAGCGCCCAGGCATGCTGGCTTTCGCCACCCGCCTGCCACCTCTTCCCCCCAATCCCCGCTCTCCTCCATGCAACGCAACAACCACCTTCCTCTGCAACCATCAGCTATCAACAGTCGTCTTTCACGCCACGACGATAGTCATGCAGCCTACAGCCTCTCCAACCGCACTCCGGCCACCACCGTATCCTGCGCAGCGGCAGGAGCAAGCGGGCAAGTGGGCGGCATAGGTGAGTGTCATGCGAGGTAACAGGTTGGATACCCTCCCACCCCACCCCACACCACCAGCGGGCTAGTCAGTTTCTCCCTCTTCCGCCCCTTAGTTCCTTCCCTCCCCCCCCCCTACCCGCCTCCCCCCCCACCTCGTCCATCAGGTGCAGCAGGTCCAGCAACGCCACCCGCAGGCTACCAGGGCCGGGGCGGGGGCACAGGCGCAGGCCCTCCTCAGCGGCAAGGCTGGCAGGGCAGGGGGGGGCAGGAGGGGGGAAAGGGGGAAAAAATTAAATAAGTGAAACAACGAGTCCCAATCCTATATCCCGACTCATGCAGTGAGTCGGGATATGGGGAAGGGGGAAGGGGGGTAGGCAGGGCAGGGCAGGGCAGGGGAGGCAGAAAAACATAAATGAGAAGTTAAGCAACGGATTCCAAACCAGGGAAGTAGGGGAGCAGGGTATAGTATGGATCTATGGAACCAAGGAGCCTATACCGGTAAGGGGGTGAATTGGCAAGGCGGCGGGAACTGCTTTTCAGCAAGAGGGAACCTCAACCCATCCCGCTACCCCACCCGAATATCGCCAGCGCTGCTGCCGTCGCCAGCATCGTCACCTCCTGCCCCTGCTGCCCCTCCACCTGCTCCTGGCCCTGGCCCTGCTCCTGTCCGGAGGGTGCCCCTGAGGCCGTCGCCGCTCCTGCTGCGGCCCCTCCTGCTGCTGCTGCCGCCACAAACGCCGCTATGAGGGCGGTGAGGGAGCAGCCCGCAGCGGTGATGGCGGTTAGCAGCGGGTGGCCGTTACGAACCGCCATGAGGGAGGAGCCGTCCGTGACCTGGGGTGTGTGTGGGGTGTGAAGGTGGGAGAGGGAGGGGAGAGAGAGAGGGAGGGAGGGGAGGGCGAGGGAGTAACTGGGGTGGGGCTCTGGCTATTCCAGGCTGCAACAAGGGACAAGGAACCAGGACACCCTCCTAAGCCTCACGCTACCCCCTGATTGTCCCTCCTTCCAGCTCGCCCTCCCTCCCCTGTTTCACTTATATAATTTTTTCCCCTCCCTGCCCCTCCCCAGCTCACGTAGTCCACTGCCCCCGACACCGCCACCACGCAGCCCTGCTGCGCAGCTAGCAGCTTGGCAGCCTGGGAGGGGGGCAGGAGGGGAAGGAAGAGGTGCGGACAGGGGCGCACCAGGGGAAAGGGGTGAGGTTTTACGGTGTGGCAGACCCATGGGTCGAACAAGTGAAGTGTAGCTAGCTGTACTCAGTAAGCCGACTCATTAGTCAGCCGAAGACGGGGTGCTGGTTGGGCGGAAGGCACACTACGAACCCCGGGCAAAGCTATAAACAAACAAACAAACAAACACCCAGAAAAAAAGAACACGTTTAACGTTCAATCCCCAGGGTTGCTTCACACCCACTGCTCACCGCACACCTCTTCCACCCCAACCTGCTCTCCCACACACCCCTTCCTCTCCCCGCCCCCCCACCCGCCCCCACCCACCTCCACCGCATCCCCGCTGTCCGCCGTGCTGTCCACCCCCCGTACCCCCCCCGCCCCTTCGGCACCCGCCCGCAGCGCCCCCGCCGCCCCCGCCAGCGCCAGCACCTCCGAGGCGTTACCTCGTACGACAGTTGGGCGGCAGTGCAGCAGCTCCACGCAGGCGGCGGTGCGGACCGGGGTGGCGCCGCATCCCACGGGGTCCAGCACCCAGGGGCGACCCAGATCAACCGCCTGGTGTTGGGAGGAGTCGAGAGGAGGGGCGGAGGGGAGGATGAGGAGAGGGAGAGAGGGAGGGAGGGAGGGCACGAGGGAAGGGGCAGGAGGTGAGAGATGGCAGCTGAGGGTGTGAGGAAGGGTGTGGTGGATGATTGCCGTGCACGGACACCGCCATCTGTGTTGATGCTGGGGAAGCGATTATAGCATAGTAGCTCAGCAATGTGTTTTGAGGGGTGGGGTTTACCTTCTTAGCAGCGAGCTTCTTCGCGGCCACCCAGTCGGACGAGAGGGTGCCCATGTTGACCAGCAGGGCGGAGCTGATGGACACAAAAGATTCCACCTCATCCAGTGAATGCGCCTGGAGAGGAAGCAGCAATGTTGAAAAGAGGTAAGAAGGAAGTGGGTGCAAAGAGCGCTTAGGTTGCATAAGACTGGATCGGCCTGCTCGTAAACCTCCATCATCGGTCAGACCGATTAGGGCGCACGAGCTCACCATGGCTGGAGAGCATCCCGCCGCCAAAAGCACGTTTGCCATGATATCCATAGAAACAAAATTGGTGATGCAGTGGACGAGCGGCCGCTTGGCGCGAACGGTCTGCCAGAGATTCCAGCATGACTCTCCGTTCGGCTCAAGCCGGAGTCCGCCATCGGCTGCGACTGTCGCCATGTTTTATAGTTAAGTTGAGGTTAATTACCTATGATATTTTCTACAGCGAGCGGCGTGCGGTGCTGTAATTGGGCTAACTTCTAGGGCCGGCTTTCCCTGAATCAAGCAGATCTTTTACTTTCTGTCAACAGCGGCTATAGAGGTCAAACCATGATACTGGTATTAAGCCCCAATGATGCTCCTAATCAAACCCGATGATACCGTTGTTCAGTTAGACGTGCTTGTCAAAATGCGGAGCAGGGTTTGGGAGGAAGATTACTCAATTGATTTATTATATACGTTCCTCTCTGATACACATGCAGGTGTAGAAGCTGGCCGGGCGGGACGTGAGTCGTGAGGCGACTTTACACGTGCATGGGTGCCTTAGGCGACCGTAGCAGCAGGGGCCGCTTTCGTCACGAAGGCATCAACTGCAACATAGCAATGACTTTACATTGCTTAAAAGCTGCAGTGTCGAGCGGCCGAGTGTGTACTACATTGCTGCTGTGCCGTACTCATGTACTGCTGTACGGAGCAATACTTCTTTCCACACACATGAATCCGTGACTGATCGCAAAACGGCTCCGCAGTAATACCGCAGTTATACAAAAGCATTACTGCCATTCAGAACTGCTACAGTTAAAGCCCAGCAGCGCTCCCCTGCCCGGCGCCTCCCCCACCCACGCTCCCTCGCCCGGCGCCTCCCTCGCCCACGTCCCCTCCGTGGGACCTCCATGGTCGGCCCTTCGGGTTGCTGGCAGCAGGGCTTAACCTCTGTGAGGCGCAGGACTCGCGCACTGCACGACCTCGGCACCCACTAAATTTCTTTCATTCTTTGAAAGGTAATACAAGGAATTGTGCGTCCGTGCATGGATTCCCTGCTGAATGTCCGTGAACGGAGCTTAGCGTACGAGGGGCAGGGGATTTAGGCGCGAGCCCAGCCGTTACATGCACGTCCTTGCAGCAGTCCATGTCTGCACGTTCAAAGGGTTTCCGCATCCTCTGCACAAGCGGACACGCCCAGTCGCCCGATGGCCGTCTTCCCCCCATGCATGGGAAGCCAAATGCAGGTAGCAGGTAGTCCCCACTCCCAATGCCTCCACATTCCGCAACAACGACCACAACGAGCCACACAACACACATGCGCAACAATGATGACTCTTTGTTTGACTCTTTATTTGCGTTTCCTGCTCCACACGCTTGCCTCGACAAACAGCTCGATACACCTGCTCGCCCCGCAACAACTAAAGGGTACACATTAACACACAGTGCGATTCCGGCATCAAACACGGTGGCATCGAACGGGACCTCTACCATCCAACCAAGGCCGTTGCCGCACACTTTCCGCGCTGGGCCGAGTGTTAAACCGCTGCCAACCACCAGGCGACCGCACACCAACTGGCACGGCAACATCATCCATCCCTCCTCCTCCTCTGTTCGTCTTCTGCTGACTGCTGCTCGCTCCAGACCCTCCCCGCCGGACATGCTGCCGGACAAGCACACCCCATCACGCCTCCTGCTGGCGGCGGCGGGCGGCGGCGCGGCTGAGCAGCTGCCTGCGGCGCCTGCCGGAGGACTGCGCGGTGGCCTGGGCGTTGGCACTGGCGGGGCCGCCGCCCTGAGACACTGCGGGGGGGGGGGGGTTAGGAGCGGGGAAAGGTGGCGGGCGGGGCGGTGTTACATTGAGAGGTGCACAAGGGAGAGGAGCCATGCAGATGCGGATGTGGGGGGCGGGAGCTGCGTGATTGCGCGATTGCGTTCCCAGCAGGCAGGCAGGCTCTCCCAAGTCGACATGTATGGTAACCGTACCCGCAGCGGCGTCAGACTTGGCATTAGCAGCGCCGCCGTTGGTGGCAGTAGCGTTCGAGTTGGCATTGGCAATAGCACCGCCACCACCACCACCGCCGCCGCCGCCTGCACCCGCGCCCGCGCCCGCGCCGCCTCCCGCCACAGTAGCTTTGATTGCAGCGCCCGATGCATCCTTGTAGGCGCAGCTGCTGCCGTTCTGGAAGCCCCACAGGCGGTCGCTGGCATCGCGGGTGGAGTTGGCGGCGGTGGGGGCGCCGCGGCAGACGGTGGCGTTCTCAAAGGTGATGGTGGGAGCAGCAGTGGCGGCGGCAGCCTGGGGCGGGCGGGGGCATGTGCACGGGAGAGGTGGTAGGATGCAGGTGAGTCGCATGTGCAGGTGAGTCGCATGTGCAGGTGAGTCGCATGTGCGCATGTGTGCATCGTAGAAAAAGATTTGGACCATAAAAGTCGCGCACATCGCACTCGGGGGAATGCGTGGTGTAGACAAGGGGATGCTTCCGCTACATGGTGCTGTGCACTACTGACAAGATGTGGGACCACAGGGACGACATCAGAGCTTACCCCGGCACCCGCTGCCGCAGCCGCGCCGCCGCCTCCTGCCGTACCTCCGGTAGCCGCCCCGGCGGCACCTGCCGTACCACTCACATTGCCAGCGAATACCGGCCGGCCGTTGGCGAACCTGCATGCAGTTGGCGGTTGGCGGGCAGACGGGCAGACGAGGTGACACGGATGGAGGGGAGGCGTCGCACTCCAGCAGCGAAGCAATAGAACTTTACGCTGCCTGTCAATGTAAGGTGCTATAGTGTGGCGGCCGACTGAAGAAGCAGCCGTGCATAGCCAACCTAGCGCCAACGTGTGTTGCCCGAACCCCCACCGAACCCCAATTTGCATGGAGGAGAGATGAGAACACCAAACCTCGCCCAATCCGCATCCCAGGCCCCTGCATGCCGATACACCTGCGTACACAGTCACTCAGGCCCCCCCCTCGTGCCTGTCAACTGTCTGCAGGCACATGTCATGCCGTACACCCATGCACGCATGCATGTCGTACAACCCGGTCGCCTGAACCCGCGCACCTGAAGGCGCAGCTGGAGCCGTTCTGGTAGCCCCACAGTCGGCCGCCCGAGTCGGCGGTGGTGTTGACAATGGGCGGGGAGCAGGTGGGGGCGGCGGTCCAGGAGACTGGCGAAATCCGGATGTGCGGGAGGGGGAGAGGAGCGGGTGGGCTTGTGAGGGCGGTGAGGGTGGGCGCTAGGCGGCGTAACGACATGAACACGTGGGTGGGGTGGTGGGGTTGGATGCGCCTCATTCGTGTTGTTGTGGTTGTGGAGCGAGGAGGTAAATACACGCATTAGAGCAGAACCGCACCCGCCCCAGCAGATGACTTCATGTCCCAACAGCATCCCGATCACTCGCCCCGCCTCCGTCGCCCCCGCATGGGGCCCTTCAGCGCAGCACCCCTCAGCACCCCGCTCACTCACCCACGCCCGCCGCTGCCGCCGCTGCTGCATTGCCCGTCCTGTTGGCCTTGGCGGCGGGCGGCGTGTTGACGCAGGAGCGGTACTGCTCGCTGTTCTCAGCAAACACGTTGCAGTCGGTGCGGACCGTCTGGTTGGCGGCGGCG